ATAAAATAACTTTATTTTATATATAAAAAATATTAACTTTATAATTTATTTACACGGGAAATTTAAAAAACTTTAATTTAAAATAATATTAATTTAATAATTAATTTAAGTATAATTTAAAAACAGTTTAAATATAATTTAAATATAATTTAAGTATAATTTAAGTATAGTTTAAAAACCATTTTTTATTTTTTTTAAATATTTTAAAATTTAAATATTATATATATTTAAGTTAAAATAATTATTTTTATTTTTATTATTACGGCTTTTTATAACAATTTAAATATCGGTAAGTTTATTATTTCGTGTTTAAATAAAATTAAAATTTAAATTATATTAAAACATTAATTTTTATTTAAATAACGCTTTATATATTATTTTACTTTTTATTATTAATAAAATTTAACTTTATATTATAAATACGTTTTAACTTTAATATAATAATTATAATTTATATTAATTTTATATAAGTTTTTTTATAAAAATTAATTTAAAGTTTTATTTTTTTAATATATTTTATCGTAATTAATTAAGAATTAATTTTTAATTAAACTTAAATAATATTAACTTTAATTATTAAATTATAATAAGTATTTTTTATTTATTTTTTTAAAATATAAAATGTTAATATTAATTTAAAAATTACATTATATTACTCGTAATTAACGACTCGAATAATATTATATATATATATAATTTTACTTATAAATTAAAATTTAAATTAATTATTTTATTTAATTATTTCGTTATTATTAACTTTAATTTTATATATAATTAAGCGTTTTAAAATGTTAATATGGTTTATTTCGATAAATTATTTTATAAAATTTTTTATATTAATTTAATTTAACTTTAACGGCATTTATATATCGTACATAATAATTAAAATAAATATATTATAAAACGATTTTAATATTAAATTAAAAATATATTTCCTTAATTATTCCGCATTAAAGTTACGGGTTAATTAATCGTATAAAAATAATTATAATTAATACGTAAATATTTTAAAACATTTTAAACTTTTTTTTTTAAAAATATATTAATGTTTTTAAAGTTATACGCCGATTCGTTATAAACGGAAAATAACGGCGATTTTAATTTTATTAAAAACTTAAGTATAATTATTTTAAAATAAATTTAAATTAAATTAATTATGAATTAATAACCCGTTATTTTTTTTTTTTACTCGATTTATTTAAAAATATAAACTTATAACGTAAATATTTCGATAATTATATTAAAATTAATTTATAATTAATTTTCGTAATTAATATAACGATAAATTTCGTAATTGTTTCGGTTAATCTTTCTTACGATTTATATATTACGTTTTAATTTATTATATATTATAATTTTTAAATAAATCGTTTTTTTATTATAAATAATGTTTTATTTTTTTTATTTTTTTTTTTTTTTTTATTTAATATATTAATTTTATTAAATAATTAATAAATACGAGTTATTTAAATATAATAAACTTTATAATTTTAATTAATATAACTTAAAAATAATTTAATAATATTATATTTTTACGTTAAATCGAATTTAAACCGGTTTTAAATTATTTTAATAATAAATTTTTTAAAATTATTTTTTAATAACCGGGGATATTTAATTCGTTATAATAAAATAAAAAGTTTTTATAAACGATATTAATTTAAACTTAATTTAAAACTTTTTTACTTATTAATTTTTTTTTAATTTTAATTTTATTATTATTATTAAATATTAAAAATAATATATTAATTTTAATTTATATTATAACGTATTTAAATTAAATCGAAAATTTTCCCCTTTTTTTTTAATTAATATTAAATGAAATTATTTATTTATTAAAATTAACTAAATATTAATCATTAAAATTTATTATTAATAAATTAAATGAAAAATTAAAAAAAAGCGAATTAAAAAAAAACTTTAAATAAAATAAATTAAAAAACGGTTTATTAAAATATAAATTTTAAACTTTTTTTCTTTTTTTAAACGTTAAATAATAAGATATTTTTTTATAAAAAAATATTTATTTTTTTATTAATAATTTTTAATTAAAAAATATACATTTTTAACTTTAATTAAATTTTTTAATTATAAACTTAAAAATTTTACGTTTTTATAAAAAAAATTAAATATAAATAAAAATTTATTTTTAAATTTAATTATTATTAATTAAAAAATTAATATATTATAAATTAATATTATTATTTTAATACGAATATTATTAAATTATTTTTAATTAAATATTTTTATTAACGTTTTAAATAAAAACCTCGAAAAAAAAATAAAAATAAAAAAAAATAAATTCGTAAAAATAATAAATTTTTATTTTAAAACTAATTTAAAATTATATAAAAGTTAAACATTTTATAATTATAACGTTTATTACTTTTTTTAATAATTATAATAAATTTATTTTTATATTATTAAAACGTAAATATAAAATTTAAATATTTATTTTTATTTAATTTTAAAATAATTATAAAAAATTAACGTTTTTAATAAACACGAGTTTAATTATTAAAAAATAAATATTTCTTAATATTTTTAAAATTAAACTAAATATAATTTACGTTTAATTTTAAATAAATGGCAAAGAATAATTAAACGGTTTTAAAATTAAACTTAATATAATTTATATTTAATTTTAAATAAATTTTAAAACTTAATTAAGAATTAAATTAAATACAATTTATATTTAATTTCAAATACGTTTTATAATTAATTTTATAAATTACGAAGGTTCTAGTTCATAGATTAAGAAGTGGTTTTAGAATTAATGGCGAAAGTGGTTTAAGCTTAATTACGAGGTGGTCCGACCTAATAGCCCATCCCGAGTGCCGTACGTTCTTCCGTAATCCAAGATGCCGCGCTCGTATGTAGGCTGTATGTGGAATAAAGAGATAGTGCTACTACGCTTCACCGCCCGCTTGCCCCCCATCGTATCCCGTATCTGTGATCACGAGCGCATCAACCGACGGTACTATAATTTTGGCAAGGGTGGTTCATCCATGGGGCATTGCCCATGATCTAACTCAGGGGGTAACCTCAAAATTTCGATTTCCAGAGATGCGCTCGATGCGGTTCATCTTCAGACGAGCGGGGCGACCCATTTGTGAGAAAGAAAAGAAAAGCAAAGAAAAAAAAGAAAAAAAAGCTTAGAGAGCTGAGGTTCAGCCCCATCGTGTTCCATACTTCTCACCCTCTATCCCTAGACGGAGCACGCGCGTATATGGATTAGCGACGGTGAGCTTGTGCGGGTCGATTCGACGACGAAGTACGGTTATCATGCGGTGTGTTTCGGAGATTTTATGCTCTTCCTCTTTGCCCCGTCTCCCCGCTATCGGTTCAGATCCGTTCGCCGTCGTCGAGATCTTCCTAGCCCCTAACGGTATCTAGCGTGTGCGAGTTGCTCATCGAAATAAACGCGATCTTCCCTCCCCAATCTCATAGGAATGGCAGACGAGGCGATCGTGATCGTACGCATATTGAACTAGCATCTCGACATTGCGATCTCGCCTAGCCCGCTAGCCCATCTCTATCTGGCGATTGAATCCTGAGCTCCATACTTTAGTCCCTATCCAAGTTCCTTTTTCTCGCCCCCTAACGGCGTCTTAGCGTTGCCCACAAGCAACTAGACTCGTTCGCATTCGACTTAGCACGTCACCGAAGGAGTAAACCGTTCGCGCTAAGGCTCTCAGGCTCTAATCGTTATTTAAATACTCGCTCTTTCGCGCGTATCATCGGTGGTGGAGCATTGCTCTTAGCCGTTTAGTTGATGGCACGTTCCTCAGGTTCGCTATTCCGATCACTAGGCACCTAATTGTATACTGTAGGTAAGTCTGTTAAACGAATGAAGCCATCATCGTATGTTCTAGGAGCTGAAGTTGACAATGGATTAGGTGAGATTTTTATCCTTCTGGGTTAGATATGGCTTTCTATTGAACCATTTTAGCGACACCAAACCCATGGCACTTGAATCACGATCTTAGATCGTCATGGTTAGATCCGCCAAGATGAAGGGGTGAGAGAATGATTTTATCCTGAGTCGAATTCCTGACCATTCAATCAGTATGTCAATTCTAGTCTGGTTCGGAAATGAAGAGGGGACAGCGTTCAAGCCTTTTCAAACATCATAAGACATAGATGGAGGCTTCTATCGTGACATCTCGTCATGCCATTTAAAACAATGTCTTAGTCATTATAAATCCCATCGTTCTGGCGTGAATGCCGCCAAGTAGGACGACTATGGCTCGAGGAGAAAGTCAAAGGGGGAGGGAACTAAAGGCGATTCGCAATCCCAGGCGTTTCAGCTAAGATTTCGCATGAACTACCGTTCTACCCTGGCTTTCACACTCACCTTCATTGACTGCCTATCTCTGAGCTCAATGTTGATAATTCTGTCGTCAATTCTGTCGCCATCGCCACCGCAGCACCGAGCGATGCTTACTTAACTTGATGAGATTTGGCAAAATGCATCTTGCCGCATGCAGACAGGTTTATATTAACATTAGCAGCCGCAAGAACCAACGAGCTGTCGTCCCAAGCGCCTAGATCACGTCGACGCGTAAACAGCAGAAGGTGAAACCGCCATCAAGGGGCTGTTACCAGGGGCTCGGCCAGCATAAGGTGCATTTACCCGCCGGTAAAATCAGTCAGGGCTCCATCGCGTCAATATCGGGATCCCGGTTCTCCAAGTTGGGGACTGCCGGCAAAATGCGATTCCCCACGATGATCGACATCGACCTGCTAATTCCAGCCCATCCCGTCTTCTCGGGAACCAGGAACGGACTCGCGAATTCCCCTTTCCAGAAGGAGGCTACCTAGGTATTATCCAGCCCATCCAGGGGCAACGGCGACAGCCAGTTTCATCGCCATCGCCAAGTATATAATAAGCAATCGCATCCCTCCCGACGATCCAACGACACCCTGCCCGAGCTTCTTTCAACCGCCAGAGTCCCCAAAACAAACAGTCTCTCATTCAGCTCTTTAAATCCGCAACAATGCTCGGATCAATCCTCGTAGCCCTCACCGCAGCCGCCGGGGCCATCGCCTCGCCGCTCGACCTAATCACGCGGTCAACGCCCGCCGGCACCGGCACCAACAACGGCTTCTTCTACTCCTTCTGGACGGACGGGGCGGGGCAAGTAACCTACAACAACGGCGACGCGGGGTCCTACGACGTATCATGGCAGAACGTCGGGAACTTCGTAGCAGGCAAGGGATGGAACCCGGGTGCGTCGCGCGTAGTAACGTACAACGGGACATGGAACGGGGCGAACGTGAACAGCTACCTATCCGTGTACGGATGGACGCGGAACCCGCTGATCGAGTACTACGTGGTGGAATCGTACGGGACGTACAACCCGTCCAGCGGCGCGACGAAGTTGGGCTCCGTGCAGAGCGACGGCAGCACCTACGACGTGTACCGCACGCAGCGCGTCAACCAGCCGAGTATCGACGGCACGTCGACTTTCTACCAGTTCTGGTCCGTCCGCCAGCAGAAGCGCGTCGGTGGTAGCGTTACCATGCAGAACCACTTCGACGCGTGGGAGAGCGCGGGCTTGAAGCTTGGCACGCACAATTATCAGATCCTGGCTACGGAGGGCTACCAGAGTAGTGGCTCGGCTAAGATCACCGTTCAGCAGTCTTAAGGGGCGGTGATGCAGGGTGGGGGTATCGATTAGGCTCGCGGATCGCGTGCTGAGGTGTCTATTCGGGTATTCTATGATGTATATTCGAGTTTACGAGTATAAAATCCTGTATTGACTTACTCTCGACATTCCTGTGGTGACCAAGACGCGAACAATTACCCGACTCTCACAGTGTTTCTAGTTTATCTAGGTATTATATGCGTAGGTGAATTATAGATGAAAATGATGAACGATATCACATTTTTTTATGATATCCTCAAAGGTAGCATTGACAGTGTGGCGCAGCCTCATTTTTATATCATGGACGAATAGTAACATGTAGCCGCAATCACTGGAGCGGGTCTCTTGGCCAATAAAGAACTTGCTTTACGAACGGAATGATGAGGAAAGTGTGTAGCTGAAAAACTTTAGACGTGAGGCTTAACATGGAAATGATTTTTCCATAACAGCCCAACTCAGATCGCAATTTCACCCTTGGTAACGGATTATTCCAACCCAATACAGCATTGTTCTGTTCACGATCTCAACCCAAAACAAGCCAAGTCCAATATGCATCTTCTAGACGCCAGAACAAAGGTGCTTAAGAAGTATGTAGAAGAGAAAGATGGAAAGGCTGTGGAGGAATATGCTATACTTTCTCATCGATGGCTATCCCAGGAACACGAAATTCTCTTTGAGGACATGGGCCAGAACATCGAATCAAAAGAGTGCGGACTTAGAAAGAAACAAGGCTTCTATAAACTCATCCAGTGCTGCGAACAAGCTCTTCGCGATGGCCTCAACTATATCTGGATCGACACTTGCTGCATCGACAAATCAAATAGTACAGAGCTTCAGGAGGCCATCAATAGCATGTATCGATATTTCGCGAACGCCAAGATATGCTATGTTTATCTCAAAGACACGTTACGCACAACTAATGGATATTTCAAGCCGGGAAAGAAGGAGGATTGGTTTGAAAGAGGTTGGACGCTGCAGGAGCTAATAGCTGCAAAGAATGTCCATTTCTACGATAAAAGATGGGTGTATCTTGGGAGCAAATTTGATCTAGGATATAAGATATCCGAGATCACAGGCATCTCAAGGTCCGTGCTATGCTACCCAGAGGACATAAAGATATTTTCAATCGCACAGCGCATGTCTTGGGCATCCCGTCGCAAGACTACTAGGGATGAAGATCTTGCCTATAGCCTCATTGGGCTATTCGATGTGAGCATGCCTATGCTCTATGGTGAGGGGGGCGCCAAAGCATTCCTACGACTCCAAGAAGAGATCATTAAGAGATCAGATGACCACTCCATCTTTGCCTGGGGAGGCTTACAGATGTTCAACGGATTATTAGCCCCAAACCCAGGAGCTTTTGATGGCTGTGGGGAGACAAGAAGCGTCCAAAGTCGCTTTGGAAATAGTCCATTCTCCATGACGAATAGAGGCCTTTCTATCACACTGAACTTGAGACCCTGGGTGCTAGATACATATTTAGCATGTCTTAATTGCCGGGGTGTCTCTAATTCAACACGGCTGGCGATTTTCCTACGGAGGAATAAGGCAGATGATCAATACTCTCGAGTCACTGTAGACGGCGAGGAGATTTGCTGCCTCCCAGTCAACCAAACCACACACACAATCCCAAACTCCAAGAGCTCCAAGAATATCCCCATCTTCGTGAAAGGGGTCATATCAAAGGAGATAGCAGATTCGGAAGAAATCCTAAACGGGTTTCAAATAAAAAACCAACTCGCTGAATCGTCTTCGGTAGTAGGAAACTGGAAACCGAAATCGCAAACCGTAACCTTCGATCCTGATACCGATGGATGGCGCGACGTCGCCACATTAAACCTTTCTAAATGCGGAAAGATCAAAGTCGTGAAGCTAGGGTTCGACTTCGATTTCAACCCTGTTATTCTCCTCCTCGAGTCGACGGTCAATCCCTCGATTAAATTTATCAACACTTCGCCAATCGTATCCAAAGATGCGCAAGGAGTTTCGAGTGTATGGAAGATGTTTCCCAATGTCCCCCTGAAATGGAACCATGTAGAACCTGGTAAATGGGGAAGCATGAAGGCTTTAGATAATCCATACAATGGCATCTGGGTGTTAAAGGGGGATCGGTTGACGGACATCTCCATAGTTCTCCGGTCTTTGGATATAGTACTCATCCTGCGCAAGAGGCGGATAAGTAATCTTGGATATGCCTGTTTCGGTTGGACGTTAACTATCTTGCATTATAAGGAATGGGAAACGAAGATGCCTTCAATATTGGTCACTCCCTACCTTGATAACTTAGTCTCATCATCACAAGACTATGAGATATAATTACTTACCTATTTATCCCCTTATCCTGTTGCCAGTTAGGAGACATGAAAACCACACAGCACCTAACTTCAGACGTCTAACGCGATATTCAATACCCATGAGGAAGAGACATATCAGAGTGCATAACTTCAATCATCGGGTATCATCCCGCCTCATAAATTTTCAATAGTGGCCTTTTTTCTTTTTATTGTACATGCGGAGTGTGGAAAAAGTTACATCGGGACAAATGATTCCTCATAATACATCATGGGAGGATTTATTATCTCTACCTCCTTAATCCCCATTCGTCCATCATTCGACCCGAGACCTTAACCCCTCCTGTCCTCCTTCCTATATCCCCGCGGACACCGAAGAAGAAGAAAAAGAAAGATCTCTCTAAGCATCGATGAAGCCCTTGACCTGCTTCAACCAGGCCTGGTACTCGCGCTGCTCCTTGACGTCCATGTAGTCGGGGATGAAGACGGCGAGGGCCTGGGTGACGCCGCGCTCCTCGAGGTAGCGCTCCATGAGGAGCTGGAGGTCCTCGTCGAGGGTGCCGAAGGGTGGGCCGGGGTAGACGTCCTGGGCGATGTGTGCGATCTCAGCTGTGTCGCCGTGCGCCAGCTTCGCGTCCTTGAAGTAGTAGAAGTTCTCCACCATGACCTGTCCGTCCTGAGCTAGCGCCTCGATGTTGAGCGCGCCCTTGCCCGGCTTCTCTACCACCACGTTCAACCGGCACGGCACCGGCGCCTCGTTGCCCTCCTCTTCCTCGTCTTCGAGTAGCTCGTCGGTCTCCTGTCGCGCCTGGCGATTGCCTCCCTCGGATTCGAATTCGTCCTCACCAAGAGCGTCTTCGTTGTAGAGGTCTTCATTCTCGTAGTTAGTGAGATCAGAGATAGAGAAGGTGACGGTGATGCTAAGACAGATATGTTAGCGCTGTTCCTCATCGGGGTTAAAGGGCGCAACCTACGTTTCGTTGTTGAATTTTCGTGTTAGGGTGACATCTTCCTTGCCGGGCTCGTCCTTGAGCTCGAAAGGGCTGTTCTCGAGGAAGTCCTTGACGCTGGCGGGGAGCTGGTCGACCTCCTTCATCGAACCCTCGAATTGAATTTCGCTGTCGAGCTTGACGGACAGTTCTTCGTCAACCTCGGAGGCAGCTTGTCTGAATTGAGATGTCGAGAAGGCTGATGCGAACTGCGACGATCTGAGAGGTGCCCATGACGACTTCAACAGAGAGCTCGGTCGAGCTACTCTAGATTGACGGAGCGCGGTGGAACTTAGACGGTTAAGAGTTCGGGGCGCAGATCGCGCAACAGTTCTTAGAGACAACATCTTGTTTAGTCTGAATGGTGACAAACGTATTCAAGATGGTGGTGGAAGTAGTTGTTGAGGGTATCTTGATACTTGATATTAGAGTCTGTATAAATTTGGGGATATGGAACTTTCCTAAAATTTTATCAGCCGATAGCGATACGCACGGACCAACATCTAGGAGGGGAGGTGTAGTGGGGTTAAAGTTAAGCTTTCTTTCAGCGGGTATTCATATACCGTATAAATACCTAGAACTTGATACAGTACGTTATGCGTCTACCAAATTTATATAGATACTGTATGTACATAACGATTGGAAGCATCTCTATTTCTATAAACTCCTTATTTCTAGTAAATACTAGATAGCTATGTCTGCACCGTTAGATAATGGCTGGTCAGACTCTGTCGACACTATTGCCATTTCTGAGGTTGTTTGACACTTTGCACACGTAACGCCATCCCCCCAAATTGGAAAAAAACCTCCAACCAGAAAGCCGTTTTCTGTCGAGTTCGCGTTTATGATGTCGATAATCGAGAATCGATTTCAATGAACCGTGATCTTTGCAGCTTATATTCGTGATGATATCTTGGACCCTTCTTTACATTGCCAGCATTGATATTGGGTCCTATTTGCCAGACTATCAACCCCAGATCCGCAACTTCCGAACACGCCGCTCATACTGGCCGTCTTGCAAGATTGTTCGGAGATTAGAACTGTCTCTTCACGGCCGCAGACGTAACAAGCCCTTAGGTGAGTGACGTATTGACACATATCTAAGTATGTATAAGTAATATGATTCAACTTCAGAGTCTAGAGCTACATACTAAAGTGGATTTGGTCGTAAAACTCGGCAGCTTGCAACTTGATTCACGGTGACGGTTGTCATATGGGGTAGAGATCGTCATATTTTTTCTCATGTAGGGGCATATTAGTCTCCAATTTATACGACGCCAACAGCAGCTCCTACATCGAAAATAATCGAAGCTCCCTTCTGCTGTGATTGTCCTAACGTATGACTTATCTCGAGGACATCACTACTACGATTCTGGTTGGGCCAATCGGGTACCCGAGGAAGCGAAGTAAGAAGAGTCTATCCATCCACGATCATTGCTATACAAGCCACCGGGCCAATCGTTTTGAGCCCTCCAGTTGAGATGATAAGAATCTAGTTTGTTAGATGTACTACGAGTCATTGCTCTGGTATTAAATAGCATGAGTTCAGAGAGGACAATGCACCGAGTAAGTAGCCGCGTCGGAACGAGTCCGTAGGAGACAAGGAGGTTGTGAAATGTTGCACGTTGGCTGACTGTGGATGAGATGATCTGGTTATTTATGAGAGGCAGTCGAGGGATCGGCGCTTCGGGACGTGGCAAGGCTTTCCGGTGTCTTTCAAGGATTCGGGTCCGGGGTGCAGCTAATGTGAACCAGCATCCCATGAATATTCGGCTACCCGCTTCCTTTCCACGTGAACGGAACCATCTAAAAACGGCTGCACCGAGCATTCAGTCGGGTTGCAAGCAGTCGCAATTTTATACCCGTAGTGACACTTGCGCCCAACTAACGTCGAGAGATGCCGAACGTGGCCGGGAATTTGGTTCGCATGGCAGCGCCCAACACGACCCCGTTGCGGATTGCGGAGATCTTGCCGCAGCCTCTAGACGCCACATTTCCGTGGCTAGTCATAGGCACAAGCGTCCCAAGCCGGCATTATCTAATCTGTGCCTATTGTTTCATCGAGAACTTGGAAATCTGGGAACGATTACCGGCATATGTGGCTGGTTGCGGAGTTTGCAGCTGATATGCGCCACGGCTGTAGGTAACCGCGGGTTCGCGAATCAAAGGTCAAACAAGGCCGAGCTCTCTGTCTTGTCTCGGAAACTTCCCACGCCCACACGTAAGGCCCCGTATGCTCCACGATCAAGATAGAAACAGCAGCCGAAGGTACAGGGAATCGTGGCACACCCCCCTTCCAGGCTGAAAATTTCGAACACATGGATTCCGAAAGGTCTTCTCAATGCTCTCCCCTCGGAGGAAAGCTAGAGGGTTGGACTTGGCCGGCGGAAGATATCCTCACCCACTTGACGGTGGTTAGGTAGGACCAAGATCCTTCCCACCGGCTTAGAAGTCCAGCATTATCTTCTGCGTCGAGTACTGGGATTACTGAGGTGCGAATTAGCTGGATGAGATCCCGTCGTCAAACCATAGCGAGTACTCACAAAACCCGTTCTGGTACTCCTTTTGGAGCTTATCAACCTTAGCTTTTAGTAGATCCTCCTTAGTACTAGCAGGACGTCCAGGTCGTCGCGATTTCTTCACATCGCTCAATTCTTCATCATATTGATGGACAAAACTACACAAAGTCAGGTCAAATGTTACTACGCAATACAAGTTCGCACGGAACTAACGTTTTGATAAGCTCATGGATTACATCCATTTCAAGAGGCTGTCCCTCATTCTGTCGGACAGCTTCCTGGAAAAAGGTGGCTCGTTCAACTAAGCACGTCAAGATGTTAATTAGGTGAGTCAAATAGGTGTGGTGGCACAATTGACAATTGACGTACGGTAAGGCCTATCAGTCTTCTTCCTCGACGCTGCAATCTTCTCTAACTTTTCGTCTCGAACTTGAGCTCGATGTAATCTCTTAGAGTCCCGAGAGTATTGGTGAAGGGACTCGATGGGTCCCTTCTTCTTGGCGATGGCTTTGCGAGTTCTTTCAAATGACTTTGGCATCTTGAATGCGATGAATATATATGACGAGGTTGTAAATGTAAGCTGGACAAATGTTTTATCAGTTGTCAGAATACAGATTTTAAGATTTTTCCTCCGTGGAAAAACAATAGTGGGGTAAGAGTGAAAATTGAACGAAAATGGAATATTTCTAGAACAGATGCCCAAAATGGACAGTGTGGGGGCAGAACTTTTTTAAGCTTTGAACCAACTACAGTAAAAGTTACTTGGCGTCTGTTATGAATAACGGTGTGATTTCAACCAGTGAAGTAACTTGTACTAAGTACTCTGAGGCTGACGTAAATTGGCAATCAGCCAGGTACACCCGGGTTGCTAGGGCTGCCAGATCCATTATTATTTAGTGTGTATAATTGGCTAGCCCCACGTTATAGTTTGTCCCACTGTATCCGCCGTAACTTTAGGAAATCGCGGTGTGGCCCACGACGCGGTTAGTCTTTATCGATTATTCTTTTAAATCACCAGGATCAAGCAGCATTTCAACATTCTAACCAAAGATCCAGTGAGCCGCGTCTTTTCTATTTGTTAATTCTATTAACCCTTTCAATCTTTCTCCTCCCTAATCCACAATCCTTCTTCAACCCGCAACCTTTCCAAGAAACGATTAACTGCCAACGTCTCAATCTCTTAACTTCTATTGGGACTGCCGACTTTCGTCAATCAACAACAATCATCAACTGACATTGTCAAATTATAATTGAACTACGCCTTCGTCGCGCGCATATTCTATTATTATCGTCACCTTCTTCAACTTGTATGGTAAGATTGGTCACCCATAACGTCATTTGTCAATCTTTCAGCGGACTCTAAGCTCCATTCCTTCATCGCGATCCTATATATTGTTTCCTCTACTTCCTTTACCAAATTCTAACTATATAAGCAAGGTATCAATCACAATAATTAGCCAGGTCTTTTGTATGGTAGCAAGGTATCAGCCAAGCTTGCAACTCAACTTAGGCCTTGGGGGAGAGGCCCCTTTGTTGCCGTCGAAATGGGGATCCAAGGTTTGTTTACCCGACTAAAACACAACCCTTCAAGCTCTCGGTTTACTTACTTGCCTAGGTTTACTCCCATTGTTGAAGTCGATTCAGAAACCGACGGATTTGAAGAAGTATCGTGGAGAGACATTTGGGGTTGACGCTTATGGTTGGCTCCACCGAGGCACTGTACCATGTGCCATTGAACTTGCCCAAGGCAAGCCCACTCGCAAGTAAGTCTCTGTCATCATACTGCATATCGTATACGACCATTGAACCCCCCTCTCACACATTATGCACTAGGTATGTGGATTTTGCGATGGGTCGTGTCAAAATGCTTCAGCACTTTGGCATTACACCGTATCTAGTTTTCGACGGCGGATATCTACCTAGCAAAGCCTCAACCGAGGCCTCTCGTGAAACCCGCAGAGAAGAATCTAAGAAGGCCGGTCTCGAACTTCTCAAGGCAGGCAAACCATCACAAGCTCACATTCAGCTCCAAAAAGCCGTTGACGTTACCCCAGAAATGGCACGACACTTAATCGAGGAACTGAAGAAAGCCGGCGTGCCCTATGTGGTAGCACCATATGAAGCCGACCCGCAATTGGTTTACTTGGAACGAGAAGGGCATATCAGTGGTATCCTCTCAGAAGATTCGGACCTTCTTGTATTCGGTGCCAAGCGACTTTTGACCAAACTTGATCAGTATGGTCAATGTATTGAAATCAATCGTCGAGATTTCGGTGCTTGTCGCGAGGTGACCTTAACAGGTTGGACGGACAGCCAATTTCGGCATATGGCTATCCTAAGCGGCTGCGATTATCTTGCGAGCATTAACAGTCTCGGGTTAAAAACTGCGCATAGGATGTTACGTAAACATAAGACCCCGGATCGAGTTGTTCGTATGCTGGAATTCGATGGCAAATATCGTGTTCCGCCTGGTTACCTGGACATGTTTCGCCAAGCTGAACAAACCTTCCTTTACCCATGGGTGTTTTGCCCAAAGGCCAACGAGTTGGTTCATTTCAGCAACCCTGGCCCGGACATCAAAGTGGAGGAACTTTCATTCATTGGCCCGTTCATTGAACCAAAAGTTGCCAGAGGTATTGCAGTCGGCGATGTGAATCCTATCACAAAGCAACAGATACTGCTCAAGCCCCGCCCTTCTCCACGAAAACGAACAGCCTCAGGTGGTACGCCCGCCGTCTCTCATCAGACAAGAGTACCCCCAGAGAAGCCTATTGATTCCTACTTTAAGGGTCATCGCCGAATCCCGCTTGGTGAAATGGATACAAATTGCTTCACGGTAAATCCTGGTCGCTTATCCGCGCTGACAGATAATGGGAATCGATCAATTGTATTCCCTCTTCCTCGACCATATCTTCAGGAGGACCGCCGAGCATCATCCGTGAACCCACGCAACTACATAACTCGCCCCGAGACCGTATCTCGTACCTTGCGACGTCGAACGGAGCCAGTATCTAACCTTCTCAACAACAACGGTAATCTTGTGCCATCTGAGTCACAAGGTCAAGCCACCGGGGTTAGAACCAACACCACGAGTAGCTTGCAAGGCACGGGTGCTAATGCCGCTAGGCCGTCTAAGAAGGCACGTCTATGTGACGATGGCAGCTCGGGGCTAAGTCCTAACAACAAGAGCAAGTTTTTCTCAGCAACAACTGCTAAGAAAGCAGGTGGCAAGAAGGGTCTCGGTTATTTGATGTCCGATGACTCTATTGAGGAGGCTCTGATGGACTTGCCGGACGTCGACGGATGGGGGAAATCGGCTAAGGGACAGAAGGAAGTACCCGTTTATGAGGAGGAGCAATCGGTCAAAGCGGAAGTTTCTAAGGATGGCACCGAAGAGGAGCTGACTCCGAGCACACCGAGTAGCTCGGGAATCGTAGAGCGATACTCGTACATGCCAAATGTTTCGCTCAACTTGTCGACCAACGGATGCAGCCAGTCAAGACGCCAAAGTGGACCTGCTTCTCGTAGAAGTTCGCTCATAGACCTAACCCCCGCATCATCCATCACAACTTCTGCGCCCTTTAGCTCGTCCGGCTACCCATCAACAGCAAAGACGACTCCGGGCACGACACGCTTGACACCTCTTGAGCGACTTGGTGTTCAGGCTTTGGGTCGCAACAAGCAACCTTCGACGCCGACATTTGGAGCACCCCGACCCGCGAAGCGTTCTGGCCTGGGACGACCTAGTTTGGATTCGTTGCCGATTAACCCAGCATTCGTACCTCTGCCGCCGGTAGATTTAGAGGAGGTGGAGGCACTACATCAGCCTCTTGGTAGTGAGGATTTGATGCTATCTGAGAGTGGGAACGAGGAGGAAGACTTGGAGGCAGAGGAGGGACAGGAGAATATCGGGGAAAAGAAGAAGAAAAGAGGTGGTAAGGTGGACTTGTCGAGATTCCTTTTCGCTTAGATGACAAGTCTTCGCAGACTACGCCAGGTACCAGTGTGTCACTTTGCTCTATAATCCAGACAACACACATGAGGTACAATAGGTACATTATACGCCAGTCCTCGAAGGAATCGAGGCTATACATACATCAGTTTATCAGCATGGCGCTGGAGTTAATTTTCAAGGAGGTGGCGACGGAGTTTAAAGGCGTTTAGCAAGAGTCCTTACGAGTTCCCCAGTTCAGGGCCACAAGGACCGGAAAGTCAAGTAACTACCTGCCTATGTAAGATATTCTCATAGGCGGCATGAAAAGCAAATCAAACGACATCATTATGAGGATTACAAATAAATGCATGCTATTAGTGTCCAATTGCTTCTGAATATTCTTCACGTTGATTATTTGTGTGTACTAGGTAGGTGCCTAATCAACGTAGCTTGTCGTTATATAACAGGTACCTAGAGGCTTTCGACATGATATTTAAGGGGAGAGGCTAACTCAGTTGATATATTCGGGCTTAAGATACAAATAGGGGTATATCATCCCTTATGTCCCTCGTGGCAATGCCAATGACCAATACATGTAAGTACATTAATGATGTATCTCGGCGTTTCCCGACAACCGTCACGAAGTTCAAATGTTAAGCGTGGATATTTAATAGGTTAATCCAAGTAAGCCGGCTACCGAAGTATGGCCGACCCTCTTACGGATTATTAGCGGCGGGACTAGGTAGCACTAAAAATTGAATGGAGCCTCGAGTATTTGGTAAGCAATGCCTGTCAGTTGCGTCAGAAACCGAAACCCGCGCCTGCCGTACGTACAGGCAGAGAGGCAGAGACAGGGACTGTGTGACCTCGATCGCCGAGACCCACTTTACACACTTGCCCACTTGCTCGCACTTGCCTGCCCCAAGCCCCCCAAACATAACCTGGAAAGCAGTAAGTGCGAGTAAGTGCGAGTCGAACAACGTAACAACCTTGGGAAGGCAGCTAGGATTACCATCCAACGTGCGGTTGCCAACGCTTAAACGCTACTTTCTTTTCCCACTAATTATTCGGATAACACCAACCTGACCCTGAACCAACCCATAACTTCAATACTAACACCAAATCACATCACCATCACAATCTACCAATCTGACCAGCCTCCTTTCCCTAAGTCGTAAATCAAGGCTCACGTTGTTTGCTTGTAGTTGATCACAAATCTATTTCGAAATGTGTTAACCTGATTTACGATTTACTCACTTTTCCGGCTTCATTTTCTCCCGGGAATTGTTGCTGATTCACTTCTCCATTTTCTCTTCTCCCCTAGCCTTGTCCCTGTAATTGACCCCTCCTCCGGTTTTTTACTGCTGACGACGTAGTGTTCATTTCTATTCCGCTCGGAGTATCCTACGTCTCTTCCGTTATTACATACTAAATACCATTCCGACCCCCGAGTCACTTAAGCGGCGTTTGCTTTCTCGAGTTGTCGAGTTGTCGAGTGATACACGGCCGTGCCACACCATTTCTGACTGGGTAGATCATCACGGGGTCATTCCAAACCCATAACGTAGCCTGTCGACACCCACTAAAGCGTCACGCAACACTATTTACCTTGCTTATCGTAGGCTATTTATTGCCTTCGAACATCTCAATTACCCATCAACCGAGGCTCGTCGTTGACGAGCATCTCCCGAGCCAACATTTTAAACCGACAAGATTCCTCCCACAACGAGAAAGCGGAAAGCCGCTGAGGCGAAGATAGCTGCGGACACTGGCGAGGCCCTTCCTAACAAGAGAGTCCTCGCCCCAGCAGCTGCTGAAGACAACGCGGCACCGCCCACCCCCATCACCGGTATGGATTCCGACGAGGACTTCGTGTCGACTGTCTCTAGTGGGGACGACATGATGCAGGATGAGAGCGATAATGATGATTTGTCTGGAGCCGAAGGTAATTTCATACCTTTTTTGTTTCATTTCACGTTCCCTTATGTCTATTTCTTTCCCTCTGTTGTAGCCTATTTCAAACTTATCGCCTTACGTTGTTCATGACTGACAATGCGCAATTAAATTAGACTTCGATGTATTCGATGACGAACCCGACGATATACCCGGTATTCCCTCGCAAAAGTCCGACAAGAAGAAGGGAGTGTCTTTCGACATCAGCTATAGAGTATACACCCCACACGATATTCAGGACCAACAAGAAGAAATGGTAAATGAAGTAAATATGATCTTAGAGATGAGCAAGGAGGATGCCGCCATATTACTCCGATACTTTCGTTGGAATAAGGAACGATTGATCGAAGACTATATGGATAACCCTACCAAGGTTTTAGAGGCTGCGGGCCTGGGTTTTAGCTCTTCTAGCCCTCCTAAACTTCAGGTCATACCAGGATTTATGTGTGATATTTGTTGCGAGGACGAGGCGGGGCTTCAAAGTTTTGCGATGAAGTGCGGCCACCGATATTGCGTCGATTGCTACCGACAATATCTGACACAGAAAATTCGCGAGGAGGGCGAGGCAGCCCGCATCCAGTGTCCTGCCGAAGGGTGCAACCGTATCATCGATGCTCGATCGCTCGATTTACTTGTGACTTCTGACTTGGCCGGTCGATATCAAGAGTTACTCAACCGAACTTATGTCGAAGACAGGGATGTACTTAAGTGGTGTCCCGCGCCTGATTGCGAGAACGCCGTCGAGTGTGCTATTAAAAAGAAAGATCTGGATAAGGTGGTGCCGACTGTTGCTTGCGCCTGTGGCAATAGGTTCTGCTTTGGTTGTATCTTAAACGACCATCAACCGGCTCCTTGCGAACTGGTTAAGAGGTGGTTAAAGAAATGCGCCGATGATAGCGAAACAGCAAATTGGATTTCAGCGAACACCAAAGAGTGCCCCAAGTGCAACTCCACGATCGAGAAGAATGGAGGGTGCAACCATATGACATGCAGAAAATGCAAACACGAATTCTGCTGGATGTGTATGGGACTCTGGTCGGAACATGGCACAAGCTGGTACAACTGTAACAGATTCGAGGAGAAGAGCGGTACAGAGGCACGAGACGCCCAGGCTAGATCCCGAGTATCTCTCGAGCGATATCTCCACTACTACAACCGGTATGCCAACCACGAGCAGTCGGCGCGTCTCGACAAGGACATCTACCAGAAGACGGAGAAAAAGATGGTGCAGCTGCAGACGGCTTCGGGCATGTCCTGGATCGAGGTTCAATACTTGAACTCGGCATCCCAAGCCCTGCAGACTTGTCGACAGACGCTGAAGTGGACTTACGCTTTTGCCTTTTACCTAGCCCGAAACAACCTGACGGAGATTTTTGAGGATAACCAAAAGGATCTAGAACTTGCGGTCGAGGCTTTATCTGAAATGTTTGAGAAACCTATCTCGGAGTTATCGGAGTCTAAACTGAAAGTTGATATTATGGACAAGACGGCGTATTGCAACCGTCGCCGGGTTATCTTGTTGGAAGATACGGCAGACAACTTAGCTAATGGTGAGTGGGCAGTTATTCCTACGTCCCACTAGTAGCTTAACTAACTGTACGTTTGCTCGCAGGTCGGTGGACTTTCAATGTAGATTTGAAGGGTAACGCTCCTGGAGCTGGCGGGGTCAGCTCTCGCGGATAAATTGTATTGTAAGCATAGATAGATGGCGATCATGGGCGGCGTTCTGGCGCATATTGTGTTTATGCTCTCTTGCCAATTTATCACGTACGCCATTCCAGCGCATTCTCTTGCAGACACGAATGCCACTACGCGTACCATCTCATCTACATATACGAGTCCATCTTGATCGGTTTCGTCTATACCTCGACCCCCTCTCAGCAGTATTAGGGTACTAGGTAATCATGGGAATCGGATATCCATGAATTACACCACTCGAGAATGAAGCTCATATCTAACTAGCATAGTCCCGTATCCTAATACATAGCAACATTCATCCCATAATGCATATTATTTCTTTTCCTTTGTCACGTAGACATGCCGTAAAACTCGTAAGTTGGTCTTCTATTCTATAATCACACTTAGAAATGCGTAACAGATTACTTATATGACGATACTATTTTCGTACATGCAAGTAGTTAATGAGGCTACCTATATATAACCTCAATAATATTTATAACTTGCTGCCTACATGTAGTTATCCTATGTTTAGAACTCCTATTCAACCGTATTCCGCATCCGTAGTACGCACCGGTAATTTGTAAGTTCCAAGTAACTCATATATAACCAAGTACATACCGCTACGGCACAGTGCGGATGATCCGGCTAGAAAGCTCGCAACTCCAAATTAGCCAGATGTATGGCGTCACAAGGTACACCACATAAAGTACTGTGCGAGGACCCGACCGGACAAACGGTGCCCGTTGCGACGAAACGTCATAGTTGAAACGGCCGCATATTATTCTCACACTTACCCGGAGAGCTAAGCTCAACAACGTCTGTCGTTGTGGCTTTTTTACACTTTCCGCCGTTCCCTCACCTTGTCTTACCTTGCCTTACTTTATCTGCTTAAGTCCCTAGTCTCTCGTCACGATTCCCAATCCCAATCCCAACATTTTTTCGTGCGGTCTATTTCACTTAGCCACCTACCTCTAAACATTTGATTCAGCCGCACACCTACCTACCCACCTACCTAATCACCACAACAACAATGGCATTCCGCGCCCTCCGCACCTCCCTCCCCCTCGCCTCCGCCACCAGCCGTCGCCAGTTCCACGGCACGGCGCGCGCGTTCGTCCGCGCCGGCGACGCGGTGCCTGATCTCGAGGTGCTGCACGAGGATTCCCCCGGGAACAAAGTGAACCTCGCGACCGAGTTCGCGAAGGGGAATGGGGTGATTGTCGGCGTGCCGGCTGCGTTTTCGGGTGCTTGTAGCCAGACCCATGTCCCGGGGTATATGAAACATCCGGCGCTGAAGAAGGCTGGGAGTGTTTTTGTTGTTAGTGTTAATGATGCTTTTGTGTAAGTGGCTTGCTGGTTTTTGATTTTGGGAGGGTTTTGGGGGGTGAGGCTGGGGGTTGAGGAGGGGAGAAGGGGGAGATATGATGAGATGGGTACGAGGGGATTGAGGCAACGTGCTGACGTGAAATAGCATGAAGGCGTGGGCCGACCAACTTGACCCTACGCGCGAGTCTGGGGTGAGTCTATTTCGATGCCTACCTACGTACTCAGGTATCTCTTATTAACATGCGCCCAGATTCGCTTCCTAGCCGATCCCGCTGGTGAATTCACCAAGGCGCTAGACCTGGACTTTGACCTGCCGGCCGTGTTCGGCAACACTCGGGGCAAGCGCTACGCTCTTGTCATCGAGAACGGCAAGGTTAAGTCTGTGCATGTCGAGCCCGACAACACCGGAACTAACGGTGAGTGTTTTCTGCCTTGTCCCTATTACTCTGCATAGAGGAGAGGTGTATATCGCGAATACTGACTTTTGTACCTAGTTTCTCTTGCCGAGAAGGTTTTGGGTTAGAGCTGTAGCGGTTCTGTAGTATGATATGAATGGTGTAAAAGGCGGAAAAGGAGGTTAGGTAGCAGAGAGAGGGATATGAGAGATGAAGTAATGTCTGTATATACGTGGATATGCCTTGCGATGACATTTCTAGTTCTCGAATGCTGTTTTTGTGGTGAACAGTTGGACTGTTATCCCTATAAAACTCCCTGAGTTCGTGATGCGAAAAAGTGGATCACTCACGATAGGGATATATAATTGTGGTAGCAAGTCGGGATTTCCACCGGCGACGTTACCCCCATCACTGTTGTGCAGTCACAGCTCACTCAATCTCATAATAAAAGCACGAGCGTAGCAAAAAGCTAATCATTAAGTATCTTTTCAACAGAGCCTGCAATGCTATCAGCACACCAGCAAATAACAGCACAGCTCAATAAGCCAATCTAGTAGCGATCCCATGATTCCAGACGCCGAGCAAGCCGTCATGATTACATAGTTACAATCCTTTTTCCTCCTCCCATCAGTTATAAACCCAGTATCCTCCTATACAATTGGCATCACCATCTCACAACGCCTGAACGGCCGTAAAAAACGGGTTCGCGAGTAACCTCTCGTCGCCCTTGACAAGCTCTCTGAGCCGGTTTACCTTTTCCTCCTTCGACATACCCTCGTCCTTAATGGCGTCTTTCCATTTAACCAGCACCTCCTTTAATCTCGCGCTACCCTCCTCGACGTCCTCCTTGCTGTACTGCTGTGCGCCGGATTCGTGTTTGGCCGTAAAGTCCTCCAGCTCGTCGGCCTTGCGCTTCGCCATCCGCACCACCTTGTCCGGGAAGCGGACGAGCTCCGCGACGTGGATACCGAAGCTCTGGTCGCAGATGCCAGGCTCAACTTTGTATAGAAGCGTGACCTCGCGCTTGTCGACGCCTTGGTTCTGGGCCGACGAGGAGATGTGTGCGGCGACGTGAAGGTTACGGACCTGGGGATGGTTGTCCGCGAGTGCGGTCAGTTCGTGGAAATGTGTTGCGAACATGGCGAAGCAGCCAATCTCCTTGATGATGTGTTCAGAGATGGCCCACGCGAGACCGAAGCCATCATACGTCGACGTTCCGCGGCCGAGCTCGTCGATGATGATGAGGGATTCAGCCGTGGCCGATTTGAGGATGTTGGCCGTCTCTAACATCTCGGCCATGAATGTGGATACGCCTTTGAGCTGGGAGTCGCTGGCTCCGACACGCGCGAGTATGGAGTCGAAGATGGTGAGCTCGGCCTCGGTGCAAGGGACGAAACATCCGATTTGCGCCATTAGCGCGATTACGCCGATCTGTCGGATATACGTGGATTTACCGCCCATGTTGGGACCTGTGATAATGAGGAAGGATGACTCATCGCGACGGAGATCGACATCGTTGGTGATGAACTGGACGTCGTCTTGCATTTCCATGCATGGGTGGCGGGCCTCCTTCAATATTGTGGATCCCTCGCCTCGAGAGTGGATTGTGGGACGGACATAGGAAGTAGGTGCATGTACTGAGCAGTGCGCAAACGATACGATGACATCGAGATGTGCCAAGATGCCAGCCAGTTGCTCGAGTACTGGGCAGTAAGAGGCTGCGACACTTACAACTTCATTGACCAACCCGCTCTGGGTTCTGTCGTAGGTCTGGGATAACTGATCAAATTCCCGACGGTAGGATTGTAGTGTCCTTGTGGTGAAGTAGACACCGTTCTTTTGCGTAGAACACTCCTGATATTGGGAGTTGTTGCGAATGCAGCCAGCTTCTGTCCTCGTCAGTCGCATACACCAACCGTGGGATTTGTGATTCTCGAGGAATATCTTCTTGTTTTCTTCTTGGTTTAGGTCATCCGCTGCTTTCCTAAACTCCGAATCCATATTTGACCTGAGCTTGTCGAGTTTTCTTCGGACGATGCGCAAGTTATCATCAAATTCAGGCTTGATAATATATTCGTGGTTATCAAGAGCCTCGAGATCAACGGTTGTCTCAACCATATCTGCGAGCTTCCCGAGACTGTCTGAGAGCTCCCTTAGTTTATTGGTATATGCCTCATCTAACGGATCCTTGTACTTCTCATCCATCACTCCCTCTAACGTTCCCAGGAATCCAGGCAAGCGAATAACTACCTGGTATGCCCTGACAACGTCTTCTAAATTTGCTTTATTTCGCTGGAATCGCTTCGCTAAGCGATATAGATCTGGTACCGATTTCAGGTGCTCTTCTTGCATTGTCTGACGCAATTCCGTATCGTTGACAAAAGCCTCGACCAGTTGTTGGCGCTTCTCAATCTCGTCCTTGCTCATGAGAGGCTGCTTTAGCCATTGTGACAGTAATCGGCTACCAACCGGCGTTTTGCAATGGTTGAGAAGCCCATATAAACTCATGGTCTTCGAGCCATCTCTTACACCTGGCATTAAGTTAAGAGCCTTCAGGGCCGCGGCATCAAGCTTCATGAACTGTGACAAATCGTGCTGATACAATTGATACTGACCAAAGTTAGACGAATCCTGAAGGACACTCAAATACTTGATCAATGCAGCGGCGGAACCCATAGCTAATTTGAGGTCCGTTTGGGGGAGAAGACTGGCTGATCGTTCATCCTTGAGTAGTCGAGCAAGATCCTGCTCGATATCCTTGGTTCCAAAATCACTAGCTGGTCTTTCAGCTATAGCAACTCCGCAGTTGTCAATGATCTGTTTCAGCTTGGCCAATTCGGGGTCTTTATCCTTCTCAGCCTTGTCAAACTGGATAAGGCATTCCTTAACACCGAGCTGGATGAGCAGAGCCTCAAAGTTGGAATATAAATCATTGTCAAGAAACTCGCTAACACCAAGTTCTCTCACACTGGCATCAGCAAAACAGACGCCCACACTCCTGGCCTCAGAGGCTTTGGCGGATATCTTGACAGCTAGTATCATGGGTGCCGAATCAAACTGACCACCAAGCTCTTCCTCAACATCCTGCAAGTTTCCAGGAGAGGCTTGTTTAATAATCTTCCAGTTCATCCGACCACCGTTACTAGCATATATCTCAACTCGCTTTCCAAGCTTAAAGAGGGCTTCTCGTAGGAATTGTCGGAAAACTGTAACAGTCATGGTAACGGAGGGTAGACCACTGGCATCATTTCGTCCTAGCTGTCGCACTACAGATGTGGTTTTGTAAACCGTTCTTGCGATGAAGTTGGCATTTTCACCATGAGCCGTGTACCAATCGCCTCGGTCGAATATGCGTACGGTCTCATCGCCCACGGATGGCAGTGACTTGAAGAATCGGATGAAGCCATGTTCATCGTCGACCTATCGTAAATTTGTTAGCTTCGAGTTGAAAATGAACCAGACCTCATGTGCGTCATACCTTTAACTCGGGTCGGGACGACATCTTGGCTGAATTTCTAGGTGTTTAGTTGTCCAGTCGTCAATAATACACAGTGTTTTCTTTTATGTAAACAGTAAGAGGAAGATGGAAAATTTTGTCAGGACATTTATCTCATTTTTTGAAGCACAATTTTCTCCTATTCAAAGATGAAGTAATTAATAAGTCGCGTCTAAAAACCAATTAAAGCTGGGAGACGCGCCGGAACACGCTAAAACCTCCCCTTGTCGGCTTATGTAACCCATCTACATAAATTTTTCTTGGTACCTAGGTACCTAGTACCGTACCGGCAAAATGTGGGTTAAAAGTACTAGGTAACGGCTATTTACCGCGAAAAAACGTTGCTGAAAGAAAACGATTTTTAACCTCACAATCGTTTTTAATATTCAAACTATGTAGGTAGAAACGATAAATAGAAATAAGTATTGGTCATTATTAAAATAGGAAATGTTGCCAAGGTTTTGCAATCTGGCAGCTGCGGTCATAAACCAAAAGACTTACAAGTTTTTTTTTTTTCTCTCTAAGTCAACAAACCGTTTTACACACACACTTCTCTTCTCTCTTTGCAACACCAAGTCAAGTCAGTTAAATAGTCTATTCAGTCTATTAGTTTCAAGTAAGTATCTCCAATTCAACGTATTGAAGTCAGTCTAATCTAGTCGCGTCAGATCAACAAGATACTGTCAGTTCTATTCTAGTAAGTCGACTCCATTCTGATCGAAACAAAGCAAGCTAATAGATCTGATCTAGGTGATCTAGATCTACATAGTTCCTGTATACAGTATAAAGAAGTAAGTTGGTATCTAGGTCAGTATCTGGTGAAGTTGGCAACCAAGCCGCGCTAGGCATTTACGGGTATGTACTGATACTTAGACCAGTCTGTTTATCATACCTAGTAGCAACTACTCCAAAGTAGCTACTTTATATAAATAATTATCCAATCTCTAAAATAGCTTCTTTGCAAGTTATCGTTTTTAAATCAAGAACAGTTTTTATCAAGTAAATCATTCAGTTCCTACTAAATGGGCACACGCAAATCGGCGTTCAAAACCCGTTCTTGAAACCCCCACATTGCCGGTATGGTACAAAGGTGCCTTTCAAAAGATTTTACCATACGCCAATCCCTGTCAATTGCGACACCAGCTGGAAGCTCTTATTTAACAACTGGCAGGTTATATCGCCAACTTTCCTCGATTATTTTTTAACTTTTAGTTGATATTTTTTAACCACTTCTAAATCTAAATCAATAAAAACTTCTTAAAAATATTTAATATTAAGTATTATTTATAAATACGTAGATCTTTAAACTTTTAAGCCTAAATATCAAAAGAAATAGATAGTTAAAGTCGACGGTTTATCTAAGGTGAAAAGGCAGTTGGCAATACAGCTGGCGTCTAAGCTAGCAGCTATGCAGTACAGCTGACAGGGATTGGTCTATGGTAAAATCTTTTGAAAGGCACCTCTGTACATAATCCATAATCTACCAAGTATGTACCTATGTACTAGGTACTGGGTACTTGTCTAGGTACTTGTCCAGGTACCTATTGCGGGGACTTGGGGAAGCGAACTCGGTTTTTTACAGGGATCTTCGAAGCTCTTATTCGGACCCCACCAATCCTTAGAAACTTTCTTCATCCTTTCTTTCGCAAAAACAACTTTGAATCCTCAATTCTGCAATCTTCTAAATCGCTATACAATATGGCAGAAATTGCGGATTTAGTAGGTGATTTAACTCAATCATCTAAAACTTTAGGAGATTCATGCACCACAATGAAATCCGAAGTTCAATCGAACCAAGTCGTCGGATCGAAACGACCGCATCCAGACGACGACGACGATGAGAACGTTGGCGGCAATGCCAATTGTAAGCGCAACAAGTTAGATAACGGTACCGAACCCGAGGCACTTGCACCTACGCTTTCTGCCACATCCGATCCCGCTTCAATCTCCGCATCCACCACCGCTGCTGTTGTCGCTACTACAGCCGTCCCCACGCTATCCAAGAATCAGCTGCGAAAACAGAGACAACGAGAGCTTTGGATAGAGAAGAAGAAAGAGAAGAAGGTCTTGCGTAACCAGAAGCGCAAGGATAAACAGCAACAGAAGCGAATAGAGAAGGAAGCAGAGATTGCCGCCGCTGCTGCCGAAGGCAGAGAACCTGTATTCGATGAACCCGAGCGACCACCCAAGCCAACACAGGTTCAAGCACCTGTAACAGTTATCATCGACTGCCAATTCGAGAAGTACATGATGGAGAAGGAGTTAGTGTCTTTGTCAAATCAAGTCACCCGCTGCTATTCCGACAATAGAAACTCTCGGTATCCCGTCCACATGTTCGTCAGCTCCTACGGCGGCTACATGAAGGAGAGAAATGAGACGATTTTGCAGAACCAATTCAAAAATTGGAAGAATGTCCATTTCGTAGAAGGCGATTTTGCCGAAGCAGCTACTCAGGCTAAGAAGTTAATGGGGACTGCCGAGGATCAGGTTATCGAGGCCCTCGCGCAAGGCAAAGAAGGAGATGCCATTTCTTTCACAGTGGCCGATCACGACGGCAAGAAGAAGCACAAGTCTGCACCTACCCCGGAACCTGAAGCCGCCGACGTAGAGAAGTCCATCGTCTACCTCACCGCCGATTCACCATACACCATTGATCGCCTTGAGCCAGGCACATCTTATGTCATCGGTGGCATAATAGATAAGAATCGCGAGAAGGGTTTATGTTATAAGATCGCGCGGGAGAAGAACGTTCGTACAGCAAAGCTTCCTATCGGCGATTTCATGGTGATGCAGAGCCGCCATGTCCTAGCCACGAACCACGTGATGGAGATCATGCTCCAATGGTTAGAGACGGGTGACTGGGGAAAGGCTTTCGTGAAGGTGATTCCTACGAGAAAAGGAGGAAAACTTAAAGGAGGTGAGGGCGCATCTACACCAGAGGATCAGCCGGCAAACGACGCGATTACGGCCGATGACGCCTTCGAGATGACCCCTCCTGAACCGAATGTGACCTCTCCCAAACCAAGCGAACCCGAGAATCCTACGGCTCAAAAACCCCATAGTCCCATCCAAGTAAAAGGAAACGAATCGGATGATTCTAGCATGTCTTTACACAATTAGGTCGGTTCAAAGCCATAGTCAGTGACACAAGCACCAGTCAAGCAAGCTAAAGAGGAAGCACTTGCTGGCAACACTCCAACTAACCAAGATAGACGTACGGACACTACCGACGACCCCAACGACCCTAGTATTTGGAAAACCGCCCTTGACAAACTCCCCCTAAACAGAGACCCTAACAACAGAGTACGGGACTGGAGGAAGAAGGTCAACCTCGCCATGATGACTCCTAGCCGACAACAACAACGCTCGAGTGAATAACGGTCGGAACGACGAATCCTATCATGTATATGGTAGGACACGCGCAGCGTTTCCTTTATGTTTCTTTTGAGATATCCCGACACGGCTCTATACAACTTTGCGGTTGACTGTGCTTCGAATTTTTAGGTAAATAAAAACCTAGCGCATAAACTTTCTGGGCTTGTGATCTTTTTTAAGTATAACCCCTATAACCACTAAGCTTTAACAGCACCTAAGAATGGCGATAATAATATCCCAGTTAAATGCGGATGCCTTCTAACTCTTAAGGCACCTTCGCTCCTCTCTTCCCTTCTAATTGTATAGTATCGTCAATCGTACAACAAATTCGAAGTCCCTACTTGGACTTGATCTCGTAGACGGAGGATTCTTCACTCGAAAGTGTGTCCCACACTGTTAGGGGTCTCGATTCAAACTTTTCGCAGACAACTAACTGATCTAATAATACATGCCCTTCATCGAACTGGGCTCGTGAGAAATGTGGTGGTTATTATTCGACAGCGACTATCGTCGGGATTTGACTTATTGCTTCTGGTGGCTGCGACAGTGGAAATGAAAGCAAGGCTCAGTTTTGACCAAGGTAGATTTTCATATTCTAGGATATACAACGACTGTTATTATACGTCACAGGTGCACTATTACCTCTCGCGCCCAATTTTCACAGGTTTTTAAGAGGCTCGCTCTCAAGTTCCGCCAGCACGCGCGAGTGTGTCGCCGACATGGGCACAGGTAATTCGGTATGCCACTGAGCATGGGAAACCGGGTTATCTCGACCTCCCATATGCGTGTCCTGCAGTTCCGCCACTCTCTCCCGCCCATCGATTTCTTGTGTGTCCTGGCCATGCAACTCGCCGAAAGCTTTCTCAACCGACAACGTCCTTTTCCCTCTTCGTAGAAGCAACCACCTTATTATACTACTGCTCCTGAGCACGTCGCCTCCATTCGAACCAGTATTTATGACCGTTCCCGGGCCCTGTCCGTGTTTCCTCTTTTCCCGTCGACGAACGCAGCCGAGATAAAAGATAGACACTAGCATAGCTACGAACGCCACAGCGCCAATTCCGATCCCGGCTTTAGCTCCATCCGATAAGCCGCTCGAGAGCCCCTCAGTATCCGCGCCATCCTGCCCGAGGTCATCTATGGTAGGAGTACTAGTTGAAGACCCTGAGCTGGTAGTTGCCGTAGGCGGAAGGGAAAGTCCCATAATCGACCTAAAAGAATTCGCGACGGGAGTCGAGAAGGAGGTCAGGTCGTCCGAATTCCACACTATGTTTATAGGTTCCATGATCCCCACAACGGCCGTGGATATTATCGTCTTTTGAGAATTAGACAGGTTATTATCGGGGGCTTTCTCGTCCCTAATAGCTGCGGTGACTCCGACAAGGTCTGCGACGCATACCGTGCTTGTCAGAAACCCTTCGTAGTATGATAATGTGTAGTCTCTAACATAACGTCAGTACAAGTTCCCACCTACCTACTTAGCTAAAATAGCAAAAAGTCGATTCTATCCATATCAATTCCTAAAAACGCGGCAAAGAGCCCGAAGACTTACGAGCTACAACACCGACCAACCCACCAGCTCCGTCCCCCAACACTCGCCGCCTCCACCGTCACATCCAGACTTTTGAATTCCTGTCCACTGGGACATACCCCCGGCCTGTACAGAGTGTTCACACCGCTGAACGGCTGGCAGTGGCTCTGGTAACGCGAGTTCTTTTCCCGGTCCCTCCATACCGTGCCCGTGGTTTGCAGAGCGTATACCCAGTACGTGCTGCACTCAGTCGGGGGCGTGTAAGTGGTCAGTAGAGGGGCCAGGTCGTTGAACTGGTTTACGCTCGTTGAGACGGTTGTTTGGGACCCGGGGAGACTTGTCATGGCGGGAGAAGATAGGTTCGATGAGGTCCACGTGAGATATCTACATATTTGAGCTAGAGAGTCTCAGAGGAGGGACCCCTCCTCTTATTTTTTTCCCTCTTTTCTTTCCCTCTTCTGCAGAGGGCGAAATTCGGGGGTCGGATTTTGAGGACGATGTTTATACTCCGACGACGTGGTTTATTAGTGGAGGGTTTGGGAGATGGATCGCTTGTCATCTTATGGTATTCATGGGTATGATTGGTTTTACCCAGGGCTGTGGTCGTTGATACGACTGGATGAAACTATATGTTCTGGTCTGTTAGGACGGGAATGTTGCATGTTGCATATATCTCGTGTTTTGGCCCCCAACGCATGCAGTCCCTTGTTTCTCACCGCACATATGGTATGAGGTTAGCTGTATTTTCATAGATATAAGCTCTATCTTGTGGATTTAAAGGTATTCTATCTATACAAAAAAGACTAGTTATGGATTTTGAATACCTACATAGCCGTGATGGAAAATATGACTAACCCGCAGATTCTATGTACCTACACTTGAACATGACTACCTACCTAGGTAGATTTCCCTTGTCTAGGTATACCAAGATGATATCTCCTAGGTAGGTATATAGCCCTTTCCCATACTGAGTTGAAAAGATGAACTCATTTTGTACATTAGTTCCTGTCACGCTCTGCTTTCCAAGCGAGAAATATAGGTGGTTGACTATAGGATTCATCTCACAATTACCCATACACTTCTTAACATCTTAGGTTTAAGGGCATACGGCATTGTTTTTCAAATATCTGCCCCTATTTCTCTTTACCCAAAAGGATATACTTACGAAATATAATGTGTAACGTAGGTACCCCCTAATTCACTACAGTCAAATGGCCAGGCGATGTTCTCGCTCCAAAGAAGCGGTTCTAATACTCCAAGAAACAATATAAAAAGACGTTAGCCACAAAATTAAATGGCGTTAATCGAAGGACTACCTAGGCATCGCACAAGTCAACATCAGACATGCCGTACGACGCAAGAGCCGCATAACACACCACCAAACTATAAGTAGAACAAACTCTCCCCTACATACCGCTCCTCGCGCACCCACCCCCCGACGCGGAATTCGGCAGAGGTCTTAGGTCCGGGCGACAACCCTCGATACATCTCGGAAGGACCCCTAACAGTCCCCAATCGAGCCTGAGTCCTCGGCTGTGGGTAGCGGTAGCTTCATCTCCCTCCTCCCAACCTCCCTCCCAACCATACCTACACGTATGTTTCGTTTCGTACGGTTGTATGCCACACGCTATTTTAAGAACACAGAAACACAAAACACAAAACGCAGTTCCCCTTGGATGGATGGATAGATAGATAGGTACTATTGCTACCATAGGTAACATCGCAACCAGCCACGCAGCGTCGCAGACGACGCGCACATACCTATGTAATATATCTTATCTAGGGGAGGGCAGATGGGGAAAGCGACCCTGGATTACCCATGTCACTTTATTTCGCAAGCAGCCGGACGTGCGTGAGGTATGTACATACTAGGTTAGGTAGGGGAAGGGTAAGGGACACGGATCTCGGGTGGAAGTATGGAGCTAGTAGGCAGATAGGTAGGTAGGTACTAGGTAGGTAGGTTAACTGTTCGCAGCTTTCCCGCGGGACGGCGGCTGGCGGATCGCGGATGGCGTGTCGCGCGGCAGGGTTTTGCGAGCCGAACCGGCTAATTTGATACGAGTGAGCGAACGAACCCCTTCCCACGCCTCGCTTTCTCGCTTTCGGTTTGGGACTTTGAGCATTCTCTTCTACGAATTGTGAGTACCTAGGAATGATTGTATACATACGTAGTAATAGCTGCGTGGCGAGTGGTCTGTTTATAATGCGCGGTTCTTCGTCTCGTGGAGAAGCTGAGCTAGCAAGCTAGACACGTTTCTGGGAGAAGAGCCGGTGAAGAAAAGACACTATTTGAAACTAAGGCCGCGCTCTTTGTTTTATCGACAGAACCCTGGTGATATCGTGTAATATTCAACGGCAGTCTATGGAAAAGTACGACTGTTTCTTTTTTTAGACCGTGATTTTGGAGAATATAGTACCAAGTTCGGTTGAAGAAAGAAAATGTGAACCCTGAGGACAGCAATACCGTTGCTGCAACGTGAGAGCGGAGTCAAATATCCGAATTGCTAGCTATTAGACGCGCGAGGGAGTGACTTGACCACTGCCGGTACCACCGAATGTATGTCAGGTCCAGACAAGGAGATATTTATAGAGTCGGTAGTAACTCTATTCGGGAAGCCGAGAACATGGCTAATTGACAGCTTGAGAAGCCTCAGGGTTGTCAAGTTACATTACAGAAAACAGAAAATTACTTTTCTCTTATCAAGCAAAGGGGTTGGGTTAAGATCGAAATGTTAAGACGCTATGGCTTACTTACCTACCTACTAGGCAGGCAAGGTCTTGCTTCCGAGATGAGGTGCCAGAGCTAGAGGAATTACATGCAGGTATCGTAACATATGTATCAGAATCAAATGTAAAGAGGATGCAGGAAAAACACCATCGTCCGCTCGAAACGGAGCAGACTAGGTGCGCCGGGGAATTCGGGAATTTGCGGACGCAAAAATACCACGAGGCATCGTGCCATAAAAGTTAATGAATCTATGCCCCGGACGACGGATCTGGATTAGTAGATCTCTGGATCTCAACCGCGAAACCAGATCGGGACAGGACGCAGCAATCGGATTGGACGGAGAGTCGACTTTTGAACCGATGGAACGCGGACGTATGAGAGAGACAGAAAACGAACGAGCTATCCTCTCACCCGCCGTCTTACTGAAGAAAAAACCGAGGGCTTGCTTATCACCTACCTACATACATACCTGGCTTCATCCTCGCTTCGAGCCGTGGGAATATCTACCCAGACCTACCTACCTAACCCGACTGGTCATCGATCCTTCAACATCCTTAACCTACCTAGCTCATCGGATCCCCCACGCGCATCCCAGGATTCCCGCCCATCAAGCTCCCATCGAGGAACGGGCAGCTCAATTAAAAAAACAAGCCTTCCCGGAAGTCCCAAGCCGTCCGCCGCCTCTTTCCCCCCTAGCGGCGATAACTCCGCCCTCACTCACTTTCCCACTCTCTGCCATGCCACATAAAAAAAAAGACCTGCTTCTTCTCTGCTACATATGTAGGTTAGGAACTAGGTACGTTGCTAGGCCAATACGATGTATGTACATCATACATACAATACACGTAGCACGCCGAGACAGGATTGGGTCGGATTCTTAGCCTCAGGTAGCTCTACCGGTCAGTATGTACGCAGTAGCTACGTATGCGTGCGGCAAATACTGGCCTAAGCCGGTGTCGCGATTTCTGTGCCTATCGCGGTATTAGCTGCCGATCACTTGCACTTTTCGGGACTGCGATCCAACTTGGCGGGCAGGGCCGGGGGGGTTAGTGGTGGTAGGGGGGGAGAGGAGAGGTATGGGTTATGGGGCGGCCGCACACGCGCTGGCCGACCTGACCTGACCTGGCTCCTCTCGCTAGTGTCGAAGGGGAAGAAGCATGGAGCGAAAGCTGAGGATTTTCCCACGCCACAATCTGCCTAGCCTGCGCGAACTGGAGGAGATAATTTGGTAGGTAGGTAGTTAGTTAGTTGGGGAGGGAGATCGGGGGAAAATAGGTACATAGGAAGAGAAATCGAGAAGAAGAAAAAAAGAAAAGAAAAAGCAAGTCTCTGTCTTGGGACGGATACTCCCGATCCCTATTGGAATGTTTCGATGGGATGGAAGAAGAACTCTTCACAGATCGATCCTCGTATCGACATACATACCTACATACGCACATTCTCAAATTCTCAAATCGCAATCATACTAGATCAGGTACACCGCGCAGTCGGACCAGTCCACGGATCCACGACAATAATGATACATCACATCTCTAAAAAATCCGAGGGAAAAAAACCACCGCCCCAGACGAACAGGGTAAGCAAAGCAAAGGCAAATCGGCGTAATAAGCTTAAGTAATTTAGAGGGACGGACGCCATGCATCACGTTCCTCGAGCCAGAGAAAAAAGAGACACAGATCGATCCCAGATGGCGCCCGTGGGTGTCTTGCATCGTGGGTAACACAGAGCCTTGCGCTGTAGAGGGAGGACACCCAGCCCAGTGCACCACCACCACCGTAAGCAACCCCATCCATAATAACAATAAGCGTTAGCAGCCACGGTCCCGGCCGGACGTTCCAAAGGTCCACGTTCCTGGGTCTGCCGGCGGTTCTGGACCGTCTCTCTCTACCTGAGCTCAAGGGGTCGAGTTTTAGAAATCGTATGTGGTTAAGGGTTCTTTTTTGAAATCCCTAGGTAGGTATTTAGAGACCGGACGAGACGTGCTCTGATGTGTTCGGAAATACCGAGGAATGTCTTTGATGGAAACGCGGCGAATTTCAGCATGGCTGAAGGGGGATGGGTAGGGGGAAATAACGTGAATGTTTACAAGCGAAGTGCGAATAGAGTAATAGTAACCCTGCCGTATGTATGTAGGTATGTAGGTGTCGACGATCGTTAAGGAGATAGGCAATCATACCGGCTTGCTTCTCGCTCACCGTATTCTCATCCGACCGCAATCTTCTCATACCCTGCTTGTCTCTTTTCTTTTCTAATCCTAGGCTCTCTTATGATGTCTGTCGACATCGATAGAGTAACGGTGTGAAAATTTGATGATTGGCTAAATATGTAAATAGCACACATACGTGCTTGCTGCATACCTGGTATATTGTATGTACATGAATCTTGGTGTTGATATATTTTATCTATCCATGTACATACCGACTAGGTAGCTCAGGTAAGTACCTAGTATCTATTTCCGGTATGATTTGAACCGATGCTGGCGGTCATGTCGGATAAGTCGCCGCCTAGATCAGCTTATGAATGGAATGCCTCTATACATAAGTCTTACGATCTGTATACTGAAAGAGTGAATTTGAGAAGGTGAGCTGAGTGAATATAGTGTCAAGAATAGGATTGCGGGAACAAATATTGAGACTAGCTGTTACGCTGTCTATCCTATAGCGGTATAGCCTCGCCCCCATGGAGGATTGGGATTAGAACTGACGAGCATGAGTCGTGCTGTTCGTGACTCGCGGCGCACAGTACCAAGTTGGTAACATTGTTAAAAGAGGCGTCGCTTTTATCGAATCTGTGTCGCTGTATCTACTCAGCATCATCAACGCCTTTGAACGTATTAAAATAGATGCTGAAAAAGATTATTAATTCCAAATTCCCAGCTCCTATACTATGGTTCGTTAGATCTGATAGCATCCCAATCAGAGCAGCTTGTCCAAACCCAGTCGTCATAGTCTCTTATTCCTAGCACTTACCGGTATATAAGTACCATACATATAATACAAGACAGCCAATGGCCTGTCAGCTAGCTAGAGGATCTACTGTAGGCGTATAATACGATGCAGTGATAGGACTCCGGTAGCCGTATCTTTTCCTCGAGATCACGGACCACCCCTAACAGCACATGTGCTTTTGTTTGCAACGATTGGTATCCCGCTGACCCGCTCGCGTCTATTCGACGGATTTTCCCCGCAGCCCGCGCAGCACGGCCGCCCTCCATATGTACGACGTATGCAGCATTGCACAATGCCTATGTAGGTAGGTAGTCTGTACAATACGACAAGGTCACACTTCTCTGAGGGAATAAGGGTCCTTGCTACATGTACGCTGTAGTCTGTGCTGCAGAAGACTGTAAGCTCTCAGACTAATTAGCAATGTAGCAATGTAGCAATGTGTGAAGACAAGGACGAGTAAAAGAAAAAAAATAAATGAAGTAAAAAAAGGGGGGGATGGAAATAAGAGAGACACACTTAGCCTGTAAGAGGAAGTAGTACGAGGGTACCGCGAAAAGGTTGCAGGGGTCCACACACTCCGTCAATAGTAGATGATGAATGACTTACCAGGTTGGATAGAGGATGACCCTATGCCGTCACGCTTCCTGGAAAATTTCCGGTAGAGCAAGAGGAGTTAGAGCATAGGAGAAAAAAAGAGAGAGAGGAGCTCCAGTTAGTTACCTAGGACCTAGGTAGTTCTTTGGCTTGGCTTCGAAAAGTATCCTTTGGCCACCCCGAGCTGCCGCTCCGTTCATGGTTATCCCTCTCTTCTCATAACTCTGCTTCTTATTTCGTGTGTGGTATGGATGTATCCATTCGATGGGATGTGGATGTGGTATGTGCGCTCTCTTTTCTCTCTCAGTCTCTCACTCTTCTCCTCCCTGTCCGTTGCTCTCTCAGCACTTACAATGAGCCAGAGTCCCCCCTCCTAATCCACACCTCTCCGTTCCAGGATTTCTGCCCAGGACGCCCCCATATTATGTATGAATTGAAGCATTCTCTTTTTTATTATTACTGTAACCTCGCAAAGCTAGCCTAGCCAGCCAGCCCCAAAAAAACGAGGTGCACCCGAATTCCGCCCACCCACCCTGTCCTGTCCATTCAATTCATTCTCAAAAGACTTTAAACATTTCCCTGTTCGGGTCAGCTCGTCATGGTTTTTTTGTATTCATATCGAGCACTGGAACCCATTCCCGCCAATTGAGTGACACAACCTAAATCTTTAGGCGGACACCGCCTTCAGTACCTCGAATAGTAACCTGCGAATATATCAGACGAAAGCCATAGCTTGCTTGCTTTGCCTGTCCTGCTTGCATTGACCTTGGCAATCGTCTATTGTCGGAATCTCAACGCCCGTAGAAAAGGCAACTGTGAGTAGTCGGCTATTGTTATCTTTTCCATTGTGTATCTGTACCGCACCTTGGAGTCACAGATATAACGAAGAGCGTATACCACGCATACCATCAAATCCTTCGAGCGCGCTTGATGCAATCCTAGAGGGGAAATATTAGAAGAGCCCCCGAATCACGAACCTCGAACACGAGTACGTAAAAGAGTTAAGCAACCGTCGCTCGAGATCCAGTTGCACGAACTTCGACGTCGCTTCGTCGCTGTGCCACCACCCGAACTCCCTCTTGGGGTCAATCAAGACCGCCGGTTTTACGCGCGCGTGCCGACATATATATCTGACCATCGAAGCAAGCATAAACACTAGGCCATAGGCCGATCGCCTATCATGCCTCCAGAGGGTGATGTAGCGTCCCTGGCGCAGGGCGCGGGAAATAACTCGAGCGACTTTGTAAGTTTGATCATAATAACCTCGTATTCGAGACCGCGTTGTCGCGGATCGTCGCATACGGAATTCGCTAACCCGCTCAACCTTAGGTTCGCAAATTATACAAGTAAATCATTCCTTTCTTCGACAGCTGTCCGAGTAGCTCTTCCATCCGGTTATACTAACCAAGCTTGCCTTAATCATAGGATGCTAGAAGACCCTGCCTACAGCGAGGTAGTGAGGTGGGGCAATGAAGGTGACAGCTTTGTTGTTCTCGAGGTAAAACTTGCGAGCTTCAGCTCCCTCGTAGGTCTCGGATAGATGCTGATCCCCGTTTTACAGAATGAGAAGTTCACCAAGACTATATTACCCAAACATTTTAAGCATAGCAATTTTGCCAGCTTCGTCCGACAACTTAATAAATACGATTTTCACAAAGTGCGGCATAACGAAGAAAATGGCCAATCCCCATATGGCGCATCTGTAATACTTACCTTCCCTGATGAAAGCATCCTGAATCCATAGTGGAGTCTGACAGCGTATAATAGGCATGGGAGTTTAAGCATCCCGAGTTTCGCGCCGACAGAAAGGATAATCTTGATAATATCAGACGAAAGGCACCCGCACCTAGGAAGGCCCAGGCAGCGGAGGAACCATATGGGGTTTCTAACCAACAAGTTCTTGTTCTCAGCGAGACGCTGGCGGCGACGCAGCAACAGGTTCAACAACTCCAGGAATCATATCACGAAATTGTGAATGCGAATAAGATCTTTGTAGATGAAATACTTCACCTCCAGAAGCTGGTTCGCGCGCAAAACCAAGTACACAACGAATTAATCAACCATTTGAATAAAGTTGAGCAGGAAAGGAAAGAAAGTAGCCGAAGCTCGGGTCACTCGACATCTGGATATGGAACAAACACAGCAAACCTCTTGTCTGACGGCTCCGAGTCGCCTCTCGAGCTGCGTCGTGCTCGTGATATTCTCAACGGCCTTCAAGTAGACCATGTCGCGGATCGAGATCTAAACCGGATGTCAGTCCAATTACACCAAGCTGGCGGCTCCCCCGAATCCGCTGGTTCTTCCGGTATGATGGGACCGCCAGGTGTAGGTGGCGTCAATCCCTTCTTACACGATCCTCTTAACGATATGCGACACCTCGTCTACCCCGTCGGCCAGACAATAGGAATCGATCCTTTCGCTGCCGAGCACATTAACAACCTTCCATACAACCGGCCCGTACAGGATAATACGATGGGCCCTAGCCCTGAATTTAATGGACCACCGATGCATTCTCAAACTCCGCCGGGAGGTGCGTCTCAAGGTGGCTCTCCATGGGGATCCAAGAAGCCTATCGTCCTGCTCGTAGAAGATGACAGGACATGTGCTCGAATTGGTTCCAAATTCCTTGCCCAGTATGATTGTGGCGTGGAGGTTGCAGTACGTAATCGTAATTCTTGGTTTTCTTTTATGCGAGGGCGCATGTTTGGCTGACAGTATGATACAGCGTGATGGTCTCGAAGCTGTGAACAAAGTCAACGCAAAACAGCATTATTACGACTTGATTTTCATGGATATTGTGATGCCTCAACTTGACGGCGTCTCAGCAACAGCCATGATCCGCGAAGTGCAACCCAACACTCCAATCATTGCAATGACATCCAATATTAACCAGCAAGATCTTGAAATGTACTTCCACTGGGGTAAGTTTAATCTTTTTTGCCTTGGGTTTGACTGCCGAGATGTTAACACGCTGTCTAGGTATGCGAGACGTCCTGGCCAAGCCGTTCACTAAGGAAGGAATGATTGGCAAGTTGAGGAAACATCTTGCCAACTTCATGCGGAACCCTCCCCCTGAGAGTATGATGGACCCGATGTACCCTAATGGAGCCTCTGCCCAACCGCCGACACCAGGACCGTATTCGAACCAAGGAATAGGTATGGCTCCTCTATCGGCAGCCTCGTCCGGTCCAGTAGGAAAGTTCGACACGACCCCGATACAGTCTCCGGCCACGAGTGCTTCGTGGCATTCCCCTAGTCAAATGCCCCATGCTTCGCCAACGTTGGCGCAGGACCAAGGATATCTAGGTGCAGGTAGCGGTTCCCAGATGGTACTAACGCCGGGCGGGACTCAGAAACCCCAATACGCCAATGCCATGATGCCGCAAATGGGTGTGCCCCCGCAGCAGAGGATCCCCGAGGGTATGCAACGCTCGGACGGGCCGCCTGAAAAGCGACAACGGATATATGCGCCGCAGGGGAATTATAACCAATGATAACGGCGCATCCCAGGCAATTTCCCATTAATACATTGATCCGACTTGTATATATTCTCAGCATGTTTGATTGTTCGTCCACGAGGTCTGCTGGAATTCGGTAATCGATACGTCGACAGGATAGGCTATTGTTGACGTCGGTACCGTAGCGCATCTTATGCATGGGGGGGTTATCTGACTGGTCTGCTGTGTCGAAGTTATTTGTCGCACTCGGGGTGGAAGAGAGCTCTGTGTTAGATCACGGGATACCCCTTGAATGTTTTCTAGAGCCATAACTGCATGTATATCAGTAGCAGGGAGCCAGCAACTCCTGGAATGGATGGAAGAAGCACTAAGGAAGGGCTTCAATGTCAAGCCTAGATTGGGCACGATGGTCGTCCCAAAGGGGCTTGGGGAGCATGTGCTCGGGGCTATTTTTGTATGAAAGGCTCAAAGAAGCCAATCATGTTTGTCACTGTCTCAGATGCTATTGATCTCTGGGATTTATATGCATTGGATAGTAACCTAAGCCTGGGTAGATGTGTGACTAGACGGTAGATAAATACGAACGAGGATTTCCCACCCTGAGCGAAGTGATTAGATGAATGATGGAAGAGAAAAGAAGATGACGAACGATTGAATAGGTATTGTTTTGCCCCCGAGCATACGTAGTTCGGGTAGACTACACTGAGAGAGAATTGAGAATCTGAAAGAAAAAAAATCGTGTCGAGGTCTGTGGTTTGTTGATGTGGGAAGGAAACTTTGGAATAAAACAAGACGAAACCTGCGCAAACACCTTAAATGATTTAACCCCCTCCTTGAACCGCTAGTTCCTTCTTTCTGTCCCATTTCATTTAGGTTTTGTGTTTGTATCGGCACCGGTGGTCTGGTAACGATGTCATGCATGCAGTGTGTGGTCTTATGTTGTAAAGTGGCTTCCATTGTTTGGGAGGAAACAGCGAGCAACTCCGTAGGCAAGAACGACATAAATAAACAACCGAGAAAATGAGGCGAGAAAGGAAATTTTACTTCGCTTAGGGGGTATTTCTTGCTATTGAAAGTAAGAAAATACGTACCTTACCCAGTTAAGCAGGTACACATAGAGTAAAAGGAAAGAGCAAACAAGAGCTCCAAGGTTGTTGAAAAAGTTTAATCTTAGAGAAAAGACACATATTCGAAAGATCGTTGATATAATTACCGGGCTTCCGCCACTGGATTTCAAATGTCATAAGGCATCTGGGCTTCTTAAACATCACATTCAGCATACACTTAAGAAGGCACATTTTATGTGCCGTACAATCTCCATTTAACATCTGACATCGAACAACAAGTGTAACAAGGCAATAAGAATCCATCGACTGAGCCGCAATCGTTAATAGATATTTTACAATGATAAATTCTTGGCCCAGGCTAGAATGCGATCGAAAGATCGAAAATACAGTGAGCAATCAATCTACACCGGGTACGAAAGAGCTCTGGTCCCAGTCTTGCTGCAGATGGTGGCAGGATCTGCTGATCTAGACACCGATCTTATGGAACGAGACCCCTATGGACTAATGAGAAGGCCTTGTTAATCCTCTTTTCCAGGTTCTAGCCTTCGGGAGGCATGGGATAACCCCCCCTGGAAGCACAAACCTCGGTACAGATCAGCTTCCCCTGAACCTTGCCTTTTTCTATATTATGATCAAAGATCTCTAGATCCGCGCAGATCTTCTTCCTATGACTCCTACGGCTAGTTGGTGATGGGACAATAAAGGGTTGGTGTTTAATAAGCTGATAAGTTGGCCTAGCCCATGTCAGCTACACATTGACCTCCTTGGCCTCGCAACATACGCTCCGCACGGTACTGCTCTTCGACAGATTGTCTAAGGCTAATAAAGCAGCTAATGCTTAAGACTAAGTAGATCTTCCAAAGAAAGGCATAAGGCTGACTTCACGGCTCAAAAAAATCCTATCTGGGAATCTCTCTGTTTACTTATTACCGATTCCGGGCTTGGAAGTACAGTAAACGCTTCAATATGAAACAGGAAAGATGGATCACAAGCTAACGCCGATGAGGACATGAACCAATCTAAAGACCGGTTTCATGGCCAGATCCATCTGGATCGGGACCTTGGAAGCATGGCTAGCAGCAGCAACGGCAGCAGTACCTACCTTACGCACATACATATGTACATTCCTAGATGGCCGTACATATGCAAGCCGCGTAAGGTAACGGTTAGGGTTGCGTCTGCAGCAAGCAAGGGGCTCGCTCACGAGGGTTGGTTTGAGGTCTGGATTCTAGAGCTGTAGAGCTCTAGCCTAGACCGTAGTCCGTTCCACGGCAGTCGTTCGACCCTTGGCCCACCCTTGCCGTTGCCCCCCTGCGCCGCCCGGTCTAGATCATCTTCGATCTAGACTTATGTTCCGGTCTGCCGGTCAGGTTACACGCGCGTATACTTATAAAATCACATTGAGTATCTGATTTGGTTGACTTTTCTCCTTTGGTTATACCCTGAATATAATACAATATTTATTATTGTAATGTGGTTCCTTACAGTATCTTTCCGAGATCATCGTGATGGGTTAATGATTAATGTGATGAGTGGCCTATATGTAGGTCAAACTCCGTTACTCTGGGGTACACACTTAAGCGGCCAGTTACGGTGAATAATAGCTCCTACATATACCCAATTCCAATAGTTGTCTCACAATATTCGGAGAAAATCTAGAAATGACAAATATATAGGTATTTGCTTAAGTACCTGGTACCTAATCATTCCCACGGGTACTTACCAAGGAGACAAGCTGCAAATCAGCCAAGCCATCGGACCATGTTTTAATCATTTCATGGTGTATTTGAAAATTATAACATCAATTATCGATAATGTCATGTGTTTTTAGTCTGAATAATTGAAATTGATGCCAGTATATGTTAAAGTGAAGTTATTTAACTGTATTAATAACATCGAAATAAAATAGTCATTTTACGAGTTTAAATTTTAGGCTGAACTTTTATAGTGATATCTCTCTAACAAGCAAATATCAGAAATAGAGGGGTAATATCGTTATAGCGCAACCTCCGAAACTGCCCCTCCAAACAACTTTGACTCATCCATCACCAAAAATTCATCTCATTTTCAATTACACATTTGCATTCGTATACGGCATACAACAAACGACAGCCTTCATTTAGTCGCAATGTCGCAGAATAAAGGTGCGAAAGGAGGCGCCTCTGCAAAAGGAAAGAAATCTGGAAAGCCTGGAACGGAAGATAAGAGAGAAGATGTTCTTCAAGCAGTGGTATGTATTTCTCTATTTCCCGACTATCGTGGGGCAGCACCTACTAGGTAGGTATCAAGAGCTATAGCTAATATGATGCACAGCTCATAGCAGATTCCTTCCAGACTAGATTTCACCCTTTCTCGATAGAGAAACCAAGAGTAAGCCGAATTTACACCACCCCTTTAGCTTTAATTACCAATACTGAACCCATCTCAGTGCCTTCTTCCCCTTGCGAACACACCTCTCATCGAATACTCACTCGAATTCCTTGCCATGAACGGTGTACAAGAAGTCTTCATATACTGTGGCAACCATCACGAACAGATAGAGAGATACATCAACTCCTCAAGATGGTGTCCTGGCTTAAGATCGTGCCCGTTTACAACCCTCGAATTCATACGCGTCGCCGATGCTAGATCTATAGGCGATTTCCTTCGAGATTTGGACAAGCGCAATATTATTGGAGGAGATTTTGTATTGGTACATGGAGATTTGGTCGCTAATATTCCCCTCGACGGAATTCTGGCAGCGCACAGAGCCCGTCGAGAAGCGAACCGAGACTCGTGTATGACCGTGGTGCTCCGAGAAGCTGGTGAAGGTGAACACAATACTAAGACAAAAGGAATAACACCGGCCTTCATTATCGACCCGAAAGCTAAGAGATGCCTACACTACGAGGAGATACACCCATTGCAAGCCGATCATTACGTTACACTTGACCCGACCGTACTCGAGAACCGCGAAGCCGAAGCCCGGACCGATTTAATCGATGCTGAGATTGACATATGTACGCCCGATGTTCTCGCCCTATGGTCCGAGAGTTTCGACTACGAGCTCCCACGCGCAAATTTCTTGCATGGAGTATTAAAAGACTGGGAGCTGAATGGGAAGATGATTCACACCGAAATCGTCAACGAAGGTTACAGCGCACGCGTCAGAAATCTCCAGATGTATGATGCTATTAGTCGGGATGTACTAAACGGCTGGACATATCCCTTCGTACCTGAATGCAATCTCTTAACAGGACAGACTTATCAGCTACGGGGAATTAATGTGTATAGGGAGGACGATGTCGAGGTTGAAGGGGACAGCGAAGTCGTCCATGCGATCCTCGGGAAAGACACCCACGTCGGAGCTGGCAGCACAATAAGAAACAGCGTCATTGGCCGAAATTGCAAAATTGGTAGCAATGTACGCATTGTTGACAGCTTTATATGGGATGACGCTATAATTAATGATGGTGCTGTGGTGGAGCATGCTATTATTGCGGAGAGGGCGGCGGTAGGCAAAGAGGCCTATGTTCACGAAGGTGCTCTTGTATCGTTTGGAGTCCATTTGGGCAACCTAACGGATGTTGAGCCTGGTACGATGCTATCCCTTTTCACGGGATCCGGAAAACCTGCATCAGCACAGTCTAAGTTCGTTGGCTCTGAAGGCAAGGGCGCACTATTCCAGAGCCCCGAAGATGACGAAGAGGATCCCGACGGCCCATCGCACCTACAAAAGTCACTTATATACTCCCTCGAGGAACTTGATTTCTCCGACTCATCCGTCTCAACGCTTGGAGATGACGATGACTTGTCTGATGATGATTCAGGACGGGCATCAGCAACCCCTAGCCAACTTAACTCGAGATCGCGACTCTCTTCATTTGCCTCAGATGATTCCGGTGGCCCCAACTTCTATTCTTTCCATTCAGATGCAGTTCATGGGTTGTTAGATGTTCTCCGTGGCACTTCGGGCAACTTCGAATCCGAGAAACTTGAGTTTATGTCATTACGACTGGCCAACAATGCATCTGATGCTGCGATGAGAAAGGCTGTTGCGACAGCCTTCGTTAGGCGCGCTGTCGAACTAACGAATGCAGAGAACGGTGCACTGGAGCCCTCAAAGGCCGCTAAGCAGGTGCTCACGTCACGAGAAGGCGCAATAGAGTTCATATCGGAAGTTGGTGTCGGCGACCAGTCCGTGACGGAACAACTAGAATTCGCGTTGGCAGTACATAAAGCATGCGCTAGCAGCGCGAAGATAATTGAAGCCACTAAGGCTGGAAATCTCCTAGCTGCTATGCTGCAGCAGATGTACGATCTCGAGATCCTGGACGAAGACGGAATCTTGGGCTGGTGGGAAGACGACAGGGGTAAGGAAGAGGGCCTGATAGCGGGCGTACGGGAAAAGTGCAAAATGCTTGTCGAATGGCTGGAGAATGCCGATGAAGAGAGTGAAGAGGAAGGCGATGACGACGAGTGATTCGGCGTATAGGGATACACAAAACAAAATCTGACTGGCGTTCTCCGAGATTTCGGTTCAGCGTTCTCGCCTGGGAAGTAGGCTCTGGTTTGGGACTAAAATGACGACGGGCTTGATAGGGACGATGGTCTCTAAAGAATAGGATAGGCCTATAGCAAACCCTTTATGATGGGGTAGATGTTCAACCTGATTTCTAGCTTGAACTAGAGGAAGATGAAATACCAAGATAGTCTGAAGGCCCGTCTATTCCGCTTGTGTCTATACAAATAGGATGATATGGGGTGGATATAGAATCGCTGCCTACCTATACATGGGAAAAGAGGTATTATATACATAATTAACATCAACGCCCATCTGAATATTGGTAACTGATTTTATACTTCAACTTAGACTCTATCCCGAGTCTTATCTACTGATTATGTCATCAACATGATGACTCATCTCTATCTTATCGATAAAAAGGGACACACTGCAGGGTCAGGATTAGTTATCGCGAAAACGCGTCGCGTCGCGTTGGTTTTCAATTAAAGTCAATTAGCAATTAACAATTGACATACATAATAGCCCCTCTATATTCAGGCAACCAAACGTCCGTGCCGCTTTCACCTGTGCCTCTTTTTAGTCTATAAAACTTGTAAGATCAATAAATACTGTTGAATCCGAACCAACAGTACTGTATCGAGATCAATTCAATCACAATGCCTCATTCCATATCCCCTGAGATCGACAGTCAAACACCTGTTGCCGAAGAAACCATGACGGACGCTCCAGCTCAAAATGGCGACGAGCAAGCAGCCGAGGACGACGTTGCCATGACCGAAACGAATACTATACCCGTTAAAACAGAAGAAACTGAAAATAAGGATGTGAAATTAGAAGATTTATTCGCGGATGTCGACTCGGACGATGAGTTCCCTAGCTCTCGACCAGGTGTGGATAGGTCGTCGGCCCCAGCATCGCCCTCGTGAGACTACGGAATCAGCCTACTTAGCTAGAAAAATCGTCTAACAAATATATAATAGTGAACCAGTCCCCATGAGAGCATCGGATCCCCAACTCTTGCGCCTATTTTACCAGCGCTTCTTTCCCTGGCGATACCTCTTCCAGTGGCTCAACCACAGCCCGACCCCCACCAATGACTTCGCGCACCGCGAATTCGCCTTCACGCTGCAGGGCGATGTGTACCTGCGATACCAATCCTTCCCCAGCTCCGACCTGTGAGTATTTCAAGGCTTTGATTCTGCGAGTATTATAAGATTGCCTGTGACTTATCAACCTCGGTTCTAGATTCCGCAAAGATGTGCTGCGTCAACTGCCAGTCCGTTTCGAAATCGGTCCCGTATACACGACGAACCCGCGCGACCGCAAGACGCTGCGGAACTCGAGTGCGTTCAAGCCGTTGGCGAAGGAGCTGTGCTTCGATATCGATTTAACAGATTACGACGACATCCGAACATGCTGCGACAAAGCGAATATCTGTAACCGCTGCTGGCAATTCATGACTATGGCTATCAAAGTCGTAGACGTCGCGTTGAGAGAAGATTTCGGGTTCAAGCATATCATGTGGGTGTACTCCGGCCGAAGAGGAGCTCACGCCTGGGTGTGCGATAAAAAAGCCCGCACGATGGACGACCAGAAGCGTAGGGCTATCGCCGGGTACCTCGAGGTAATCCGAGGTGGCGCACAGAGCGGGAAGAAGGTCAATCTATGGAGACCTTTACACCCTCATGTCAGGTATATCATATCTACCCTTTTCCAAAACGTCCATGCATACTAACAATCTCTCCCCCTAAAGCCGAAGTCTCGATATCCTAGCCCCCCACTTCCAATCCGACGTCCTCGAATCTCAAGACCCATGGTCGACCCCCGAGCGCGCCGAACACCTTCTCTCTCTCCTCCCCGACAAAGCCCTCAACGAGGGTCTACGCAAGAAATGGGACGCGGCGCCCGGCCGAGCCAGCACATCCAAATGGGCGGACATAGACGCCCTCGCGAAATCCGGTGCAAGCAAGAAACTCGACACGCAGGCTCTGCTGGAGGCGAAGCAGGACATCGTGTTAGAGTACACGTACCCACGCCTCGATATCGAGGTCAGCAAGAAACTCAACCATCTGCTAAAATCGCCGTTCGTTATCCACCCCGGCACCGGGCGGGTCTGTGTCCCGATCGACACGGCGAAGCTAGAGACATTCGACCCGTTGGGCGTGCCGACAGTGCAGGAACTACTACAGGAGATTGATGAGTGGAGGCCTGAGGAGGGCGAGGAGGGCGGAAAGGCGAAGACGTTGCAGGATTGGGAGAAGACGAGCTTGAGGCCGTATGTGGAGTTCTTCCGAGGCTTTGTGCTGGCGCTTATGCGCGATGAGAGGGATCCCAGGGTTAAGCGGGAGAGGGAGGAGGAGGGGATGGAGTTTTGAGGGTGGGTGGGTATATGTATATAGATATGCATTCGTGGACTTTTGTTGATGAAGCACGCTTAGTGCTTAAGTCGGAGTTTGGGTTGGCGTCTCACGAAGTCAAAGATAGAATGAGTTCCTATTTAATGAATGGTAGCGAATATCATCTTTTTAACGCTGCTATCGTGGTGGTGTTGGTTATGATGACTCTTGACTGAGAAGCTTCTCTCTGACCATGGCTATTATGTCTTCGCTACCTTCTATGTCCTTCCCGCGCCGGAAGCAGGCGCTGGCGATGCTGATGGTCTTGTCTCTGTTCTTCATCCCGTGTGTGATTTGTAAGTCTGATTTTGGGACGCCTAGGATCTGGGATTTGGGTTACTATTTACTAGGTAGTCTAGCTAATCTGTACATTGTTCTCTGCCATGGACGAGTCTATAGAAATATGTGTTTAAATTAATAGATCTTAATATGCTTACCTCACTCAGGATCTCAACTACAGCTTTATTCGCCTTCCCGTCTTGTGGTGGAGCTGATACACACATCTCGATGCACTCGTCTGTAACGGCGGCAACTCCCTCTCGCACTTTACTAGCGCCTGGTCGGATGTGACATCGTAGCTGTAGGAACTCTGGGGCTGAAGTCTTTGATTTTTGGACGAGACTTATGGCGTTACGCGTAGCCATACTCTGATTGCATCAACGAGTAAGCATCCCCTACGTGTTGATTTGAATATGTTTAGATGAAGTACGGGATCGAGATGTGCTACGTAGTATCATATTTAATGTTCTCTTAATTATATGCATGCACTTTGCTGGGTGGGAGCTTGGACCATGCTTAGCGTATAATCCCTGCAAGGTACATGTGTACACTAACAATTCTTATGAAAAGCTTTGTACTCGAAGTTACGACAAAAGTATTATCGATAAGACAAACAATTTATCTGTACGCTGTACATCCCTGGGCTATGATGCTTTAAGGGACTTTGAATTCTCCCAATTGCGACAGGTCCAAGCCGAATACCACGATACTCGGAAAGCGCGACAGTTTCCGCTTTCAACAATCTTTCGACTCACACTTTCTTGATCCTTCTTTGAGATTCAACATGCAATCGTCGCTATAATTGTATGTTCTCATCTCGAACGCACACTTTATTGAAAAGTCACTCCTTATACGGATACCGAAGGATGGTGTCCAACCAAGCCACCCGCGCCGACCACGGCTATACCATCACAGCTCTTGGTAGATGGTCTATTCTAGACAAGAAGTTGCCTCGTGAGTTGCACCATAGACAATATAATCTAACAGTTGGTGTATTACTATGTTCTCTACTAACCTGTCGCTCTAGCCGTCGACGCGATTACTGCCGTTCATGTCTACGATTTCGATAATACTTGTTAGTATATACGTTCCTTACCCCAACTTCCTTTTATCACTAACAATAATCGATTTTTTAGTATTCAAGACCCCTCTACCAAACTCGAAGCTATGGACTACCCCGACGACTGGGCAGCTGATGAGCCCCGACATCTTTGTTAATGGTGGCTGGTGGCATGACTCGAGAATTCTATCTGCGACCGGCGAAGGTGTAGAACAAGAGGAGAAGCGCGCCTGGAACGGATGGTGGAACGACAAAATCGTTGAGCTGGTACAGCTGAGCATGCAGCAAGACGATGCCCTCACCATTCTCTTGACTGGAAGGTCTGAGAAAGGCTTCTCTCAGCTCATCAAGCGAATCGTTGCGAGTAAAGGCCTCGAATTCGACATGATTGGATTGAAGCCGGTAGTCGGTCCTAATCACGAACGCTTCCAGAGCACTATGAACTTCAAGCAAATATTCTTGAAATCGGTACTAGGAACATATACATCCGCCACAAGTATGCGGATTTACGAAGATCGCCCTAAGCATGTCGATGGCTTCCGAGACTTCTTTGCCGATTATAACAAGAATATTGTTAGTCGCGGACAGAACCCAATCACTGGCCATGTGATACCAGTTGCCGAGCTCTCTACTACCCTCGACCCCGTTGTCGAGGTGGCAGAGGTACAACACCTTATTAACTTTCACAACAACTCTATTGCCAAAGAGCGAAAAGGCGGACGGAATGCGCGCTTAGCTATCAAGAAAGCCGTTTTCTTCACTAGTTATATGATCCAGCCTACTGATTCGAAGCGCCTGATCTCGCTTCTGAACAATATGGCACCAGAGACGAAGGATCTTAAGAATCTTGCCAACACTATCCTCATCACAGCGCGATCTTGCCCACAGCATATCTTGGATAAGATAGGAGGCCTTAATTCCAAGATGAAGTGGGAGGTAACCGACATTGGCAACTTCCAATCGACTCTGTGGGCAGCGCGTGTAAGGCCCGTTCCCGCTAATGCGATCTACCATACCGACAACCAAGTGCCGTCTGTCGTCCTAGGTCTGAGAAGAGGAGCTCGGCCCGCGGATGTGAATAAGATTCGCCAATGGCAGCCGATCCCCGCTAATCAGAGTATCGTGTTCGAGACTACGGTAGGCGAAAAGGTGATGCTTCGTATCGATCGCGAAGACCAAGATGGAGAGGACGAGCAGCAGGACAGACTGCTCCCGCACAAGGGTTCTAAACGCAAGTTCCCAAACGATGATGACCGCCAATCACGCCATCATGGTAGGGATCATGGCAGAGATCACGGCAATGGCGGCAGGGACTATCACAATTCCTCTCAAGCGCGAGGTGGTGGAGGCGATAACCGGGGTCGTGGCGGTTATCGAGGCGGAAATGCCTCCCGTGGTAACCGTGGCGGCAGAGGAGGCTTTAAAGGCTCCGGCAGAGGTGGCAAGGGAGCCCATGGTTATCGTTCTCTGGACGATGTCGATACCCGTGAAAGCTCTCAGAGCGGATACGGTCCAGCAGCTGTCTCGTACGATGACAACAGCTTCCCAGCGCTGCCTCAAGGCGGCCCTCAGTTCCAGCAGCCCCTGCCTCCTCCGCCGCCGTACGGCCAACCGTTTCTTATCCCTATTCCGGGCCAATGGCCTCCTCCGGCCGGCAATAACAACCAGGGACGGCCCTCTGGTGGCCCCGGCCCCGGCCCGGATTTGCAGAACTTCTACTGAGATTACGTATCTACGGTGATGCCATACTAGTGCAGTTGACCTAGCTTTCCAGATTCGGTTTACGATTGATTTTGAGGAAATTATCGAGGCTAGAGCTTTCTAAACTAAGCTGGGTATGAGATATCTACTTCAACGTATAAAGTATCGAGGAAGCTATGGATTATGTCTTGTTTTAGGGACCGAGGCCTGGAGTTTGTAATAAGGAGGATGGATCACATAGGATTTTCAGGGCAGGTATTTCTCTTTTACGGATAGGCCATGCGTGTACGTATAGATTTCACAAACACCCCGTATGTAGGGATCCAGTTGATTTTCACCAAGGTTATCGGGGTCAATCAGTTAGTGTGTTAGGCGTTAGTTAGGCAGAGATTCCCAAAAGCCGGTATGCGGACTGAACAAATACACAGGCCGGCATTCTATGCGGTAATGCAATGAACTACTGTTTTGTTTTGACTTTAGCATGGGTGGACATCGTTGCACATTATTAATTGACGTGATCTGAAAGACGTAGCTGTTAGCTTGAGTACCATAGACAAGCGTATGAGAGTTTGGATGTTGGAGTGCCGGATGGTAATCAGAATAAGATAGAACAATGGTGAGTTGGATGAATCATGCTCGTGAGACACGAGTCATAAACAGCCTCTAAAACTTCATCATGGTAGACGGATGGGAGATGATAGAATAGGAGATTGTCGACTTACCACAAGGTCAAGCTCCGCCCTCTTTGACGAGAGCTCATGGCCGTCTGTAGCCATTAGATGTAGGAGGCTGGTTTGTAATTTCAGGAGGTCCGATTCTTCTTTATGTACAGGTGTACCTCTCTCATGGGTGGGATCCCCTATCCACCCTTACCTATCTATCTAGGTACAGTATCGTAGACGAGGTTATGTGATCGATCGATGTCGTCTTGTTGCAGCTAGCTGACCAGGACTATGTGTCCTGGGGCTTGAGCAAGTAAATAGAAGCCTTGCTTCCTAACTCCGCGTAAAAATCAAATCCGAATCTGCAAATGCAATTACAGTCCGTCCGCCCGTACAGGGTTGATCTCGACGCCGTACTTCTCCTTTAATCGCTCTCTTCGGCGCTCTTCGTAGCCTTCGGGCTTGATGCCTATGTATTGGTATTGCGCGTTAGTTGTTGCGATCATTGACATTGTCATCACAGCCGCCACAGCAGTAGGATGGCGTGGTGGAGGTGGAGCAGGTTTTACAGGAGACGACACGAGTGGAAATCATGTTGTCGGAAGAGGTGGTGCGGGTAGTAATGAAAGTCTTAGTACCTCTGCCCTCTCCAATATGAACCAGGGTCTCTTCAACAGGCCGTCGTCGCGTCTTGCGCTGAGACTCCTTGTACTCGTACTCGTCCATCTCCGGGTTCTCGGTGCGGGCTCGGCCGCGCAAACTGCCACCTGTGTACTCGAAAGCCGACATGATGGCCGCGAAGCCAGCGCCGAAGCCGAGAATTTGCGGTACTCGACCGGCTTTTGGGAGACATGGTTAGCAACATGGCCAGCTATCATGAAAATGAATGGCATATGGTTGAAGGGGACGACATACTTCTGAGACCGATTGTGGCTCCGCCTAGGAATGAGGCGACCGTTGTGTTCCAGGTGTCATCCTTCTCTCTTAGGTTGGCGGTTGCGTCTTTGGAGAAAGTATATACGGAGGTAACGGCAGCTGCGAGAAATTTGTTAGCTTCTTATCAGGCCCCGCTAGACTTGCTCTAGACCCTGTAGAGCGCGGCACGGTCTCTTTCCAATTAAGATGAGGAATAAACATACTGAACATAGCTATGGTACCACCACCACGAGTGAGAACCGACCAAGCTCCTATGTTCGTCTTGGCCAGAGAGTTCTGTACGGCGGCAGTAATGAAACCGGCAGATCCGCCGAGAATCGCGCCTTTTATACCGGACTTCAGAGAATCATGCGGGTGGAAGTCTTGCTCCTCCGGTATGGCTTTGATGGGATGTGGGTTCGCCATCTTGACTCCAGCCCGAAGGAGGCTATTCGCAAGTTGGGCTCAAGAGTTTGTGAGTGGATTATTGGGAGTGGGTTATGTTGAAGGAGGAGATTGATAGCCGGAGTTCCTCTAAAAGCTTCGAAGCTTTGACTTTGAGCAATTACATCGAAGTTGACTGGCCTATCTCATCCGAGGTTCTTCCTATTGGGTACAACTTTGAGTTCAGATCAAAAAGGCGCTAGGCGAAGGAAGATCTTATTGTCCGCCACATAATACCCCCCCTTCTGAAAGCCACACAGCTAGATGTGGCGCTGACTGGGTGCTGCCGATTTTAGTTCTCAGGTGCTTGAAGCGCTAGCGCACGGACCATTCAGCTACCGAGCTGCAGGTTGTACTCCCTGGTACCTACCGTACCCGTTGAGCTTACTGATTATCCTAGCTCCATAATCTTTCAGAGGCAACCTTGGAACGGCTTCAAGCATCGCATCTTTTCAGGAAAAAGGTTCATCAAACCTGGACAAAAACTTCACCACAACGCTTTCTCCATCGCGCACATATTCTGACTGGAGGCACACTCACACGGAAAACGGTCGCGTCTACTCGCGTCGGTTTTTTTCTTTTTGCTTTTCATCGTACTTCGCTCCTTTTCCCCACATTCGAATTTGGACTCCTTTGGGTTTATGTCATTGATATTCACGATACCCGTCTCAGGCAAGCATTTGTAAATTATCCCCATATCCATCGTCCGTCCTTGCTGCCTCTAACCTTTCGCAGGAAACCTTCTTGACTGCGTCATTTACTCTTTATGGGTATTTAATCACATTCTTTCGTCAAAGGTATGAATATTTTCTACGTCTCTTTTCTTCCCTCCCCTCGTCTCATATCTTCAACGGCCTTGCTGGGAAGAGCAAAAGCTACCTATGTATCACCTTCCCCTACCATTTTATATTCTAGTCATATGACCTGGATTTTCGAGTTGCAAGTCACAATTTCGTGCTTTATTCATTCGAAGCTTGCTCTCGGCAACGGCGAATACTCATATTTATTTCCTATTATGTCCATCCAATCTATCTTCCTGGTGTTGCCCAGTAGGCATAAAGCAACCGGCATTTGAAGTTTAGATGATGATACTGTTCCGTATATATATTATCTAGAAATTTATATCTCGCCGCCGATCCTCCCTTTAGTGAAGGGATCTATTTCTCCATTCCCTATCTCACACCAACGGCATTTGCAGTCTGTGGTGGTGATCTTTAGGCATACTTTCTAGCTATGGGAGTCTTTGTGACATCGATGCCTATGTGTTTCGATGACACTGCACGTACAAGTGTACGTGAAGGAAGAAGCAAACACATGGGATATATCATATTCTTTCCCTACTACAGTCATAGCGTCCAGCTAACACTATTTAGGGGTCCCTACGATCCCTTATTCTATCTAAACTTAGCCCTTTCTCTCGCAGTGAGTGCTTTCGAAATTATCCCCCTTAATTGCTACTAATAGTCTGTTTAGATTGGGTAAAATATCTCTCAAAATTCCCCATTCAGCCTCCTCGTTTGATGTAGTATAGGGTCTCGAATAACTAGGCAGGTGAGTGTGATAACCCCATATACCTTGGAATTTCCGAACCTATATCATCCCCTTTATAGCCTTTACTCTTCAGGGATATTCGATGTCTTCCCACTGAAGATGAGGAATATGCTAACTCCTATTTGCTTTTAGACTTCATGCCCATACGGGTTTGATTATTCATCATGGAGTCAGAAAACGCTGCAGTTTACGAAACAGACGACCTGGCGGAGCTTCGCCGGTTGCAGTGGCATGCAAGGCTTAACCTCCAGCTTGATCCGAATCCCCACCGTAAGCTTTAGCTGGCTATACTGCAATAACCCCCCCTCCCCTAGATAAAATACTAACGAAATCCAAAGCTCTTACATCTCCAATGTTTCTCCGAGACTTTCTGGCGTCGAAGTTGCCTGTACTCGACGTACGCAGTGATTGTGCTAGCCACGAGTTGCTGGAAGTCAGCAATCAATCGTATTACACCGAGCATCATAATTTCCTCTCGCTGACTTGCAACCGTTGCCGGTTTCACTTTCACATTGCGAACGATTCTCAGCACGTTCAGAGCTGGGGTCCAGCGCATCGTCACCACATGCTCGTCTCTTGCGACGAAAATACTACGAATGGTACCCAAGTCAGAATTAAAAAGAGCAGTTACGACGACGCTACCAGCCATGCTCGATTCATCTGTGTGGCTGGAGACTGCCTATTCAACGTGAAGATCGATGTTGTACCCTGGAGACTCTCCCCGACGGATGTAGCAAAGTTTTCCGATAAGAGTAGAGTTGATGAGAACCTCAAGCTTGCTCTGGTTGAAGATTCGGTTCGATATTCAAGCCTCGTCAATTCGCAGAATCTCAAGTCTGAGAGCATCCTGCGGCATTATCTCACAGATGCCCTCAATATCTCCGATAATGTCCCATTACGAGTTAACAAGCGTAACAAGCGATTCTACGTAAGTATGCGCAGCGACTTTGACGGTTTATTGAGGTTCCTTGGCTTTTACGAAGGGATTGATCCCGAAACTAGTGAGGCATGTTGGTACATTCCTCCGCCAGAAGGAGAACAGAAACCAACCCGAGTTCGAACTTTAAGAGCTCGTATGGAAGATGCCTTAATGGAGATTGATATATTGTTCGCTAGTGGCAACACAGTTAATGCCTGGGACAAGCTTTTGGGTACATTCCAGGCAGATTATCCTAGGGCTGACATTCCAGACCTCGTTTTCGAGTCCAGAGTTTCGCTGGACGATTTAAACCTCTTGGGCTGTTTACCTCACTACCCCCCTGAGTTTTTCAGCTGGGCGGCAATTCTCTTGGCTAACCGCCGTCCGAGAAACCGTAACGAGTATCTGGATGCTGGTCTGCGCTGCATCGAGGATCGCAGTTATGATGCCTCTCTGGAAATCATCATGGACAAGTCTCGCTTTGATAATGCGACTCCAATGGACATAAAGGTGGAAGAGGCTTATGCATTCTTTAATGCATCCTCTAATGGTGGCATAACATCAGACTGGTTCTTGACTAGATACTACGAAATGGCCAGGTCTGGCGCGTCTGACGAGTTCAAAGCACAAGCCCTGCAGCAACTCGAAGCGATCGGTAATCACCTAGGACGAGATATCGTCAGCGAAATCGATCCAGTGACTCTAGGATATGCGGGAATGCCGGAGCTCATTCCATCGACATCAGGCGGAATAATGTCCGTTTCTACTGCGGCAAACTTCTTGGAAGTAGAGCCAAGCTACACCGCGGAGATTATCCGCGGCTTTGTCGAGCGGTTGATTCGTGTAAGTCGCTCCGTCTCACTGTAATATGCTTTGATTTATCTAATTTTACTATAGAAGGACAATATCGACCGAGGCAAAGTTATCGAGGCTCTCAATGTCCTATCTAATCACAAACGTGAGCTAGATAACCTAGGAGAGGCGAACGAATTGCAGCAGATCGCCGAGTTTGTGAAAGAGACTGATTTTATGCCAATGCTAATCTCACAACCACACTCCGCACCGATATTAATAACCCTTCCTAGCACACCCCCTGGGCTTAAGAATATCGGTAACACATGTTACTTGAACAGTCTCCTTCAGTACTTCTACAATGTTAAACTAGTTCGGGATCTAGTACTTAACTTTGACGATGTCAAACTTGAGCTTGACGAGGAGATTGTCGGACGACGTCGAACTGGTGGTAATGGCACAAGTGTTAATCTGGAAGAAGCTATTGTTGCTAGGCAATGTGAGTTCCCCAGTCATGTTCTGTTATTATTTTTTTTTCCTCTGGAAAATGCTAACTCGACAAAAGTTATTGAGATGCTGCAGGGGCTGTTCGCTGATCTACAAACAACTACACAAGTCGCAGCTCACCCATCGCAGAAACTTGCGAACATAGCTCTTTCATCGGCTAGGGATATTTTAGAGCAACAGCCGCAGAACATCCCTCCTCCGTTGCCAGCGCGTCCATCACCGGCGCCGCCTGCTATTCCCGCGGCGAAGGACAACGAAGAAAACGGACTGGTGAATGTTACTATCGAGCCAGTTAATGACAAACTCGAGCTGGCAAGTTCGCAAAGTTCGCAAACACTTGTTGATGAGACCGAGGATGTGGTCATGTTGAACACCCAGTCGAAAACATCGAACGAGAGCGCTCCTGTTTCTCAATCTAACGACATCGAGATGGAGGACGCGACCGAATCGTCGTCTCTTGATACCAAGATTGCGGAGGTATCGCGTCGACTAGAACATTCTGATCGCTCAGGAACGTCCCAGCAAGATGTTGGGGAAATCATCGGTAATATCTTGGAGCACTTTATGCGTGCAATACGTTCAGATGGCCCAATGCCTGGAAAACCCGATCTGCAAGCTGACAAAATCACGGAGACATTCTTCACAACAATTGTGAATTACACTATCAAGACTAAGAAGGGTTATCCGACAAACAGCTCGGGCACTGGTCTTGAAGAGAATTCTTTGAATGTTGAGATCGTACCCGAGCGATGGATCACTGCTTATCCCGAGGAGGTGAATGAGACCTTGGAGAGTACTAGCAGTAATGCAGGTGGAGAGAATAACGCGCGATGCACACTAGTTGAGGCTTTAGATCGATATTTCTCTTATGAAACAATCGACGACGGCAATCGTGCACGTTACAGCAGTATTCGAACACTGCCACCCATCTTACACATCTGTATTCAGAGAAGCACTCCGAAGGGCAAAAACAAGAACCCTGTCGTCATACCGGAAATTCTGTATCTTGATCGTTACATGGAGGCTGAGGAGGGATTCCCCGTCTGGATTGCTCGCAAAAGAACATGGGCGCTTAAGGAACGCCTCAAAGAAGTTGCAACTAAGATCCACCAGAGTAACCAGAAGAGCAAAGCCAACCAAAATCCCGAAGGTTGGGCTAACGCAGGATCTATGGTGAGTTATACTACTGCCACCCTATTAAGAATACTAGATTACTAACTATAAACTTTAGGATCCCGAATTTAAGGATTTTCGGACGGTGGATGCCCAAGACCTGCAAAGCATGACTATGGCAGCAATTGAGAAGTCGGTTGATGACTCTCATCTGGATCAATCGTTCCTGGATGATATCGGCCTGCAGGCGAAGAACGAATTGTCGAGCATGCCCGAATTTATCGAATCCTTATTACCCAAAATGCCTAAAGCCACGCCAGGCTCGCCAGGCGCGCCGGATAACGAACCGCTCAGCGATAAGTTAGGCGATATCCTCTGGGATACCACTACACCCCTCGACGTGGGAACTGTAGAGGAAGTTCTCGAGTTACGTCAAAAGGAAGAGACTACTTTTGACACTATGAAGAACGAGAAGTATGCAATCCATGCCGTGATTTGCCACCGCGGTGGTACGACGGCAGGGCATTACTGGGTCTGGATCCGCGATTTTAAACGCAACGTCTGGTACCGCTACAACGACGAGACCGTCACAGAAGACAGCCGTGGTACGGAGGCTGTTCTGGATGACTTGAATCAGACTGGTGATCCGTACTACGTGGCCTACGTCCGAGATGAGATGAAGGACGATCTAGTCGACGTGCCCCAACGTCTTAAATCCAATGTCGCGGGTCCTTCGACTGCCGACCATGAAGCTCCTGCAGTCCAGGAGGTAGAGACGATTGAGGGCATCATACCAATGCTCAGCTAAGTTCCTACAACCGACGGGGGGGATTCGTCAGATTAGCGTAGCAATAAGTGCGACCATATTCTGATCCCGGTATATACCCTTGTTTATTCATCTCACGCATCATGAATCCGCAATTGCATTGGCAGGGGAGTTTGCTATGATTTTTGTACTTAGGAAAACCGACCTAGGTAGGCCGCAAAGGCACATTGTCTGAATCACTCAATGATAAACGATTGATCATGAATTGACTTAGTAATCACGTGATACGAGATGGTGAATATCCTGGCCATAGATAAGTAAGGTCATGATTCGTTCTCCGAATTTCAATTTACCGTAGTTTGAAATGATTCCTAAATAAATAAATCAATGTAGCTTCTTAACGCTTGCTCTCGGGTTCTACCAATACACCAATACATACAAACTATTACCGTCGCCGTCATTCGTACTATCAGGACTAGAATCCACCACATCCCCAAAACATTTCCATCAACATAGCTCTAGTGGCGCAGGTATATAGATACCTAATAAATTCATTCTCGATATATATAGAGAAGGGGACAGAGGGGGTGATTAAGAATACGACATAGAGGGAGTAGCAGATGAGGAAGGGGGTGCGGGACTAGTTGGGAGAGAGGGGGAAGTAGATTGTTGCTCTAGCATTTTCTGGATGAGCTGCAGGGATACGTCAGGTGAAGGCGGTCTATTGGAGGCCTGGGCTGTGTTATCACCCTGTGCTACGGGCGATTCCTCCATGACTGTGTCCTGTGAGGAGGGACCGGCGCTGGCTTTCTGCTTCTTTGCTGGGGTTTCGCCGTTGGGGCCTGGTGGGTGGTTAGTTTTCTTCCTATGCATTCGTGTTTATGGATGTCTTTTGGATGGGACATGGGGGTGAGGGCGAGAGAGAGGGGGGGGGATGAAGAGGAAAAGAAGGAGGGATAGGTACCTCTTTTGGGCCTCCCTGAACGCGGGGCCACGGCCGCGGTTTCGGCGTGGACGGCGGTGCGGATCTGGCTGGTTGAGTAGCCGGTGACTTGCTTGATGCGCGGCTTGCTCATGCCGGCGTCGAAGTAGAGAGTCCGGACGCGGAAGCGCTCTAGCTCCGTTAGGTGCTTGATGTGGAGACCTTTGGGTCGGACGCCCATTATTTCTTTCTTTCTTTTTGTCTCTTTTTTGAACTTTTTTGGCCGGTTTATTTCTTGATAAGGGGTTTTTATATGTTGTTTGGTGTGTATAGTGTAGTCGTTTGTTCCTCTTGTTTCTCTTATCTGCTTGATGATAGGGATGGGTGTTAAAGGTGAGGTTGGGAAGACGAGGTGGAGAAAGTTTTAGCCTCTGGTTCCATTTTCGGGTTATGAAATATACCCGTTTATATGATTAAAAGAAAAGATTATCCTGTTAGTGACATATTGAACCGGAAATTTCCGAACCCCCCACCTCCACCCTATTTTTCAGGGTGATTCTTTAACGTTCAGTCAACCATGAAGTGGTTAATACATTATTCAATGATATTTATTCTCAAAATGATACCTTCAGATTCACATTTTATGATCTATAGATAGGCATTCAAGACTCAGCCTCTCTCACCATAAATATAAGGTTAGGCTTCCTTCTTCCCGCAAATTCCTCTCCTGTGTCAAACCGCATTTCCCCAATCTTGGCATGAAAGCCACTTTGCTCATAGAGTCTTCGTGCTACCGGAGTGCCCTCAACAACAGCCTGTAATATCATGTCATTAATCACTCAAGTATCTCAATCATGAATTCAAACATTACTGTGGATAGAAATATAAAAAACGAAGATAAAATTGCGAGCATTGTTACCTTGATTCCCTGTTCATCCGCAGCTTTAGTTCCCCATTTGACAAGAGCAGTACCGGCACCCAGGCGTTGGTAATCCGGATGGACAGCCAGTAATTCGAGAACTATACTCAAGTAAGCAGCCTCTTACCGTCTCCTCACCGATTGCCCCCCACTTACCATAAACTCCCTTCCCATCAGAAGCAGCAATGGCTTGAGTTCGTGGTATTACATAATCTCTCCATAGGCGAGTCATATATTCGCGGTCATCCTCGTCAGGCCATACTTCCACGACATTCTCGTCCTTGTCAAGTTCGGCATGCGGGGCCTCTTTCATATACGTCCAGACGGCTAAACCGATAATGTGTTCCTGTTCCCCGTGATTTCCTCGAGCGACTGCCTTCAGAAACGTAGAGTCGCTAGAAGATTTCTTCCATTCTAGCAAACGCTTGGAACCCTGCGCTTGCCCCGACGGCGTGTCGTGGTGCGGGAAATATATATCTACGAACGGGGCGCCATTGCTGAAACTCTTGGACAGGATCTCGAAGCAAGTGGGTATCTCTTCATCAGAAAGTAAAACGACATCTACTTTATCAGGTGCCATTGCAATAAAGTATGATCCTTAAAGAAAACAGGTACAATCGGAATGCTAGAGCGGGGGAGGCACAGTCTATAATTGATATGGCATATTATTTCTAATACTACCTACCTAGGTACACGAGTAGCTTATATGCATATAACTATTATATCCAATAAAGTGAGTCAATTCCCAAGACATAAATCGACGTCGAAATACCTACAGAAGGCGCATTCAAAACATTTTGCCATAGGCAGATCACAACCAGCTGGCAACGGATCCGCTCACAGCCGTCACACAGCTTTCGACCGCCGGCTCCGATCCCCCTCACAGCTGCAAGCGCTCACGCCAACAGTTAGCCCGCAGTTGTGGCCCACTTATTTGCCAGCTGTCCGCGGTCTACATATCGCAAAATGTTTGTTTTGAATGCGCCTTCTGTACCCGGTAGGAAGGTATTTGATAAGCGAGTCCTTCCCGTTTGCTTATGCAATGATATATGACATTTACCTGGAGCAAGAGCGAAGATCAAATGGCAACAGGAAGAAATGACAAGAGACACATGTCATGCATAAGGGAAGTTTATCTTCCGTACCCCCTTTTGATGGATCATATGCGATGATAACCTTGAAGCTTCTTCACTTCCCCGTTTACTGCTTGTAAACATTGAATATTAAAACGTCTTCATTCGTTTGCGTAATTATCTTTTGATATCTGCCATCATCTCTCAGCAGCTCTCTAGTAATATTTATTCAGCTAAACCACCTATACAAGATGCCTTCCTCCCCGACTCCAAGTGCGCCGATCAATTTGGACGAGATGTTAGATGACCTTCAACCTTGGACGAGGCGACAACCGATCCCAAAAGCCACATTCGAAAAGCTTACTAGTCTTCGATACTTATTCTATAGCACCCAGTTCATACGATCCGGAGTCCCGACTAGTGCCTAGAGCGCTATTCTTCTCGGGCACCGCGAGAGATCCCTCTATGATGCCACATACATGGATGTTCAGGCCGGCATATGGGACCTTTTCAAATGTTGTATCTCGACTTATGATGACTATGGCTTTGGAATGATTGATACCGAGGCATTCTGGATGATGGCTTGGCGCCGCCTACAGAAAATACAAATCGGTCCCATGAAAGAAGTAGATACCTACGACTATTTCACCCATAAATATCTCCCTCACATCGTCCACTTCTACGCAAAATCAAGAGAGCTTGGCAAAAGATACTCAGTGCCGCAAGACTAGAGGGAAACTGTCGACGTAAAGTATCTTCTCCAGCGACTAATAGATAATTGGAATCGAAAGACCTTCTACCAAACCTACTGGGATCCCAACACGGGCGTCAGTATTCAACCACGAAGACAGGGATTCGTCGCTGACGACGAATACTGGTATGAGAATCTAACGCTGAACCGAGCATCTTACCCCCCGGTCTCCAGTTCTAGTTCTAGTCCTGACTCCGATGCCAGTCCAATGCCAATGGACTATGAAGCAGACAGCACTGATCATGCAAGTTGCGATGATTTAAGTTCCGATGACCATTTAGGTTCTAATGCGGATTCTGATTCCGATTCAAACACCAACTCAAGAATTCAATGTAAGAGGGAAAGCACTGCTCATTCAGGCTCTGATGCCGATTCCGACTCCGATGAAGGTCTTATGTAGAATGGCTAATCTGACTTCTACGACGAATTAGCGGGGGTTTCTTATACTATACTCAGTTCTGATACAAGTGAAACTGAACTGATCATTGAAAGTAAAAGAACGTGTGGGATAGGCTTCTTGAAACTGTTGAGAGAACATATTTTCGGTAAAAATTGAGGGGAGTATGAAATGGGCAGATTGTCATAAGAATGATGGGTTTGGCAATGGGTGATACGAAGTAATATTACTCAACAGTAACGAGCAATTCTAGCGAGTGTAAATAGGTAGACAGAATAGCGATTCTCCAAATAGATTTATGTCAAAAGCGGATTGTCTACCTGATATGGATGCTTCTAGTTGCCATGGACAATTGAGTCACAGCATAGAGCATCACACTCATTTTACTCTCAACACTGAGCCAACCTAGGTGGAAACAGGATCATACATGTCCCTCTTGGGCTTTGCCTCAAAAATTATATAAATATATGTCCTATCCTCTACCTAGGTACCTAGGTATTTATCACCAAGGAAGACTGGAATGATACACTGATTAGCACATTATTCACCGTAGCACCATAAACAGAGAGAAATGATACCAGAAGACGAAGCTATGTCTGATACATGGCGTTCTTCATCTCCGACTAGGGTTGGTAGTCTCATTAGCTTCCCTGTACCCGACTATAGTGACGTCTGCGCCCTGTCCGACGCACTTGACTTTACGGGCCTTCAAATGTCAGTATACAGTCACCAGGTATGCAGGAATATGGTACATGGGAGGACGACTTCTCAGGATATCATCTCCAACGTGGATGTAGTCGCCGGGGTTTCAAGGCTCTTCCGAATCTGCTTGGATCTGATTGGGGGTCACCAGGGTATTGATATTCATTCAACAATGTTCTACGAGATGGCGTACGACCAACTTGAATTGGTCGACAAATCGGAGGATGGGCCACTGTGTCTGAAGAATCTCATACTAGTCTACGAGAGTGCCCACTTGAGTGTGCTGGAGAACTACGAACGGCGTGACGAGCAATTCGATGTATCTAAGCTTCGTAATGGCGATTCTGCGCTTATCAATCTTCTAACTCGTTGGCTGGATCAGAGGCAAAGGAGGATAATTAGGGATAGGACAAATAGGAATATTAGTTTTAGTATCTAGTCACTAGCCTTAAAACCGAGAGCCTTGAAAATGACTGTGGTAGAGCACGAAATCGAGTGATAATGGGAACAAGAGATGAGTGAATCGTAAATCATAAATCGACGCACCTAATTCATAGGGGGTTGGTGGTGCTCTAGGGCTATCAGTTAACGGGAGGTTCAGTAAATTCACGTAGCAACTGCAAACAGAAAGCCCTAGCGGGTGAGATATCACTAGAATTGTAGTAGGCAGGAGGACAAAAGGTCCCTGGACCCCCTGTAGTCTAGTGGTTGTTACCATACAGATGTCTACCGTCGTTACCGTCCCTTCTGATCCCCCACTCTATATATCACCAACTTTGCCGTCTCAAACTTTTATTTCTTTTTTTCTCATCTCAACAACAACCGTCCTCAAACTTTCTTCGTTCGTTCGTCGAGAAAAAAAATTAACAATCGCAAACTGGTAAGTAAAACATATTCCCGTCGATAATATTCACCTTTCCCATCCCTTTACCTTCATCTACCAACACATTTTAATGCCATCGCCGACATATCTGACCCGTGAAAAGTTCTCTATCGCGCGATTCGCGTCCGCCTGAAATTTATCTCGTTAAAAAAAATATCATCCAGTAAGTCCGGCGTGATTATCCTCCCCATCCTCCCTCACAATAATCCCACATGTTCATTTCTTCTCACCTACATGTCGGCGATTCGTACACCACTAACGCTATAAAAAATAGCCTCCTTCCCGCCGTGACTATGTCTTCTAGTTCAAGCTTAGACCTGTCCTCCATACCCTCCACACCCTCCACACCCTCTACATTCTCCGTGCCTGCCTCCGCGCCTGCTACCACCCCCATGCCGCAACCCCAGCAGCAACTTCCGCAGCAGCCGCACCAGCAACTTCAGCAGCGACCCCAGAGTGTGCACCAAGGAAGTAACCACGGCGGAGGAAGCGTCTGCTCGCACGGTCACCAGTTCCGCGCGTGTCCCTACCCTCACCATGACGCCGCGTCGCGCCCGACTCCTTACCCTGCCTTTTACCAGTTGCGCCCCCAGAACCCCCAGCAGCAGCCGCAGCCGCAGCACGCCGGGCCCTACCACACCCATAGTGACTACCACCTTCCTGCTGGACAGCACGCGGGACAGCACGCTGCTGCCCAGTATCAGCACGCCGCCGTCCAGTACCAGGACCACGGCAACCACTATAGACCCGCCGCCGCCCAGAATGTTCCTGCCGCAGGACAACGCCAACCCTCCGCCGGTCCCGCCTCCGTCCCCCAGCACCCGTACTATGGCAGCCACCACGGACCCGTCGCTGCCCAGAATGTCCCAGTAGCAGGACAGCATGTCCCCACCGCTGCCCAGCATGTTCCTGCCCTAGGACAGCGCCAACTCCCCGCCGGTCCTTCTGCCGCCCAAGGTCTCCCGCAATGGCTCCCTGCCGGCCAGCAACAGCTATACCACGCTGGCCAGCAACAGGTCTACCACGCCGGCATGCAGCAGCAGCGACCCGCCGCAGGCCAGCAACCCTACGGCGTCCAGCACCTTCCCACGCCGGGCCAGCAGCAAGCGCCAACCCCCCATAACCCGCACCAAGGACCTCCCGGCGGCCACCTCCAAGCGTACCCGCACGCGCACCCGCCCCCGCCGAACATGCACCCACCCGCACCTGCCGCCGCAAACCAGCCGCGCCCGCTGGACCCAGGCATGAACAACCGCCTCACAGCCCTGATCACCGCCGCAGAGGCCGAGGGCCGCTCGCTGCAGGCGGGGATGATCCGCGCGGAGCTGGAGCGCAACGAGGCGTACGTGACGTGTTATCTGCAGGGCCTGCAGATTCACGAAATGACACAGCAGCGCGAGCAGATGGCGCGCCAGGCGGCGGAGGTGTTGGCGGAGTTGCGCGCGCTGAGACTGTATGTGTATGGTCCGCGCGGGGAGTATGGGTTTGGACAGGGTGGACAGGGCGGCGGCCAAGGACAAGGCGGAGCGGGAGGTGCTGGAGCGGCGGGCGGAAACGGAGGAGCTCCTGGTGCCCAGGTGTAGGTGGTCGACTACACCGGGGGGCACCGAGACTGATGTCGATGTCCGCGCCGGTGATAAGATTAGGGTTTTCTTTGAGTTCTGTTGCCCGCCCCGCGTCCTCGCGGGGGTTTGAGAGGCACGGCGGATACTAGGTTCGAACATACGACGTCTTGTCGTTGTGTTCACTTCAGATCGCCGACACACCGCATCAGGCCAACCAACGCTTCATGGTGCGGTGTGGCCTTCGGCGGATGTTGTACTTACGAATCTTTGCTTTGCTTGTCTGGTCTATATGTACTTGGACCAGTCTACACTTGCATGTTTCTGTGGGGGTTATCGGATTCTGATGGAAGATAATAATGAATGTCTCGCACCCTTCTAGGGGTGCTTATTGCCTACAATCATAAGTTGATACGTGCCTTGTGAATTTGCTGGTGATTTGATTACTTACATCTTCTAAATAGGTATCTTTGATTTATCGTAACAGGAAGGTAATGGCATAATAAGTAGGATCCAATGTTCATTTGTTGCTATCCGCTCCGTTAACAATATGATCCAATGAAGAATACCTACCGCCGTGATACTAATTACAAGAAGCTGCTTTGATAAAGTACTCCATTCACGACCGGCTTTACATGCCTCTACTATAGCAAACGGGCTACCACTATCAAGTTAGCAGATAGTTCAAAGAACGGGCAGGTAAAACTCACCGACAGTCGAATAGCCTCACACATCAAACACTACGAATCACCCGATGAACGAACCATATTCAAGAGGAGTTAGACTCTTTCCATTCCATTTCTATAAACACCCTAAAGAGGGCAAAACACCCATCCGTAGACGAATGGCACCAGTCGCCAAAGCCTTTATTTTTGTATGTATTATACATATCGAACACGACGCACTCGCTACCAAACTCGGCTTGGACAAAAGAAGTGTAAAAACGGGTAGTAGAAAATAAAAACTCGTCAAATTCATGCGGTTTATGCAATGGTGGTATCATGTCTTTCTGTACAAACACAATGATATGCGCTCTTAGTAGTAACAAAGGGAAAAAGGGGGAAGGAACGCACCCCGGTGCTCAAAACATCTCGTCGACACGGCGATCCTTGCCTGCCATGGGAATTTAAAACAGTAGAAACCGCAAGAATTGACTGAATGCCATCCTCCTTTTTTTTTCTTCCTCTATAGGCCGTTCACTATCCGCAGCCAACACTGGTTCTTCGGCAACGTCAGCCTGGTTGACCACTCCTACTCCAGGCAAACATAGTTCGATATTGACCCGATTTTATATTGCTCATTAGGTTCCTTGCCATCCTTCCAGTATTACTTGTTCGGACCTTCGGAATACTCAACGACTTGTCAAAGGTACTAGGTAGTCCCTTGACCCGATACCAACACCTTAACGCCAATAGAATTCCCAGCAATCGTTCAGCTTGTAGATCTTTATTTGGGGATAGGAGGCAAGGTCTTCTCGAGACTCTCGCGACTGAATCTGTGCCTTAGGAATTTGAATCCACCGCTACCGGTACTACTGCCACTCCTTTTCCTACCGTCGAAACTACCGTCGGGTTCTAGGTAACTGGTCTTTGGTGGTGTTGGCGGGCCCCTACCCCCGATACCGTGAGGGCCTAGATTGGTAAACCCATCCGGCCTCTCCCTAGGTGATGGCGTGTAAGGTCTAGATTCACTAGCGCTGTCACCTTGACTTCGTCCACCAACCGAGCCTGCCTCCGCTGTTTCCTCGACAACCGGTAAAACGGCACGAGAGTCGGCACGAGAGCCTGGGGATACGGCTGTCGTTATCTTGCGTTCCGGCACTTGTTCCTCCTTAGCACCGTCTCTCTCGTTTGCCCTCCTAAGAGCAATCTCTATAGTAGGATTTGGTTCAGGAGAGTTTGGGCTTCTCATACCTGGCGGCGCAGGAGGCAGATACGTCGGTGCGGGCGGTGCACCGCTGGGCCCTGGAGCCTGAAGGTCGTCTTGTTGAGCACGCTCCATTTCGGCCAACGCAATGGCGGCATTCTCGCGATCATGTGCATCTCGTAATGCCTCTTCTTGTGACTTTGTGATACCGGTCATAAACTGGATAAATCGGTCACCATACTCCTCAGGCGGTAAGGCGGATATTTGGGTGCGATCGCTCGAAAGGCCTTTCCAAAAATGCTCTATCTTTTTGATTACTCCGTACTATTATTGAAGTTAGCAAGATGTTCGGCATTCCGTTCTACAGTATAGAAGATTTTAACTTACGTGCGTCAAGCAGTCAATGACCCCGAGATAGTAAACTTCATCCCCTGCAGTATTGTTTTCGTGTGTCGCCCGCAAGCCTCCATCGTCGCTGTAAAACATTCCGCCACGCCCATGACCTTCTGTTAGCTCATCTGGCATTTTAGTGTTGGTTTGGCCTACGGGAACAGGCCGCTCAGCCTTGATCATTTGTCTTAGCTCCCTCGCTTTGCGTGCATTTTCTAATTTTGAAGGTGTTCTCATGAGAACAGAGCTGGGATCGAACCCCTCATCCGACGGGCTATCCCCCCCTGGATTGAACACCTGTAGCGTCTTGCCCCGAAGGTTCTCCTCATTCCCCTTCTGCAAGTCGTGGATGCCAATGAGTAGGGAGTAATCCATAATCTTGAGCTTCTGCAGCAGACGGACGTCACGTTCAAGTTGTTGCAAGAATAGCTGTTTCTTTTGGATTCCTAATTCGAGATTCCTTTTTCGTCGTAGCCAATTTAGATCCTTTAGAGTTGCCCGAGGATTCTTTTCGAGGTCTTCTTCTCGGTAGTCGCGTCCTACCGTTGATCCCTTTAGGTCGAATGTTGTATGGATATCTCGGTGGGGAGGAAAGAGGTTATTCATGACAACGAAGTGAATCTTTTTGCCATAAGGCATCTTGACGCGGTGTAGACCGTAGAACTGGGACAGGAGCGTATTCGGATTATCTGTGACGTGATCATAGTAATCTTTCAAGATTTTCCGCAGGAATTTATGTTCGCCGTGGTGAATGGTCTTGATGATGTACTTGTAGTCCCTAGAGAAATAAAAGAAACTACCACTCTTTCCCGGAGAGCCAAGCTCAGACAGGATATATTTTCCCGTGAGTGACATGAGATAATCAGCAGGATCTAACCTAAAGAGAGCGCGAAGATGCCGGAAGACCCAGGGCGCATAGTCCTTGAACTTGAAGTCATATTTTGCCGAGGGAACTAGTTCATTACCCGCGCTACCTTTGTTAGTAAAAATATCGTACGTGGATCCAGATCAGACACTTACATGTCGAACGTCGATTTCTGCTTAGTTTCGAAGTCGGCATCTGTAAGAGGGCGGTCAAGTTTCGCATTCGTACGAGACACGGACACTCGGATGCCCGTCAACATGTTGTATGCCGTCGTCCAGTTCGCATGATTTTCGTCAACCTTGGTTCCGACCAAGACCCTGTCATCATCCTCTTCTTCGCGCTTCTTCTTCTTGGCCCGCTTTTGCCTATATGCTTCCGCCCATCTCAGCGCATCGTCATCAGGCAGTATTTCGTCGCGAGGTACTTCGGAGTGCAAGGAACGAGTGTTTCGTCTCCCCAAGTTAAGGGATCCCCGGCGTTGGGATGGACCGGCCCCTGTCGGCGAGAATCTTCCGCTAGCGAATGCCGTGTCGTTACTATCCCTCGACCCTCGCCCAGGTTGGACTCTAGGCACCTCAAGAGTATGTCTGTGTTTCAACCCGCCTGTGGGACCCTGCAGTGCTGGCGTGGATGCGGATGCACTAGTCGACGGGTAATTCGGAGGACCGGAAAATCTCTGCGGCGGTGGTGATCTACGCTGAGTCGGGTCGGGATTGGGTGTAGACGGCGTCAAAGGGCTAGGTGGTAAGTAGCTTGGAACCGAGCCATCGGGAGACACAGTACCATTCAGCGAATTTCGGGACTGTTCGACAGGAGGTTGCACCGAAACCGAAACACGAGATTCTACAGAAAAGCGATTGAGTTGAGATTCGGACGTGCTCTTACGTTGGCTTTCTGTCGTTTGAGATACGCCATTCAAGGTGTATTGATGTTCTGACGACTCGGCCCTAGACAAAGGTGCTTTCATATTGGCAGTATATTTGGAGTTTGGACCCATTGAGGCGGAACCATTCGAGTCTTTACTCGACCTGCCATTGGGCCAGGGAGTCATGCTCGGAACGGTCGACCCATCAGCATCCATTCGCGTCCGCAGGTCGGAGCTATAAGAGGAATGCGAAGATGAATTGTCGTCGAAAGTTTCATTCGTGTCAATTGTAGTAGTCAACGGTCTTGAAATGAGAGTGTCTTTAGCAGTTGACAACTTTTCGAAGTTCGGTACGTGATGATTTCCAAGATGAACGACGCCGGCGTTGGCATATATAGGAGAGTTTTCGTCGTTCACGAAGGTAGGCATATTTCAATTCCGCAAACTATCAGGTAGGCTTCGTTCGACAAGCCGAATGAAGTCCACCTGAAACCCTCGCCCGTAAATGTTGCGTCTCGATACAACGTCTTTGCCGGTCGGGCGAGGGATGTACGGTGTGAAAAAAACAAGAGGAAGTCGAAACAGATAATATTGCTATCCTCTCTGATGATGGTGTTTTCGGTATCGTGTGTGGTATAATTGGTATTGTTGGTTATTGTTGAGACCTTCAGATAGGGATAAGGGGGGGAGACGTTGAAGATGCAAGGCGAGAGATTGTGTTGTCGTGCAAAAGCGTAGAGAGTGTAAAGTGTAAAGCAAGAAAGTTGGCAGCTGAGTGGGTATTGGAGGCTGGGACCGTTATCATTGGCTGTTTCAACGTGGATACCGAAGTGTGGAACGTCCTAATTGCACAAGCTCAGCCACGCCGCTGGGCTTCGTCTCGTAGTGCGCTCGTATAACTGAATGGGAAAGCGTTAGGAATAATGGAATAAAGGGTGGAACTAATAAAGTTTAGCGAAGTTAAAAATACTTGCACGCATAAGATCCTTAAACTTAGTAACTACATACACATTACATACAAATTACTAGGTATATTAATTATCGAAGAATACCTACTCAAGATAGATATCTGTTCTATATAAATTCTTGGGCTCTAGGGTCATCTTCTATATATGTCGGCTGTAGGCTGTAGGCTGGTAGGACCACAGCCTTAGGTTGTCAGAATTCGCAACATGTCACTCAGCTCGACAACTTTTCGGTACTTAGATCGTGCATGGCATGCATGTATATTACATGTATATTATTACAATTAAGTATTGATACCGACGCGTGTTATTGTGGCTAACTGCAGCTAGCGACTGCAACAGCACTCAGTGCAGAAGCAGCACTGAGTTAACTAAATCGACCGGAAATTAGTACCTAGAGCCCTCTTTCCCTTCCCGCAATTCTGGACCGTCTGACCAAAAAAGGAGAAGCTGCGATTCAATATTTGACATCAATTTGTCAGGGATATGGAATCTACCTTGGCATATTAAATTATGAATTGTGCCAATACATAATATTCCACGTCTTATTCTCGCACTTTGTTCGCTCTTCGCAACTTGGCAATTCACATATTTCTACTTTAGCTATTTGCCTCCTGCCCAACGATCTGGTCGAAACCTTGGCTGACTTTCTTAGGCAGGTACCTATTTCCTAGTATGATACAGCCTGCATAAAACTACCTAGGTACCTATGGATGTGTTCAGCCACCGACATTATGCAATTCTCTTGTTGATGGAAGGACCCTAGCTGCCTGGGCGGTCCGGGCTAAGTTTGCCGACCTGCCGACCTTGCCGACTTGGCTCTGTTTGGGAAATCGAATTTACTCATTTTAATGCGGCTTTCACCATAAATTTTAATCAAATGTTCAGCTTCATCCGACGCAACTAATACCCATACATGCCACTCATCTACGTACTTACATAGTTTATCTTGAAGTCGATCTTTCACGACAAGTCACAACTTCTCCATCGATCTTCAATGCTGACAGACGATATCGTCAAAGAGGATTTGGAAGCTGACGATGAGCGCTTAAGAAAGCCTATTCAACGGCGTCTCCTTTCCACAGAAGGACCTACGGAAATTCTAGCGTCGATGCCACTATCCTATGGGCTCTAAATGCCCCGCGCAGTTCATGATAGCTGCCCAAAGCCAGGGTAACCAGCCACATCACCAGCATTGGTTATCGTGTAGATCATGTCGGTCATATAAGAAGGGTGCCGAGCAACCAGAGCAACGAAGATCTCATTGCCGAAGATCCGCCCTCCTTACATTACAGCGTACGTACGTCGGCCGCATAGGCGGAGCCCACATAAAGGTAAACCCCGAATACTCTGTATTTGATGGGCCAATATGATCATTCGGACACCGGAGAATATATTTTCTATCCGAGTGTAAACAGAAGTATTTATCAGAGTACTTCGACATAAAATCTCTAGGATAGCAGTCTAGGTAAGTCTCATGAGAAATGAGGATCCATGAAACCAGTGACAATATCTAGGGTGAGGCTTAAAATCTACATTCCGAAATCGTATCTTGCTGAAGACATTATTTCTTAACGCTTCGTGAATCGCATTACCACGCGGGAGTCCAACCATCCAAGACGTTAAAAGCCGCGAAGTTCTAGCCCCCGACGCTCATATATGAACATGAGTACCTACGGTAGAAGGGAGATTCCTTGCGTATATCGTTTTCCTATCCGAAACTCCATCCAATGCCAAAAGTTTTATGTACAGTATGGCATATATTGTATATGCAGATGGACCATGGGTTAGGTCCATTAAGTAATGGCAGCCGCTATGAAGTCTTTCCAGGCATATCGTTCACAGCTACCACACCTGCGCCTTCTTTTTCTAACCGTTTAAGGGTTTGTTTCTTTTGAGCATCGGCAACTCGAAATCGCTTGAAATAATCGACCTATGTATGAAATACGAGTTAGCCGTACCCTATGGGTGCGTCGAGAGAGTTGAAGGCATGCTGAAGAAATGCAAAAAGAAGAACCTACCCATGCAGTAGCACAGTTGTCCTCAAATCCCTTATGCTCCTTCGCACATTGTTTCTCAGCAATTTTCTTGCCGTCGCCTTTCGTTGAGTCGAGAACGTCGTGCTTATCTAAGCACTTAAAGAAATCGTCTCGCGCATCCCAGCATTTTTTTCGTTCTGTCCTGTCCGGGGCTCTGGCTCCCGTGCGCACTTCCTGTTTGCGCTGTTCGTCGGCGGAAGAGAAGAACCCAAAAAGGCCCATATTGATTTTAGATGTCAAAAGACACCTATGTATGCGATAGAATCAATGGCAAGGTCGAAGTGCTAGGTGTCCCGGGTTGCGGTAATTCGGTAATGTGACTAACCTGTTCGTTTCGCGCAGGTGACGTCGTTAATTAGGAATGCGAAATTATCGAAGCTATCGCAGAAAGGTCAGTCGGAAGCTTATCAAAGCTTAATGCCGATAGGTGCCGACAGATGGAGCATGGCGATTACATAACATCGCTAGGACAATAATAGAGTTTAGATTTACTTACCCAATTAAGCCCAAAATCTCTTGATCTTAGCTGAATTAGGTAAAGCCGCCCCTGCGTCACCCTTTTCTCATCAACTGGTTTGATGGACATTTGGCAATCGTCAGCGAAGCCCATGACTAAACCAAACCTTCACCAAATCTACATTTCTCTTTACCTTGTAATATTAACCAACAACTACCAACGATGAATCCAAACCTTTAATGGTGTTGTTTTTTTCTTGTTCACCACTTGTATCATTTAGAGCTTTCGAGTCTATATTCAACCGACCATCATCGAAAAAGACCTAGCTATGGTGGCTATATAGCGCGACGTTGAAACAGACACTCACAGATCGACTTCCTTTCTTCCGCTCATTTACGCACTTCTCGACAACCACATATCAGCATCATATCTTCAATAACTCCGACCTTCCCCTTCCTTCCTTTTATACTAGAGCTCGAAAATGGCTCGACGAAGGAGACCCCCACGGGCCGGCGCTGTGAACGAGCTTCCTCCTCTACGAATCCTCGGCCAGATTGCAGCATTACAGAGCATATACTACGCCGTTGCGCTAGTTTTGATGCTTTTCACATCCCTAGTTTCCGGCACGCGATTCGGCTTGGAACTTGTTTTTGGATGGGCAAATCTACGCGGTGACACAACTCAAGGGTGGTTATTAGGTTTTATCTGGTTATGTTGCGCCGGTGTCACGTTCGTCTTCCTTATTCCTAGAAGATGTATAGGAAATATGATTAACAGTAGGATGATACAGTATTTTAGCGATGGTAGCCTTGATAGGCCGGTCAAAGCTCGTGCTCGATTTCGCGCTCAGCCTCCACTTTATCCACCTCCTAGTCGTCACATTCTACACTGGCTTCATACCGCGAAATGTGGCTTGGTGGACCACGATGCTTGTCTCGAGTGCCGTTACAGTTATAGGAGGCACGTATGGTTGCCAGTGGAGGGAACTACGACCCATTAGTTTTGGGGGTAATGCAAAGAATAGCAATAATGGAGAGGGTAACGCCCAATCCGCAGCAGAAAACGGAGCTGCTGGGATAGAGCAAGGTGACGAAGAGGCGGGCTTTTCCAGGGGTCGTGGAAGAGGTAGAGGGCGAGACGGGGCCGGGGAGTACGAAATGGTTGGTATAAAGGGTACGGGAGATCGGTGATACCCTTTGCCGTACCGAATGGATCACACTTCGTCGAATTTTGTATGAATACCTACCTACTGCATCGCACGGCGTTGGCTTGCTTGAAGACAATAATATGAGCCCGAAGACTCGGGACTACGCTATATTCCACATTTCACATTACGACATAGGGGTCGCCAACGAAGGCACGACAAGCATACGAATATGGACATATTTGATATCAGTGCACCTATGTCTTTCAACACACATACTTACTGACACTACACCTGAGGGAGTTCGAAATTCATACCTACCTCTAAGGTATATTTTAAGGCATCTAGATATAACATGAATGATGTATGTATCGACTGCTAAAAGGGACTTCAAGGTAAGTAGACAAGTATATCGTAAATTTGGTACGAAATATCTATCGATATTTATGGATGAGAGATCTTGCTAGAGATGGCCTTTGAAAGACGAATGGAAACTTGGTGAAAGCCTCAATGACATAACCTAGGAACCACTCAGGTACCGATATTACTAACAATAAGAAAAAAGTCTTTCGGAACATATTACGGATGAAGGGAGTGCCCCTGAGTATCCCTATAGGCACCTATATTTAGCATATTTACTTATCCATGATTGGGTATGGATAGATGGACCCCCTATTCGAAATTTGGTTAGTTCCGATATCCATAATGACCTCAGTGAAAAGTGTATTGTTTGCGGAATCGTCCCCCTGGGTCATTTGTATGCGAGAAGGAGCTCCCCGATTACCCGGAATACGCCATTATCCAATACCTTAGTACCTCCATAGGCCATTACCCCACCACCCCGCCATTGAAGAATTCATGTTTTGCGCGCATCATAAGAAATAAGAGAGGAAAAAAATATCGTGACTTTGTGACTCTTTCTTCTCTTCTTTGTTGCTTCTCAGTTATTCTAACTCACCCAATTACTAATCTATAACTTCGCCAGCCATGGCTACTATCGTGTTAGGTGTCCAATGGGGAGAGTAAGGATTCCATTTTAATCTCTTTTCCTATTCCTCTCTGCTAATTGGTCTTGTCAGTGAAGGGAAAGGTGAGTGACTTTGTCATCTAGCGAGATCTATACATATCTATATACCTCCTAGTCTCGCCTAATAGGGATGACTCTTCTCACGTCCCCCTTTACAAGGCAAACTTTGCGATGTCCTCAGCTCCGAGGTTCAGATCTGCGCCAGAGCTACTGGTGGTAGAAACTGCGGTCATAGTAAGACGATCCCTTACTTATCTCTCTTCGCGACGAGATATTTGGGTACCTCGGTACTGACTGTCCCCCTCTAGCTGTCGTGATCAAGGGGACATCCTATGACTTGTACGTACACCAACTACCCCCAGATCACTTCCAGAGCAGCAATGGGGTTACTGACTATTTCAAGTCACATGCTGCCGTCTGGACTACTTCACCCCACGACTACAAATCTCATCGGGCCTGGTGTCGTCCTACACGTACCTACATTCTTCTCTGAGCTTGCCACCACCGAGTCGAAAGGCGTCGAGAATTGCCAGCAGAGACTAAAGGTTTCGACGCGTTGCGCATTGAACCTCGATCTTCACGCAGCCGCTGATCGTCTTCGCGAAGGACAACTCGGCAAGAAGAATATTGGAACAACAGGTAAAGGTATCGGGCCTGCATATAGCTCCAAGGCCGAGCGAAGCACCGTGCTTCTCGCCGATCTACTCGACGATGACGAATTCGGAGACAGAATCAGGGCGATGGAGCGAGATTACAAGCTAAGATACGGCGGCGACCTAGCTGGATATGATGTCGAGGCAGAAATCAAAGAGCTTGAAGTAAGTATTTTACCTGTTCATATGTTCTCTTCTAACCCCCTAGAACTTCCGCGAGAGGCTTCGTCCCTTTGCCGTGAACGATATCGAATTCCTGGAGGAGGCCCAACAACAAGGGAAGAAGATCCTTATTGAGGGAGCGCAGTCGGCCTTGCTGGATAACACATACGGAACCTGGCCGTTTGTCACCTCAACATCAACCACTTTTGGCGGCGTCATGGCCGGCCTTACCCTCAACTATCGGAAAGTGGACTCCGTCATCGGCGTTCTGAAGGCATACACCACGCGCGTCGGCTCTGGGCCGTTTCCCACGGAGGACTTCGGAGAAATAAGTGCCAAGCTGCAGGAAATAGGCCACGAATTCGGTGTAACCACGGGACGCAGGCGTCGTTGTGGCTGGCTGGACCTAGTGTCGTGCAAGTACTCGCAAAGCGTGAACCACCACGACGTCCTGAACCTGACCAAGCTCGACGTGCTCGACACGTTCCCGGAGATCAAGGTCGCGGTCGCATACAAGCACCCCGACACCGGCGCCATCCTCGACGCCTTCCCCGCCAGCGCAAAACTCCTTTCCAGAGTTGAGATCGTGTATAAGACTCTCAAGGGTTGGAATTCCAAGACTACGGGAATAAAGACGTTCGACGGTCTACCCCAGGAGGCCAAGGACTACGTCAAGTTCATCGAGGACTTCCTCGGCGTGCACATCAAGTGGGTTGGCTGCGGTCCTAACAGAGACGATATCCTGGTCCGTTAACCTGGATCCGGTCGCCGTGCTTCTTTCTACTTTGGTACCTCTCAGTAGTTCGGGATGCGGTGCGACATCGATGATCCCTGGACGACTCGACATTTTGGGAAAAGGCGCGTGAAGAGATTTCTATTTTTCTGTAGCAGAAAAAAACAAAAGGAAAGAGAAGGGATGGGATGAGAAGAGGAGGAAAAAGAAATGAGCATTACAAAAAATCTTAGATTCTAGGGGCGAGTGCTCTCTTAGATCTAGATTCCGGCAACGGATTGCTAGAGGGGGCGAGGCTTTTGTGGCGGCCTAGACGGGGGAGGTTGGGCTTGCTTGCTTGCTTGTTCGGAACATCGGTGGGGGAGAGGCGGGATGTTCTGATATCTTCGCATTTGCTTTATTTTCGTAGTTTTAGGTGCGTAGTAGATCGAGAACGTGTGTTATAGACATCGTGATTCTTGACATATGGGCTCTTATCTTTTCTCCTGTGAACGATGGAGAGGAAGCTCTTGAAATTGTGAATTGTGGGAAGTGTCACAGCTTCAGCCACTCACTATATGGATGTCTTGGGTCATCCTGGTTTGAACGGAATGCATACAAAAATCTACCTATCTAAATGAAGCCACACGCACACCTAACCCTTCCGCTGTTCTGTTTCCTGCAAGCCAGTTCTTCCGTCGGGTCCCCCCTCCTTGGCAACAACCACTTTACAAATAGTCTCGCTGGTATCCCGCCTGACAGGCCCTGGGGGCGGCGAGCCGCTGACATGAACACTGCACCTAATTCTGAGACAATCAGAAGGACAAAACGGGTCCGAGTCCCCTGGCTCGCCTTGAGATTCTGACCAGGTATCCGGATGACAAGAGTTAGGACCTGTGCTTTGACTAGACCCGTTTCTAGTAGCAGCTTGAGAAATACCGGAATCTAGGCCTGGCAAGGCATTCGCGGAATTGGATGAAGAGCCTTGTTCTTGATCGTCGCATGTTTCTATCACAATTACGGGGATCGTTAGGTTAGGAAAATTAGTTGGCGATTCGATGGTATGTCTTGGTCCATAAGACACACTCGGCAGCGATTTACCGTCATCCCTAGAGGTCTCCTTCAGGTCATACATGGACTCAAGGGTTTTCCCAATCGACGAAACCCGAGCCGGGGCTGAGATTGCTCCTCCTCTTTTTAACCCTAGATGGCTATCTCGCGTATCTCCTGATGTTGTATTGTCTGTCGATCTGGTTTCTTCTTGGCTATTGCGGTAAATTACAAGCGGTTCGGGATACAAGTTATCCTCGCGTCCATCATCTAGGATAGCTGAACATTCAGGAAGAGTCTCGATCACGGAAGATGAGATGGAACCACGACTTTCGGAAAATTCCTTTGTAGATTCTTCTGGTGTTGTGACTTCCGATAAGTGACTCCTCTGCGCCCTTCGCCTATGTCCTTGTCGGTGCGGCGTCCTAGACAATGGGCTTATAACACCAGAATGTAGGCCTGAAGATGTTGGAGTATTATACGGTATAGTGGGGGGTGAATACAGTTCCGGGGACTCAGATATTGATGTCTCGTCATTGGGACTCCCGACACCACTATGGAGAGGTGTAGGCGAAATAGGAGTACTTGTCGAGAAACCAGTTGATGATCCGGATGTCCTAGAAGTTCGTTCAATACTTGCCCTTGAAGAAAGTCTGTCTAATTCTGCGGTAGCAATCATCATACTTGCCATAGCCAATGGATCAAAGTGATGACCAGGGGCACGCGGAGTATCGGCATGAATAATGGTGGATTCTGGAGTGTTAAAGAGTGGACTTTCCTCGCCTGATGATGGCCACATATCTATTGATTCGCGAGCGAGAAGGCGGCGCTCCTTACTGTCCCGGCGTCGGCGCGCTGTATATTCAGATTGAACCGAGAAGGTAGAAGAGCCTGACCGCCGAAGCCTTCGAGTAAGGAATTGGAACCGTCTCATAATTATTTGTCGCACGTGGAAATGATGACGATGTCGAGCCTTTTCCAATTGAGACCGTAATTGGGCGATCTGTTCTTGATTATCCCTCTCCTAGATATGATGTTAGTAGAGATAGAAGATAGCGGTATTGACTTAACACTCGCTTTTAGTCCCGATAGAGGTTCGTCGAAGTCGTCTAGTTGTCGATGAAGTTCTGGACATGAATTAAGAGCATATTTCCTGATAGCGTGAAATTGCGCGTCATGTTGTGAAGTGTACGTGCATGACTTGCCATCTGATATACCCTCGCTATCGCTACCACTACTGGTATTATTCCCATCATTAACTGTGGGAGGAAGATCAGCGGTACGCGGACGGTGGACAAAATCAGAGTCTGACGCCTCCGAAACATCATGTTTACGACGAGGCCTTCTCTTTCCCCAGATTTTATCCCATCCAATGGATCCAGATGTATTCGAGCTGAGCTTCCGAGAGCCTATAGATAGGTCTGGGCTCTGGCTTGACTCTTTTAACTCGCTAAGCCCATCTCGTAGTTTTGAAAGTTCGTCGCTCTCCGAACTTTGAGGACCATCTAGACCGGTTCCGGACAGTGCAGTTGAGCGGTCCCGTCTGGCGAGTTGCACCACAATCTTCGGATAAGCCAAGTTTGACGCTCCGCCAATATTGCTTTTTAAACCCGAGGCAATAGGTGGCGTAGTCTGCCCAGTCAAATTGGCATCGTCGTTCGGACAATCCAGGCAAGAAACGCCAGATAGCCAAGTAGAGATCAAGTCTTCCTCTGTGCCACGTTCCTAACAGAATTTAAGGTCTTGTGGTTCAATTGGGTTCGGGCTGACCGGCGTAAGGGACCGATCTCTATAATCTTCGCGGGTCCGACGCGCCTTGCAACGGGAACAGGCTCCGGAAGTAGCCATCCGTAGATGAAAGCGGTGTGGTTTGGGGGAGAAGAGCCAATGCTCATCCTCGTATTCTCGGCTGTTCTCCTTGCCATGCTGTTCGATGGGTGCCGACTTGCAGCTATAAGAGTAGTATCTATGAAGAGGATGTTGGCGGTTGTAGGGATGTCCTGTTGAGTTGGGCGATAATAACTGCTGTCGGACAGTGAGCATTCCATAGTTTACTCTGTGCATAACTAGGGTTTCATGACTCTTCGGGGTCATGTTTTGTGAAATAGGAGCCGATGTATTTGAAGAAGGATGATAGACGACGTCGCAAACGGAAAATAAGGGCTTTAAATATGTATCGCCACTTGGTGAAGGTGGATGGCATGTTCCTAGGTGTTTAGGTATCGAGTTGAAGAGAAATGAGGGATATGAAGGATATGAGAGGATAGGGAATATTGGGAGAGAAATGTTGAAGACTTAAGAGAGGGTAGAATTTCTTCCATCCTTTACCTATTTGATGGTTAGGTTTATAATAAAACTGGAATTAAATCGTTTAGGTATTAGGTAGGTATCTAGTAGATAGTAATTTCCACGATGAGTTAGGTAGGTATCTTCATGGCTCTTACCTGCTCAAGAGCCCCTTGATAAGAATAACTTGACTTATACCTACCTAGATACGATTGTCCTACTACCATAAACTCCGGAGGTACTCTTTCTCCCCTACTATTAAGGTTACGATTTCTAAATTTAGACCCAGTTGGAGATCTAAGATATGTGGCTCTCCTGTGGCTTGATGGCTTTCTTAGCGTGTCCATATTAACCGAACATACAGCGTACTATCGTTTATTCCCGGCATTAGGAATAGTGGAATACCTAGATAGGTACCGAGGCCGCTGTCTTTCAGTCACCAGTTCTTAGACTTAACCCCACAAGTCGCCTCCATTGCCCGCCACCATGGACAGCTCTACATTCCAGAACGCTCACCTCAATTCCCCCAAATTGAGAGTGTAGCCATGTTGCGTCCAGCGATATCCCGGGCTTCAAGACCATTGGCCGCCTCTGTGAGACGGCGGCAGGCTTTTAGAAACTATGCCTCGGCTTCCGCATCTCAATTCGATTGGAAAGACCCGCTAGCAAGTAAGAACTTGTTTACCGAGGAGGAATTGGCTATCTCGGAGACAGCAGAAAGATATTGTCAAGAGCAACTGCAACCGCGGGTTCTCCGTGAGTATTTCCCGGCTCAATTGATGCCTTGTGGGGTCTGGTATTGGGGTTTACTTGCTAACCGCACTGCGCATAGAGGCATATCGTGATGAGCACTATGACCCCACCATATTGCTCGAAATGGGCGAACTTGGCCTACTCGGCGCGAATTTGCACGGTTACGGCTGTGCAGGGGTATCGACTGTGGCATCCGGTCTGATCACCCGGGCCGTCGAACGTGTCGACAGCGGCTACCGATCGGGTATGTCAGTGCAATCATCCTTAGTGATGGGCGGGATCCACGAATTTGGAACTACGGAACAGAAAGAGAAATATCTCCCCAACATGGCTAAGGGAAAACTCCTTGGTGCGTTCGGACTTACGGAACCTAACCACGGAAGCGATCCGGGATCTATGGAAACGACGGCGCGACCGCACCCGACGAAGAACGGATATTACCTCTTAAGCGGTTCGAAGACCTGGATCACGAATTCGCCTATTGCTGATGTTCTCATGGTGTGGGCGAAGTTACAAGAGACCGGTAAGATCAGAGGGTTTCTCATCGATAGAAAGGATTGCCCGGCAGGCACACTTGAGACTCCGGCTATCAAGAATAAGACCGGGCTCCGGGCTAGTATTACTGGTATGATCCATATGGATGACTGTCCGGTACCGCAAGAAAACATGTTTCCCGATGCTGAAGGCTTAAGCGGACCATTTACTTGCCTGAATAGTGCCCGATACGGGATCTCCTTCGGAACTATGGGCGCCTTAGAAAATTGTATCGCCTTAGCGCGGACATATGCCTTGGAACGCAAACAATTCAAATCCAACCCTCTCGCCAAATACCAACTTATACAGAAGAAACTAGCTGATGCTGCAACTGATGCTGCGTATGGAGTTTTAGCATCGATACAAGTGGGTAGACTTAAGGATGAAGGGAAAGCTACACCGGATATGATCAGCATGATAAAAAGACAGAACTGCGACCGTGCGCTTGTGAATGCGAGAGCACTGCAAGAGATCTTCGGGGGAAACGCCGTTAGCGACGAGTACGGGATCGGAAGACACGTGGCTAACCTATTCGTGACTCAGACGTATGAAGGCCAGAGTGATATTCACTGTAAGTGGGTCCATCTCTAAGATCATCGACATTTGCTAATGGGTGATACATGTAGCTCTCATTCTGGGAAGGGCCATCACTGGAATACAAGCTTTCGTATGAAATGCGAGCTGAGCCAACTAAAGGGATAATTATATATCTAGATCGTCGAACATATCTTGGGCAATATAGATATACCGGGTTACATAAATCCGACCTGCATACACTAGGTAGATTTGAAGCTATTGATTCGAGAGATAATATCTCATCATATATTTATGCATACAAGTTGGAACAAGCTTGGGTGGATATAATGACTGCTCACTACCTTGTATCACAATATGACCTATCTGAACTACATAATGTTTGGTGGAAAATGTCAATATAGGAAATACGCCACTTCCTGGTTAATTTAGGTAATCTTTTAACTATGAAGACTGCCTATGCATATGCTTTCTTTGTCATTCTTCATGGTACTAGGTAGTCATCAAGATATGAGGACAGATATACAGTAATTACCTACCTTGTATGTCTGTGATATGGACCTTAATCAAATAGGATCGGATATAATGACTTTATATATCGACTACTAGGTAATCAACGTGTTATTAAGCAAGAGTAAATTTAGAGACACTGCACCGGGTGAAGTGAATTCAAGTTGAGTTCAGATTTGTATTCCGTATGTAAATACGTATCTACGTATTTTGATTCTTCGAACACACTGTTCTTGGCCATGATTGGTCTGAGTAATGGCGGGGTGGGGTATAAACTTGCAGTGTAACAAGACAAGCCTAAGGCGCCGTTTCTTCGGGTCCATGGGAACGAGCCGGAATAATGTGATTGGACGATTCAAGGCTTAACTTGCCAATTTTGTCGGACTCGTTTGCCAATAGATATTAAGAAGGTACGAAGTACAACCACTAATAATCATTTATGACCAGCTAAGCCACCCTCAGCCACTTGAGTTGGAGATTTTGGAGGGAATCAACTCTTGATTGGCCTGAAGAAAAAGGTGCTAGCGCCTGCCTTGCTGCTGCCGTCGTGCCCGTTCTTTTTCTTTGTGACTGCCCCAGCGCCCCCTGCTCTCCTTAACTTGCCTGGCCCGTGCATACCTGACCCAATATTCCCATTCATTCCGTCACTGAAAGACTTGCCTGACTTTCCTTTCTCCCCGCTACCAACTTTCGCATTTACAGTCACCATCGCCAAAACTACGAAACCAAAACGACCCGACAATAATACTAATAACTGACACATCCACCGATATCTCCTCCTGCAGGCCTCATATACTTGACTTTGATTACCGTCACCTAAACTTCCCTTCTCTGGTATGTTTTATCTCCCATTTCCCCTCCATTTAATACCATTTCAATTCAAATTTATCTGCAAACTTGCCTGAACCACTCCATCCATTTCTCCCGCATTCCATACTGACCGCAAGTATAAATAGCCGTTTTCTCAACAGCAGAGATCACCGTCGAGCAAGAAGCTCAACAACACTACATCCCACACCTTCACAATGGCGTTGAAGCGCATCAACAAGGAACTCACAGACCTGGGCCGGTATGTTGATTTTTTTTTCTTATCGTAATGGCCGATTGTTTGGCGATGCATCTGTCTGTCTTGAGCCCAAGGTGGGGCCGCAATATGGAAGACAGAGCGGGGATTTTACGTGACAGCCTCACTATGAAGAAAAAAAGGAAAAAAATAATATTTATTTACTATGGCCGCGGATAATCCTGAAAATGATATCGTATTTTGATGGCGTTACTAATGTTTTGTTTCATAGGGACCCTCCCTCGTCGTGCTCTGCTGGACCCGTTGGTGAAGATCTGGTAAGCAACACATCGTCTCACCCCACCAAGGATCGATAAGGATTGGACTATCTAGCCGCTGCTTGACTCGAGTCGTTGGGCACGAGCGGCGATACCTCCGAGGCTTTGGAAATTGCACCGGTGTAATGAACTGTTACTAACCTACTATTCTTCTGCATAGTTCCACTGGCAAGCGACGATCATGGGACCTGTAAGCCAACCCCTTCAATATCGCATGTCATTTCATCTACCTTGGGCAGATTTCTTGTTCATGGACCGGCTATCTAGTGGTTACCTAGCGGCTTTGCTGGATGGAGATAGCCGCTGAGTCCGAAGCTGTCCCCTACAAATGTCACTTTTTCAAAGTACTAATTAGATGTCTTAGGGTGACTCGCCGTATTCTGGTGGTGTCTTCTTCCTCGCCATCCACTTCCCAACAGACTACCCCTTCAAGCCCCCCAAGGTCAACTTCACGACTCGTATCTACCACCCGAACATCAACTCTAACGGAAGCATCTGCCTGGACATCTTGAGAGACCAATGGAGCCCGGCATTGACTATTTCTAAGGGTGAGCGATACTAAATCCCCCAAAATATTCTACGTTCTTATTCTAATCTGGTACAGTTCTTCTCTCTATCTGCTCCATGCTGACCGACCCTAACCCCGACGACCCTCTTGTTCCTGAGATCGCGCACGTGTACAAGACCGACCGTGCGAGGTATGAAGCTACGGCCCGGGAGTGGACTCGCAAATACGCCATCTAGGGCGAATGGCAAGGAGGAGGATTTGTCGGCGGAATGTAGTGGTTGATACGGCAGGGCAATGAGCATAGCACTTACAGGTAGTGATGCCGGAAGGGACGTGGACCTTCCTTCCGACCCAGGCAATACGATCCGCATTTGCCACCGTCTCTGTCCATTCGTCGTTATGGCTTAGTGTGCCTCTTAAAGAACCCTTGGGCACACATGACTTTTCGGAACAGGCTTAGAATGACTTGCTGAGGAAGATGAGGTTTTACGAAAGATAGGCATGAATTAATGGAGTTGTCTGGAGGAACTGCGGCTTTGCATTTCAATCCTCTTTGACGTTCATCCCAGATCTGTTATAATTCACCAATCCCTTCCCTTTTATGTGACCGCAACCGGTCGCGAAAATTGATTTAGGTTTTAGGCCTGCGTGACGTATTTGTTTTATCATTCCAATGTGTGACCGTAGATGCCTATCAGCATAGGCTATTTGTATTTGCCAAAGCGGTAGTTAGAACTTAGGATCATGTCTCGGGCGGAACTTAGTGCTTCTAAGGTTCCTCCTAGGGGCCGAGGCGTCGGTATTGTAAATCGATACCAGTAATTGCATCAAGCCAAGATGTTCCACGGCCTCGTTTTGGTCGAGTAAAAAGCTTCATGTATAAGATAAGGAAATTTTATAAGACAGGTGTGTTTCGGTTTTGGTCCGCGGGTTCCTGAGATAGGAGAAACGTGATCTAGCGGTAGGCTATTGTACGTACCCCTGGTTTTAGCCGCGCAATTCAGATCGAATGTTGGACATATCCAGATATGTTTTGCAACAAATGTCCTTTCATTCGGTCGTACGGTGATGGGCAGTTACCCCGAGTAGTAAGTTATTTAGTAAGTATCATCGTTACGACGAGAGAATCCTACAACAGCTGGGCAGGTAAGAAAAGAGACAAAAATAGGAGTTGTCGAGATGGGATGGGTATACGGATATTACCTACATAGTACATGTTTCGTAGGATTTAAACGAAGTTGTGTCTGCGCAACTTGGGATTCGGCAGGCTTGGAAACACGGGAAACGGTAACGTGGGGGTATACGAAGTATATCCCGAGTGATTTCTTCAAACATAAGAGAATCGAAATTCGATGCGAGGACATATTGTTATCTATCTCCATAAATATAACTATCTAATAGATTCAATCTCGAGATGTTTGTGAGATCTACTCGGGGATGTTGGTTTTTGTGACGCCATACAATGCCGAAACGCCGAAACGCACATCGCTTTATGGTTCCGTGGTTTTGGTGGTGTTCAATATTGGATGTGCTGCATGTGTTGGTAGCGAAGTTTACTTGGGAATGTCATGAATAGAATCGAGTGAAACTTCCATTCGTACTATGTAAACTTGCCATTATCAAGCCATCGGATCGCACCTGGCAACCTGGTTCATATTAAACAAACCGAAGGGGTGTTGCATGCATATCTAATCGAATCGAACTGAGTGGGTCTGAGTCGTGAGCCGCTTCCTTTTCTAATTGCTTGATACCACGAGGTTTGTAGAACCTTGATCTGTGACCCTGTCGCAAATCTGCCGAAACCCGAGGCCGCTTTATCGATATCGAACACTCATTAATTCCGTAGTTTAACCTACCTGGCTGCCTGGTATTCACCAACATTAATAATTGGATAATACACAATTCGACAACCTTAAACTTACAAGACCATGTCTTAAAATTCATCCACTCAGATCATTCACGTTTGTGTCAAAATGCCTGGCGACCGCTGGCATGAAAGTTGGCGGGCGCTTGTCCTCTTTTGCTACAAAGCCCTTGGCGGCTCGAGTCTCGAATGTGTCAAAGACCCCTGACGAAACATGCTGAAGCGTAGGCGCCGAGGATCTTTTCTAACCATGGACCAATGACGAATCAAATCTCGATCTCGAGCTCTCCACACCCCAAACCGAGTCCAAGCCTCAATCCCCTCACTCCCTTGCCCTGTTCCTGTTCCTCCTTACAATCTTCAGCCTACCATTCTACGGACAGCAATTCGAGATAGGTATCGCCTAGCTTCGAATGCTGTATCGTTAGTTTGTACGTATCGCGGCGTGTCGTCGACGATGCTCAGTGGTGCCATTACCCACATCTTCATCCTTGTAAGGATCTGAACATCATACAGGTCAAGGTTCACCCGGAGCGAAAAGAACGGGTCATTGAAGATTTGAACGAAGATTCTTCGATTGATACACGCAATCCAATCGATATCGACAGCGAGTGCTGGTTTCTATTCTTGAGAGACAATAGTCTTAGCTAACAGTTTACTTAGTGCCTACCTACTAGGTAGACATGTGGCTGTTTAGTGTTTACTAGGTGCAGTAAATGCTGAAGTACCAAAGATTCGTAGGTTCTCATCCGGTTCAGCAAAAGTTTCGCTACATTACGGGCTTTTTTACGGGCTCTTTCTCGTGCTTCGAAGCCTCGAAACAGTTGCGGTAATACAGCGTAATAAGGCTGTAACCCCTTCGAAGCCAGATCAGGGACCCAGTCACTGAAAACCCCCCTGACGCGTGTTACTTGTACCTGGTCGCAAGTGTCGAGACCACGCAGGACCTCGCTTCGATCCATCGTTGTCGCAAGTAACAGGTACATCTCATCATGCCAGCGTACCCATGCATTTTCTATTTTACACCCCCGGTATCACATCATTCTTAATCCTTTTTCCCTGCGAAGAACTTTTTCATTTCTTTTTCTACGGCTTTTGAGGTTTGTAATAGCTATGCTTGCGAAGCTTCCCATAACCTAATAGTTTAAGGTGAGGTAGCGTTGACGTTGACAACCCCTGGCGCGGCGTTGTACCCAGGTATGATCTCCCAAATATGGCCTGATGTTTCCTATTCTTGGCAGTCTTCCATAATATCCACTGCCTTCCCGCCTCTTGCATGAGATCTTCGGAACCCTTTTCTCCTTTCCCTTCGTTTCCTCACAAACGCTTTCCCCTTCCTTTCCCGTTGTTCGTAGGTGCGCTGTTCGATTCTTTGCGTTGGCTGACAGGCGGCTGTGATAGGCAGGCTTCCAGGTCGACTATCCGTTCTTTTTTCAATCTTTTGCCAGTCACATCGCCGTTTCTTTCCTTCGATGGCCTTGTGCCCGTTCAGCAGGCTCTGAATTAGCATTACCTGTTTTTAAACCCGCGTCAAAAGGACGAGGTCCCGAAATATAATTCAAAAAGTCTAATAGGAGAAGAGGAGGCACTCGGTGGTGTTGGATTGGAAACTGCACGGTTCAAAGTTCAAGAGTATTTGGAAAATTAGAGGACGAATCTGCCCGGAAAACGATATCAGACCGACGATTACGAAAGACTTGCTACGAAACGTCATTCGAGAAAGATGTCTTACTACGGGGGCAATCAGTATCCGGTGGAGAAACCGTCGGAGAGGTCAAGATGGACGCCATTAACAAGAATGTTGCTATCGGGAGAGATGACCCAGGAACGACAGAAGGAATTGACGATGCGAGAAAAGTTCGACAAGTGGATGATTAACGAAGGATACCGAAGATTGTTGGTGCTATCCGTGAGTTCATCTTGCAAAACAAATTACTGACAGTTTTATTAGTTTCGTCTTCGTTTTCATGGTTCTTCATGCCTTCGTTTTCGCTTTCGGATTCGTCAATTACGCCGTCAAAGACAATTTACAGGTTGCGCGAGATACGTTCGGACCGACTTACATGATTGCGCGATCAGCGGCTTTGGTGCTTCACGTGGATGTCGCCATGATTCTGCTGCCGGTTTGCAGGACATTTATCTCTATCGCGAGACAGACGCCTCTAAATGGTATCATCCAGTTCGACAAGAATATCACGTTCCACATTACGACGGCCTGGTCGATCTTCTTCTTTTCCTGGGTTCACACGATTGCCCATTGGAACAACTTGGCCCAGATCGCTGCTAAGAATAACCTGGGTATCTACGGATGGTTGGTTGCAAACTTGGTGTCTGGTCCGGGCTGGACTGGATACATCATGTTGATTGCGCTTACGGGAATGGTGGTGACTTCGTACGAGAAGCCGCGACGAGCGAACTACGAACGATTCTGGTACACGCATCACATGTTCATCATCTTCTTTTTCTTCTGGTCCTTCCACGGTGCTTTCTGCATGATTCAACCCGACTTTGCGCCGTTCTGCGTTTCAGTCGGTAGCTCTGCTATCGGTGTCTTCTGGCAGTACTGGATGATCGGAGGATTCACATATCTGGCCGAGAGAATTGCTCGCGAATTGCGTGGTCGCCATAAGACTTACATTTCCAAAGTCATCCAACATCCCAGCAACGTCTGCGAAATCCAGATCAAGAAGGAGAACACGAAGACCAAGGCCGGACAGTATATTTTCTTTTGCTGCCCGGAAGTCTCACTTTGGCAATACCATCCGTTTACCTTGACCAGTGCGCCCGAAGAGGATTATATCTCCATCCACGTACGTATGGTTGGTGATTTCACTCGACAACTAGCCACGGCACTGGGTTGTGAGTTTGGAAAGAAGGATAGCAAGGACGCCTCGAAGGTTGTTGGAGTTGACGGCCAGAACAACGAAGTTGACCCTGCTTTGCGAAGAGTCCTGCCTCGTGTCTACATCGACGGTCCTTTCGGATCCGCTTCTGAAGACGTGTTCAAGTACGAGGTGTCGGTTCTTTGTGGTGCTGGTATCGGTGTTACGCCATTCGCGTCTATTCTGAAGTCGATCTGGTATCGAATGAACTACCCGCAGAAGAAGACGAGGCTTACGAAGGTGTACTTCTTCTGGATTTGCAGAGATTTCGGCTCTTTCGAATGGTTCCGTTCGCTACTTCTGGCCATCGAGGCCCAAGATGTTGATGGCCGAATTGAAATCCACACTTACCTCACTGCTAAGATCAAGGCAGATGATGCGACAAATATCATGATCAACGACGCCAACGCCGACAAGGATACGATTACCGGACTGCGAAGTCCCACGAATTTCGGACGACCCAACTGGGACATGATTTTCCGAGGTATCCGAAAACTGCACGCGCCTGCTGAGGCTGGTGTGTTCTTCTGTGGACCTAAGGGTCTCGGAAGTGCGCTCCACGTCTTCTGTAATAAGTACAGTGAACCTGGGTAAGTTTATTATTCTTGAGCGAGATTCGCTAGATGACTATTTTGTGGAATATTTGGCTAATTCAATTGCAGCTTTTCTTTCGTCTGGGGCAAAGAAAACTTTTAAAAAGTTTACGTATTATTGTCAAGACCTGGTCGATATGCTGCCAGTAAATCCGAAAGCATTGCCTAATCACTGGCGCGGGACGCAGATGACCATTATGTTTGTGTATTAATCGACCTTGTTCGCAAGCAATTCAGGTTTTCTTGGGCCTCGGTTGGAGTGGGTGTGTGCGCTTAGACTATTCGTGTAGACCTAGAGTCTAGCCAGGATCTTTAATGGGTTCGACTAGCAAACCAGAAGCACACGACCTGGCCGGAATAGCGAGCGGAGCATCATCACGAGAAGAATTTAATGTATACCTACCTGAACTCGGGTTGGGGCCGATACCTTCGAGATTCCCGCCACCGGCGACGAATCCTACGATGTACGGAGTCGATGTTGGAAAAACTGGGAACTAACAGTAGATGTTGATTATCATATATACCTTTGTATCTAGTTTTACTTAAACCTGCAATATCCTTTACACGTAGATTTGTATTTCCTACCTCGTTTTGTCGTTCTAGCGCTCGTGATGATTTATGTCTTATTATCTGTTACTCTATTTTACACGAATTTGCGAAATCAACTACAGAGCACGATTCCAGGATATTCACAAAAATGGCATTGTTAAGTTTGCGCAAGTCTTCCATGCGGCTCTGTCAAACATGGATCTAGAAGCCTTCCAAGACGGCTTCTTCACAAGAGCAACTCGATCCGCTCCCCGTGGGCAAAACGTACTTCGCGATTGGCCAGTCAGTCTCAAACGACGGGATCCAAGAAGGGATGTGGGATGCCAAGATCGTGATTCGATTCAAGCCTTCATGTCCTCGCTCCCGGGTTCCGTGGCGCGGCGGTCGAAAAGGGGATAGAATGATAGGTGCCTAGTAGGTATATTGGGTCAAGTCGGGACCTCGGTACTGGGGTTGTGCGAACGCCGTCTGCCCGTACGTACAGATATTAAGTCTTGGTGTTAAGTGTGTGGATGTTCATCAGAGCGGTTCTTGAATCAGAACGTGCGTCGCCCACCCCCACATGTTCAGGGGGTGACGTTCCCTGGGATCTGGTTACGATTGTGGGTCGGCCGTGTGGGCGCGCGCTGCCTGTGAAACGTGCGTGGTCTGGACGCGGTTTCGATCTACGGCGGGATACGTCAGCTTTGTGGTCCTGTACTTTATTTCTGTGGTTTTCGTGGGTGGTTTGTCGGATGATTAACTGCGGTTTTTTGGGCGATTTGAGGTGTTGGACGGGGGATAATAGCGATTTGGTATGGAGAGGGGAGGGAGGAGAGAGGAGGTGGTTATGAGGGAAAGGGGGCAGGTTTAAACGGATGTTGGATCTGGTAGATGGGGTTTTTGATAACGCTTGTGGGAATCGTATTTGATGCATCTATGTAGATCATATGAATTATTTGTTACGATGTGGATTGATTTGTTTGATTTCATCCCGGTCGGTCATATCTGGTCGGGCAAAGGCTTCGGCTTGTTCGTATGTAGATAGGTAGGTACCTATCATAGAATGAATGATAGACCAGGTATTCAGCATCGCTTCCTATCATTTATCAAATGTCTTACGGGCTTTTAGACCGGTTGGATTAGTTTTCGTGTTTTTGCTATTGGCTTAGACCTCCGTGAAGGGGATATCGTGAAGCAGCCAAGATACGGGATCAGGGGTGATCCACCTTGGAATTTACATAATTCAGAAGACATTTCCTCTTCATGGACTTTGCATTTATTATCATTATTCATGCCTTCTCCGAATTTTGGCCTCTATCATCTCATCGCCTATCCGGAAACCCCTCCACCCAATCCGATCGCCTTCCCAAGACTTTCAAGTCCGTCTGATGTTAACGCCCGAGTTGCGAAGAAATCTTTGAAGAAGGAGGATCGTTACCAAGGTCCAATATTGGCATGGCCAAGTATGCTGATGTTGCAAAGTAAAAGGAAAGGGTGAGGATAGCTGGTAGTAATTTCCGTACCGTTTCCGTGCCAAGTCCCCCGTGTTCACGCCCTGGACATCCGTCTTGCGGCTCTCGAATTTGCAGGATATCCCATTACGGCAAAGTTGCTTCGGAACCATACACTTTCATTATTATTTCGATGACGGTTCCTTTTCTTTCACACAACGAACCTCTTCTAGTTCGTCTGCAAATTCGTTCTCTCCATCGTATAGTTGGAAGTCCTGCAACTCCGTAGCAGATGGAGTTTCCTCAATCGAATCTGTCTCTTTATTAGACCGAAAGGAGATATCACTAGGCCCGAAGATTCCGTAAGGCTTGTCGTTGGTAGTTGAGATACTTGGTTTCCCTAGGTTGGCTGAGTCTGTATCGTGATGCTTGTTCTCATACCAACTAAAGTCGAATTCCTCCACACTTTGTTCCTGCCGTCCCATGATTCGATCAAGTGCAGAAAGATGATAGCTGAAGTTGACATTGCTTCCGCGGGAGTTGGATGTCTCCCGGCCCGGCGTATCACCGGGCACCATTCGTTCTATCGGTAATGTCGGGGATGTCAACGGCTGGCTCTGGAGAGAAATATGGCTTGTATTGGTGGCACATATCTCGCACGGTACCGGGCGTATGATACTCGCAAAAAAATCGGTCCGGTCCGTGAGCGGAAGCAAACTTGCGGGCATGCACGGCCGGACGTTTGTGTTGGCACTGCTGCCCTGACTTGGGACGGCATGGCCGCAGTAGAGGATGGAGCGCGGAGGCGTGACGTCGGTGTCTTCGTGGAGGCACGCGTAGAAGACACGCCGCCGATGGCACATGGTGAGTGATGTGTGTTGTGAGGGTATGGTGATAGAATTGAATGATGTGAGGTGTAGATGAGATGGTATGGCTCCTGGAGGCTCGAGGCCCTGTGCATACACTAGAGGATGCACGAGGTATGGTATACCGTGCACTGCTCCCTATCGCGATTGCAGTTTGGGGTTATATGTACTGTTTCTCATCTATCTCTCTGATTGTTCGTGTATCAATCAATTCTCGTTCCTGATCGTGCAATGTTTATTCGTGGCACTGGCCCCTATGTGGTGAGTGCGTGATAACAAAAGTGATATATATTGTCTAGGAGTTGGTAAATGTGTGGCGGAAAGTTTTTGCACACCTTTAGTCTAAGGCTAAGTTTATGTTCTTACTGGGTACTTTCTCACTGTAAGAACATGTAGCATCGTCTATTATGTCGTCTAAATTATGTATACTTTGAGTGGCGTCTAAGAAATGCATGAGGGTATCGCCAAACCCCCGTGGCTGAAACTATGCCACTAAGGTTTAGAGGCTTTAGATGAAGGCAAAATACTTTATTTCGATTATTAAATCTTATCTTTACAGAATGCCATCATTTATGAGATTGCCTACCTACATTTCGCATGATTATATTAAGATTCTAGGTAATTACTAGGTAGTCTTCGATCTACTAGCTGACACCTAACGCTATCTTCCCCTGAACGAAAATGGGATTGGATAAACCACCTGACAGACATGTGGATGAACTTAAAGACGTCCCATTCCAGTCTCTACGAATGAACTAACGGAATATTCAACCTAGCTAAATGGGAAGCGTTGAGAAATAAGATCCTGCGTTTCCATATTTCTCTACTTGCGCGAAACTAAAAGGGGTGACCCCTGACATATTCCTTTAGTCTTCCAAAAATCATACATCAATACACACCTTGGAACTTAGACAGACCACAGCGATCATAAGCGAAGTAATATCTCCAACAATTCATGATATTATTGACTTGCCGAAGTGGGAAGTGAAATATTAACTCATTATGTAGAAGGTACCTAACTAATATAGACATGCGAATCCAATACTTTTCATATAACCAATAAACCCAATATACGCCGCCAGAATCGTAATGCGACACACATCAACCATTATCTACCCATCCATTCTTCATTAAAAATCGCACACATACCCCTTAATCCGCTAAACCCTCCCCAAGCGTATCTAGCATATATAATCAATAAACAACCCCGCGCCCGCCGTCCTCTTCAAGAACACATTCCCATTCGTCGTCCTCGGCTTCTCGATAATCACAAACACATCCTCCGCGCACGTAATCTTGCCCGGCCCGGAACTGTGATACGTCCCCTTGACCTCGCGGTCCCACCCCGTGAACTCCGTGTGGAACTCCCCGTCCGCACCCGCGGTGTCGAACGGCGCTACGGCCGCGGCCGATACTCCCTCCGTGGTGTCGGGGAACCCCGACAGTTGCCGCCCGGCGAGCAGGCCGTCGCCGCCGGCCACAAGAACCCCGACTGAAGCGTCGTCTTGCGACCACCCGAACGCGCACCCCGTTGCACCGCTTGGTAACCCGCTGAAATGCGCTGCTTGTGAGATCGTGAGGTTTGTTTGGTTGTTGTATTGCACGTGGAAGTCTTGGACCGCGGGGCTGGAGAGATCCGGGTCCGTGGGGAAGAGTGTGTAGAGCTCGCTGGCGTAGACGCGGGTTGTGCTGCCGGTTCCCGTGCAGGTTGTGTTTCTTACTGCTATTGAGGCTGGCTTGGTGGGGAGGGCCTTGGCGAGGGCGAGAAGAGCGGTTAGGGGGGTTAGGAGGGTGGTTAGGGATGGCATTTTGGGTTGGTGGGTTAGGTGAGTTGGTGGTGGTGGTGGTGGTGATTAAGAATTAAAGTAGGAAGGTTTTCGGGTAGCTAGGCTTAAGAGGTAGGTGGTATTAGGATTAAGAAGGTATGGTGTATGATGTAAGTGTGTGGGAGGAGGGGAGAAGTGCGGTGCTGAGGGTGGTGAGATGTGCTTTTTATCAGCTGTGCGTGCATACATATATTTAAAATGAGGATCCGCGCCGTCTGGCTAATGACGATGCATGGATCGATTACGAGACCCTCCGCTCGGCGTTCGCTAGCATGATGTTTAGGTAAACGAATCAATATGTTCCAAACCAACCTTCGGTACATGCGTCATGACGACAAACATGGCGGCGCTGCTCGGTGACGCTGGATCTTTAAGTGGACCGAAGAACGCCTCTACGCTAATGTCTAGAGAGTCCTATCACGATCAATAGAACGTCGCAACTTGCATCCTTTTATGGACTTGCTCTTGGCAATATCTTGGCGCCGGGAAGAGCACAGGCTTCGAACTATTCTCATTGGTACGCCGGCGACCCGAGGGTTCTTAGTAATAGCTATCGATCATGTGGTTTATGTGAAACATGATACCCTTTTATCAGTTATCAGGCTGGGTAGGTAGGTATATGAGATATCAAGACCTTGATATCCTGGACCTAATTTGAACTTACCTAGACATCTATGCAAGTCTCAATCCGAAACGCCGCAAAGAAAAGGTGGCTGTTATACGAAGCAGGTACCTACTTAATTTATGGAGGCGGCGCAGTTATCGAGGTTGACTAGGTAACTAGGGTCTTGACGGCGGCAAGGGATACAGCTAGCTACGGGAACATCCCGTGTTGTTTGCATGGCTACTAAAGACAGCGGGATCCGACAGCCCTATTCGAGATACCGATTGACGGAAGGGATAGGCATCTTTAAGTTAATGAATTGATTATATCTAAGGTAGGTAAACATCTATCTAATATTACAATGGACCCATTCCCGTTATTCCCATACTAAAACAAGCAAACAGAAATCCAACTCTTAGCCTAAGACGGAGGCGCAACATGTCCAGTACATTTCTGGTAATTGGCAAAATCTGTGAGGCAGATTTGGCTGCTGCCAATCGTGTTGCTGAAGAAAGTCGGTGGAGTGGCGACTAGCATAGGGTGAGCGTTGATACACGCGAAAAGTTTACGCTGGTTGATGAAGTTGATGAGATCTTGTCGTTTGACTGCCGGCGGGAAGTCTGAGAATCCACGATGGCTGGCATCCTTCCCAATCATCAAGAAACAGTTTCCGTGAGACGAAATGCGCCACCAATCGTTGTCAAGCGGGTTGTTTCGGCCAGTGGCAAAGTCGACGAACTTGCTTCTGTCTTTATCGTTCGTCACGTCGATTGTGTCTCCATAGCTGGCCATCAGCTGTGATACGATGGTTCCACAGTCATTGATGCATTGGCTGGAGTTGGGAGTTCCAGTGCTAGGAGTAGTCGTAGGTGGCGGCGTGCATTTCTGTTGGCCTGTTATTGTACCCTTGATAGCGATGTTGCCCTTGTTGAAGTTCAGGCTGAGCTTCGTGTTCACGGTAGGCTTTCCATCGGGAACCGTCCACTCGATTTTGTTGTTCGGTGGAGCCCCTTTTCCGTTGGTAATAGGGACGAATTTAGTTGCCCCGGCATCAATCTGGTAGAAAGCAATCGAGTCGGTCTTGTCAAACGAAACCGACCAAGAGCCGGGCTGGTTAGCGATAGGGAGGTTGACAAGAATGCCATCCTTTCCGTTAGGGATCTTCACATCGAAGGTCACAGACGGGGTTGCCTTTCCGTTGCTACCACAAGTAGGGGTTGGCTTTGGGGCGTTAACCGTGATTGGATCCGCTGTCTGGATGGTCTTAGGGGGACTCGGGTCTGGCATGGCAGCGATTGACTTAAGATAGGGGCCTTGGAAGTTCAAAAACGCGGTGTCAATCGATGCAATGATGTTCTTTGCCTCGAGGAGACAGGGACAGCCCTTATTACCACCCTATTCATCGTAAGTTTTTATTTTTATACGAAATTTGATACTCCTGGATACTCACAACTGTGCAAAGTTCTGTAGTTTTGTCTCCGAGACAATCCAAATCGGTGCATATCGGCTGTATTGAATTAGCAACGTGGATGGCTTAAATAAGAGGCGACATGTTTACCGATTCGCTATTCTTCGTCTTCAAAGCAGCAGGACACTTATTGTCATCCTTGGTTTCCGTTGGAGTTCCGAAGCCAACTTTGGGTAAGACGATAGCACCGACGACGACCGCAGCACCCGCTGCTTGCGATAGGTTGATCGATACAGCAGACATGAAGAGTGCTAACATTGCTTTTCGAGCCTGGGTCTTCGCTACCTGGAATGCTCCTTTCACCAGCGGAACGGCTTTCGGAGCAGCATCGACTATAATGGAATTCCATTCGGCAGCATTGACAATAGAAAAGACGCCGTTGTCTGCGTATGCATCGGTTCCCTTATTAAGGAGACAGGACAGAACTGAAACGTAGGTATTATGATTAGCATTTTTCCTACACGGGATGTAGACTATTCCTTTCGTGCACTTCGAACTTACCGTCATCTGGAGCAATAGAATCACGTTTGGCACCAAGCGCGTTGCAAGCTTTAACAGCAGCATCTGCGGCCTGGGCAAGCTTGCCTGCCAGACCCTCAGCCAGCACAACAGTAACGTCACCGACAGCCACACTACCAACGGCCGCGGCGGCCGTCGCCACGGATAGTTGAACAGTCTTGGTTGTACCCTGGCTGGTTGTTTCAGTGAGAAAGTCTATATGTTTTGCAAGCCACTAATCGTAGAGTTAGCATATCGTCCACCGTGATACAGTTTATCATTCCTTGTGATGGACTTACCCTTGTTGTTCCTGATTGAGTCGTTATAAGACTACTCTGCGATGCAGTAAGATGCTGTATGGTACCGCGATAAATATCTGGATCACCAATATCATCTTCTACAGGAGTAACACCGATCTGCCCTGTGGTAGTCGGGATAACTGCGTTGACAACAGCGGTGGCTCGAGGAACGACAGTCATGTTAGGTCGATCATCTGCAATTGCGCTTGCGAGCCGGGCCGTGGAAGCCCAAACGACCAGCCACAAAGGGCTTTGAAGATTAAACATGATAAAAAATGGTCTGTGGTGATTTTATATAGAGAATAGTATGAAGTCTAGGATAGGAAATGAAATGAAACTATAAGGAGACTGATTCGAATGAGTTTGAATATGCGACATATCAATGGCAACGATATCTTATAAGAATGCGCGAGGCGCCTAATATGCAGATAACTATACTACATCTATGCTATATTCTATCTCATCAATTGGCCTTACGATTGCTGATAGCCTGTGCTGATTTCTTGGATCTTAGGTGAAGCTATTTTAGGTATTACACAGGACGCAAATATCCAAGAGCCATTCCCCTTTTGATTTCTCCCCTGGTCGCATGTGGTGGGCTAGACCTTTTGATTATTTTTAAAGATGTTATCGAATCAGAATTGCGGCGATAATTACGTGAGATGAAAAGAACTGGCAAATCGTGCAGTTGATGTTGACGTGACTTTATCCCTGCAAAGCTGGGGGAGGCCTAGCTCATAGGATATGTCGTCCTCGTGCCTGAAAAACAAACCACCTTGGCATCAGCAAGCTATAGCCCTGGGATAATCAACTGAAAAGTCCCCTGATAGTAAAATGGCAAAATGTTAACCGTACCACACCGTCATCTCATACGCCTAGCAAGATGCTGTCGTCAGCATCATACACCTGGTCTACCCAGTCTCTCATTTGACATCAGACTAGCCTTGGGTCTTAGTAACCGGAACCCCCGACTAGCCGTAGGCGCAGTTCTTGCAAAAAAGCACCTGAGTTGATGGCGAATGCAATGAATTAGTTCTATATTTCGGAGGCCAACTTTTGCCAAGGTAATTAGATGAAAATACTCGAGATAAACGAAAATAGATCGTATATGATGCTTCTCTTCTAGTAGATGATGACCCTAGGTAGTTATAATGTCAAAATGATATCCTATTTATAGGAGTGGCTGCTACTACATAACTTGATAGATATCGCTGAAGTTACAGAACATTTCTTCTACAGATCTAAGTTATCAAAGATATTCCCCTATTGTCATTGTACTAATATTTCATTATCTATTTTCCTTTCTCAATTTCTTTCAACATGAGGTCGCAAACCTTCTGGCGTCTCTCGCTCGCCGTACTTGGCATGGCTTGCCATGGTGTTGCCGGTTTGGGATACTGGATCGACGAAGACTCTTGCAACCCTGACATGCGAAACGCCGTAGCGAGCGCTGTTGAGAGAGGTCTCAAAATGGCTAGAGCCGGTGTGACGAACGCGAACAATGCAGACAGGAACCCAGCTGGTCCAGAACAGAAGCTTATCGACAATTTGTTTGGAGAAGATCCCCCAAACGCAGCAGACGACAAGAAAATCAAGAATATTATAAGAAGTATATTCATCCACTCTAGTTACCCGAGATTTCTATTTGCTAATGATTCTTATAGATATGTGGGGTGGTAGGTTTTCGAGGATCACAAGATCGACTAGAAAGCCGTCATTGTCTCAGACTCTGGACATAGTACGTTCATACTGAGAAAGCATTCATAAACTGTCATGAGGTTACTAATTCTATGTGATAGGTAATCTACTGTGATGAGAGGCGGCTCAAAGTCCGAAAGAGTAACCCTCTCAAGTCCTTTGATACTGGTAGGAGCAGTCACTTTTAACACAGAAAACAATATCAGTCAGGCATACTAATGTTTGGTATTATAGATACCAATGTGGTTGTAGATACAGGAGACTGTATCGGCGCCGTTGCATATGTCACACTGCGTGGCGCCACTGATTTAAGATACAATCAACTTCAGATCTGCCCGGCATTCATGAACGTAGTCCTGAACAGCCCTTTCAGGACTGGCGATCAATTGCCAACGACTTTTTGGTCTAAGATGGTTTCCAACTTCGTCACATTCGTTGCTAAGATCTTCTATACGCCGATCGACGCCACGCAGTTGGCTGAAAAGGTTCTACTACATGAGGTATTTCAATCCTAGCCATAAGAAAACACTTCGAATCTGCATGCTGACAAGCTATAGCTGACCCATACCGAAATTGGCGGAGATACTGAGGATGTCGGAGGATTTTTCAAGGCCTACGGTTGGAAGAACTGCAGAACGCTTTCGCGCACCAGGGGAGATGAAGGAGGCGACAAGAATGCTGGTAAGTCTTCGCCCATACACAGAAAATGACTGTTTCACATGGCTAATTTTCATCAATTAGATACCTGGGCGCTATATGGATCTGTGTCTCTACTCATCCAGGAACAGGAGAAGACAGTTGATACGGACACCGGAAACATTATCGCTATTACTTCTGTTACAGCACGAGCAATTCAAGCGGTAAAAAGTGCAGCGGGGAGGTGGATGAACTTTGTTGCTTAAGCTAGGTAGATTCGACTAAGTGGTTTCTCTAGATCTAGGTTAGCAGATGGGTTTATTAAGGCATGGGAAAGGTTGTAGAATTTTGTATAATATTTATAGATAGGTACTAGGTAGACGTGTATTATGTAATTTAAGATAGATGTATCCTTGTAGTGCTTTGAAACGATTCATTGAATGATAAGATCTTTGGTAATGTATGGGGACATGTAAACACAAAGACGGGACGGTAATCCTTAAGTCATTTCCCATAGTTATCATAAAAAGATCTAGATTTAGGTGACTGATGTGGGGAGATGTTTATTTTTAGTATCGTGCGATAGTCCTATTTTTTAAGATCAGTGAAGGCCATGTTAGATAAGGGTTAATATGTGAGATGACATCGCAGGCAAGCAAGGTGATGATGGAGGATGGAGTTATCGCCATTGAAACTCACATAGGTAGGCCCAAGTCAGTGTACCACTAATACCTAGCTTACCTAGTAGTACCTCGTCGAAGTTGCCATGAGAAGTTAACAGAAGCTAATGCAACCATTAAAATGTCCATAGTCGAGGAACTGCATCCGCTTGACGTTCTTCTCCTTCAACGCTTTGCAGAACCTCTTATGTTTGTTTTCATTCCAACCCGTAGCTTGGCATTCCTAGTTTTTTAATCAACATCGTGTATGGGTTAACAGGCGGCAAAGTATAAGAGGGCATGTATACCTTGTTGCAGTAATAGGCTGATTCACATCGCACACATCTGAGGAGCTTGTCCCTCGTCTCATCACAACTATGGCACCTCAGTGGAGCGCCATCGGCCGGTGTGTATTTGATGGCTTCTTTGTTCATTTCGAAAACCTCAGAAAGCTTGAGTGGTATGATCTATGAAAGTTAGCTTATGATCTAATGGAAATTGATCGGGTGAAGGGTTGCTAACTATTACTTCGTCGGACTCCTCAACTCTGATGCCAAGGGTCCTATCTGGGAACACATGGACCAGTGGGTAAAAGATGGCGATAGTGTTCCCAACCTTGAAGTCTTTCATGAGGCGAGGCATGTCATCTGGATTGTCTGGGTAAAATGCGACGACGAAATTTGTTCCATCATGGTCCTTCGCTACGATCCGAGGATGAATGAGAGTATCGTCCTCGATAATTTCAGCAAGAAGACACCAATGCTTCTTGTTTCCCAACGCGCTATCTGGGTTCAATGGATCGAGAAGTGCGAGGTACCGATCGTCCCACGAATATTCGCCCGGGCAGTTACGGAAAGAGGGGAAGTAATCTCTGTCTTTGAAGGATTGGGGTTTGGTTTGGTTGACCATGGTTTCGAGTGATACTTTCAATAACTAATCTTGTATATACCTGGATGTATAAGGGTTTTTTCTTTTTTTGTGTGATCGCACTTGAGGATTTAACTCTTTCAAGACACCTAGGTAAGTAACGGTGTAGGTCGATGTTTGAAAACATTTTCTGGAACCCAATAACAGCTTAGCGCGCCTTGATTGGCTAAACATGGTTATTTCATTGGCTTCAATAGACGTTGACATTAGCTGCGTCTTGCTTGCTTTTTATGACTTCTAGTTGAGTCATTATATGGTTGGCCCCGCAATGGCTAGCAAATGGACTGTAGTTGAAACTGTTACAGATCCGATCATCGCAACAATGCAACTGATGTTTTTGCCCCTTTTTGCATTACATAAGCAATCACTTATGGACCCGTGGCTTACTTAAGCAGCTGAGTCACCCCTGGGTCCGACGGTTCTTTCGAGTTTGGCGTGGTTACGTAAGCGGGGACAGCGGCGTTACGTAATCAACTAGATTAGATCATCTTCCCCTCGTTTCAATTCGAATTTCAGAACCGAAGAAACGCAACTGTTTATACGAGCGGTCCGTATTATACCCAAGCATTCGTAAACATCCTACAACTTCTCGCCAGCCGTCAACCCACGGTCATCACGACTAAATGCCAAATCAAACAAGCTAACTGGGCTAGAAAAGCCGAAACGCTTCGTCATCGGACACAGCGCGTCGCCCAAGCTCACCATTCATAAAACCGTGAACATAGCACTCTCCGATGAGTGACCAGCCTTCGTCTCTCTCCCTAAGCGTATAGATCATTCGACCACCGCGGAACATAACTAGAATATCACCCTCTGCCATTGCCGCTGGACCGATTCCAATGTGGCCGGCGACCGTGCGGAAGAACTTGCGCTGCAGGCAGCCGTAGCCTAGCGTATAGCAGAAGCGCGACGCGTCGCCGGTTCTTTCCCGGGCCAGCGCCGACAGCGTCTCTCGTATCGTGGTGTCTTGGATAAAGCGAAGAAACTTTGGCGCGCTTGAAGAAGCACCCGTAGAATCAGAGAGGGGTACCGCGTTTTGGTTGATGAGATCCATCATTGTGAGGACGTAGGATGCGAAGTCCGCCGTGTGCTGTGCGATCTGCTCGGCGCTTGGCTGGCTTATCTCCTGCCCGATAGTCCGAGCAAGACTCAGTGTTCTCGCATATGCGGTACAGATTGATTCGGCATTGTACTGTGTATAGTCGTTAAGGTTCAGGACTACGACGTCGTCTGTCTCTTCGCTAGCAAGCTTGCTCCCAGAAGACCTCTCAGGAGATGGTCGGAAAGAGCCCATCAAAGGGTTATTGGCTGCCTTTTCTGCATCGAGTGCCAGATCGAGGTGGTTGATAGACTCAGTCACGAGGTGAACTATGCCGCATCGAAAGCCAGACAGCGTTAAAGAGCGACCGTCGCTGTATAAGGGTATACGCACACACGCGCTATAATTCGGTTCCTTCACAAGGGCTGCATCGAAGTGTTGAGACAGCTGATCCAACATGCCCACGGTGCAGGGACGATCCCAACGAGGAATCCAGGTTGGCGACATATCGCTGAGCTCAGGCCCGTGATCAACATAGGACAAAATCTCGAGGTCGCGGCGACATTGGATTGACTTGATCGCGACTAGGCTATAGACTTCAGAAGTAGCTTTCGTATAGTCGGGCTCCAACTCGAAGTGGAATCTTGGATCGCTGCCGCCAGGGAGACCATCTGTCGGATAGCTCAACATGGCGTAAATTTTGTCCCTAGCGTTAGTCGCGTCGAAGTCCTTGCCTCGGCCAATGAGGTGGAGAAATGTGACGGTATCGGCTGTCTGCCATACCTTGTCCCTCAAGAATAGGGCGTTGGAAATACCGTTCACGTTACGGAAACGCTTTTGCATGTCATAACTCATCGGACCATAGAGACACCAACCTGCAGCAAGCGCGATGAGGTCCCAGGGTAAGTGAAATGTACCGCAGTAGGCAGTGATAGCGTCACATGTAGCGACTTCCTGAATCACCCAAACCCGACAGAACCAGGCTCGGCCAAAGAACCTATCTAGCGAGTCAATTCGAGGGTCATGATTTATTGAAGCTTTGTCGTCGCCCCTTTCAGGTAAGTAGTCAAGGAAATGGGCTGACCGATTCAGCTTTCGTCGCCACTCTGCCAAATCGATTCCCTCAGGATGAACAAATTCCCTACAGCGATTTGATATTACGTCAATTAACTCTATTGCTGCCTTGGTATGGTTGTCGCTATGACCAAGCCAGACGGCTACCGAGGAGGCTCTCCCATATATCTTGCCCATTAATGCTACCTGAAGTCCCTTTTCTTGAAGGTCTTCTTGATTGATGCATATCCCGTCTGCCCAGACGATCCTCTCTGCGTCTGGTAGACGAAGTCGTCGTAACACACCCGCTAAGCTCTTGGTAATAGAGAAGGAGACTAAAGAGGTGCTGCCTGGCTCCGAGGGTGCATTCCCATTAGTAAAGGAGGGGTTATTAGCAACACCGCACAATATTTCCTCGGTTTCATTCGGGTCTCCCCAAACGTACGATATGCATTCATACGCCGGCGCTGTCGAGATCGAACTAACATGGTGCATGATACAGACAAGAGGGTCCTGTCCCTTACCGGGATGCAATTCGAGTAGCCTAATAGAATCTGGTCTCTGGAGTTTCTGGTGCAGCACTGGCTTTGATAAGTAACCCATCTTATTCTGAAGGCAATTTTTAGAATTAAGCCTAAACAGATAGGATCGTATGTGACGACGAAATCCGCCTACTCGTTTGAGTTATAAACGTAGTCAATCTTTGAGACCAACCGAATAAGAGGTACACGAGCCGATGGGGAACAAGAGATATTGTCTAAACTAAATGAAATTGATCTAACGCCTCGGTTGTAATTTTTTCGAAGCCTTGTCGGGCATACTTAAGGTGGAAATCTATCAAGAGGAAGGGGATGAGGGGACGGAGTGGGGCTAGGCGTACTGCTTGAATGCCTCACAAGCTGGGCCGCGACCCATGATCGCGAACCACCCTGTCGAGCCGGCCCTGGATGGTCGGATTCGGAGGATGTGATTCCAAGAGACCTAGTATATTTGCGAGTTTCTTAACTTAATGTCCGCCGGTTTCTTGTCCTACTTGAAGCTTTTCCACACTCTCTGCGTAACCATATACCTTTTCTTATCCATGGCGCACGCAATTGACGCCCCACTTTATTACCCCTATTACCCCTATTGCCTCGAAAACCCTCAATGGAAGGCGATATAAGGTATTCAACTACTACTATTACTGAATGCGATTATCTAGATATACAATCTGCTAATATTCTCATTAAGCGTACCATTCTTCTGCTATATACGCATATTGTTTGTTGCACGACCTAGCAAGAGCATCACGCGCTTTCTAAACATATTAGTAAGCCCTGCAAAAACAGCAGAAATAGCAAAGACTAAAGCCGGTATCCCATAAGACTCTATACTGACTTATGGACTAGAACCTTTCCGAATATTCTCACAGTAGTCGCCAAGGCTTAGATTTATCAGGAGTACTACGCACGCTGTTCAGCTCGTGAAATCTCGTCTACGGCTTCCCTCGCCAGTCATACCTCTGTAGTGCTCCAAGAAGACGGTCTACTTCCTGCTGTCAAATACAGTACCTATTCAGTACGCGCTTTCTCAGCTCGGTGACAAGGGGTAGCGCCCTAAGCTCAATATTTCCCATATTTTATCGGAAACATTCGGGCTCTCCACGGAAGAATAGATGACACCTTTTTGGCATTTTTTACTACGTATACTTCGGGCGAACCCAGAGCTGGAACTTTACCGAAGCAAGCTGAAGGATAACCTTCCAGTTTTAGGATTTGATGGTTCAGATATGCACAGCGTAATGTTTTCAAGTCAGTCGAATTAACGTTCTCGACAGCTGTATGGAAAATAGCTATTCCCACCCCGTGAAGAGCATCTGGTCTAGTAGTACAGGTAACCTGGACTGACTAACTTTTCCTATCCTTCTGACGAAACCTGTCTATAGGTCGAGATGAAGGTCTGTCGTGGATGGTTTGAAAACCACCTGTTCGTACATCGTCTATGGTCTAACCATACCCTTACATATTCCCGTCTTTCTCACATGTGGCGACGAGGCACATGTCATCAGCGCGACGGCGAATGGGTGGTGAGTCAGGGCTAGGATTTCTTGCATACTTTGCAGTATTCTGCTTTGGTTATCATGACTATCTCACATCCTTCTCATCAGAAATTTCTCGGCAATTTGCGGGCGAACACCATAGTAGAGATTCGGCCTATATAGCCCCCATTTCTACCTGAGAAACAGCTCAGCTTCACCTATCGATCTTCCTAGGCGACTCTCCACTCTAACAGCATAAATCGGAATGTTTATTACCTAAGTACTAACTTAATAACTGCCGATTACTATAACGTCGCGAAGTGATGTAATTAGGGGTGGACGAGATTTCCTTTTCAACTCCTTGTGCCAAGATTGTTACACAAGACTATGCTCAGATAGTTCGAAGTTCTGTCTGATCTTTGGCCTATTTTCATACGATTTTGATCCATACGTAAGATACTTCCTGGAAATCGCTGAGACACGGGGGCCGAGAAAGGGTAGAGGTTGGGGAAGTCCAGTCTCCCTGTATGACTACCTACCTACTACCTGAATTCATCACATTACATACTGCGAATATCCCTCTCCCCTGGTATAACTAGGTAGGTAAATGAATATTGGTTGGCTTGGTTTCTTTGATTTATATTTGGGCTAAGGGATTCGCCCTCGCTCAGGATGTCTGTACCCATATACCGATCGAAGCCAGACTACAGCAATCTTGAGGTCGCTGAAAACCGAAATCCCCTCATACAAAGCTACGGCATCGAAGTAAATGACGACAGCAATTGTCTAGAGCCTGCAGCATTCGAAAGAGATCCGAATACCCTCCCGATTCCACTCTCTGCATCCAAGGACGAGAAGGTCGTTGGCTCTCATATTCAATTCTCTGGACTATCGCCAACCTCGAACCAACAAGACAATTACTTGTCTTCAACCTCTTCCACCATATGTGGGGTTCGTCGGATGATTTTTTGGGTTATAATAGGTGTTATTTCTTTGGTAATAATCGCAGCTGCGATTGGTGGTGGAGTAGGAGGCCATTTCACCCACCACAATAATCAGACTTCTTCCAACTCAACACACGCGACACAAGACTCATACATTGCTGCTCTACATTGGATTGATGGGACAAACACGAGCCAATACTGCATTTATTACCAACCAAGAAATCAAAATGAAGTATTCGAGTCGTCTTGGAGCTCCAACAATCAGACTTGGGCCGTGTCAGACATTACCGATCCCAGCTTTGATGTAAAGCCCAATACCCCTCTTACGTCGTCGGCTGGATATCCTTACACCAACACCAATAACTCTTTGGTATGTACTGACATCCTCTATCTAGCCGATATACCTAACGTGAAAGATGCACCTTATAGGTAAAAAATATCTATTTCGTACAATCGTCTGGAACAGCCATCGAACGGCAGTCCCCGTATAAGGAGCAGCCAGGTATTTGGGGCGATAATAACTTCAGTGGACTCTACAAGATATCTAAAAGCTCTTCCCTTTTCTCGTACTGGTACCAGGACTTTGATATCCGGCGCCATATTCTCGCTGTCTTCTTCCAGGAACACGGGGCCAACTCACTTACGGTCGGAAAGTATGTCCAGAACAGTACCAATGATGAACCATGGCAAAGCATCAAGCAAGATATGCCGATCCAAGATGGTTCACCGATTGCTGCCGCTCCGGTAGGAAGTAGAAGGGATTTGCGCTTGTACGTTGGAGGCACGGATGGGACCATGAAGCAATATCCATATAACGTTGACACCGATATTTTGGGAGATGAAGTTAGTCAGTTTAGCCCAGCACTTGCCCATTCCTCAAGTCATGTAGATGATCCTATTAACAGAAGCTACCTACCTAGGCACTACCTTCAACTTGGCTCCTCATACACCCATCTGTGTCACAATGGAGGATAACCGAAACTATTATACAGAGGATGGTACTCTCCCTCAGTGCGCAAAGAACAACGGAGCATTCTTAACGCATTTGATCCTATTTGCGTCACCCGATCGCAAAAACCTGACATTGGTATCATGGAATTGTTCGAGCGGATTCTCCATACAACAAAGCCGTATTGAGAAATTGTTACTACCAGATCGCACATATCTAGGTCTTGCGACGACGTCGGCAAGCAACCTAACATTCGCCGATAACAGAGTCTATGTTCTTTATGACGAAGGCAACGGTCCGGAGGTCGATGAGTGGCAGATCCCTACGAGTGGAGATTCTAATATTACGGGGCAGAATGGGCCATGGACACGACTTGGTAGTGTTCGTATTATGCAATGATACTAGGTAGGTTCGCCACACTACCTAGTACCTAGACACACACCGTGGGATGGACGTGGCTGATGGTGCCCTGTAGCCTTTTTGGAGAGCTATTCCCTTTGATGCGCGGGTATGCTCAATCCAGCTCTCCCCATCTGCAAGCAACATCCTAAGCAACAATGTAAATAATGCTGGTTACAAGTGCTATATTGTATTAGTTGACTTAGACGGTACAGTTATTAAGAGCAATTAATGGTTCGGAAATAATACATAGCTACCAAGTAGGTATACTACCTAGGTATAAATTACCTCTTAGGTAAAGAGGGTAGATCCATGGATGTGATATTCCCCTAAATTCAGGCGTCAACAGTGAACTGCTCACCTGAATTTTAGTCAACAGCCGCTAAATTTCAGGGAGCCAATAACTAGAAACTGAAGCTATAACATCAAGGCGGTAAGACATCTATCGATGAATCTGCCTACTTGTGCGTCCACCAAGTAGGTACCTACCTACCTAGGTACCTATGTATCAAGTAGACAGTAGGTATTCTACGTGTTATTGCAGTGATAACCCGTAGGCGCCTTAGGGTTTCGGGCACTCCTACATATGTAAGACTTTGCACCTTCCCTACTTCGTTGCAACAGATTGGGCTGCGCCAAGGGACAGTGAGGCAGTGAAGCATGCTGCGAGAAACATCACGTACGTCGTCTCTTGTTACTAGGTACTAGTCTCTTACTAACCTATCATTATAGGAAAATGTTCCCATGCTATTTGGGTAAAGTCTCTTTTGCCACCATGAATCTAATTCATGCCCTTCCCCGGGAGGGCTTGGGATCAGGCCGATCGACCAGTAGCGATCGCTAATCAGAGAATGTTGAGCCCCCGAGGCAAGATTTGGCATCATAGTATCATCAGGATCATCAGTATTTTGTAAATAGGTACCTAGTAGAGCTTGCCACGTCCCATACCCCTTGGGAGGTTGCGAAGAGAGGCCCACGCCCGTTCACTCAGACGTTAAACAGAACAACAACAACAAAGAATCTAATTCTTGGAAGAGTGGCTAACTCCAAACAGCCACGTAATATTCTAACATCGCCCAAAAATATTTTGTACTACATAAGGCACCTGGGCAGCCACGGGCGTCACGGTCTATTCCCACCCGCACAATGGTGCATATATCTCGGGTCTCACAAATTAATTACATGGTTAATCATACCTAAGCAGGTAGCCAGCCTATGGACACGGCAGACACCCATGCGACTTTTGATTCTAGATGAGACAGCTACCGGTATCCGACCGGAAGTAGTAGTGGTGGCGCTGCCGCTGTGAGTTTGTTTCTTAGGAATGATTGGCTTGACTGTGCATTAGACAGAGATACCTGTGAGAGCTGCCTGCAGTCAGCCATGATGAAAAGGTTCCGGGAGTTTTAGCTAAGCGGAGCCATGTAGTACCTAACTAGGCAATTTTGGCAGCGCTGGTCTGTGACTCATGGCCAAAATTTAAGAGCTTTGTTTTGGCATCGAGCGCCACATGGAGTTGTAGATGAAGCATATGTTGGAGAACAACGCCATAAACAGGTGAGGGGAAAGGATTTGTAATAATGTTTTACCCTTTGAAGAGAAGATGGGTGGGAAAGAAAATCGAAATCGGATGCTTGCTTAGGTGGCTGGGTGGGTATGCCTTGAGGCGGAAGAGTGCCTAAGGGGCTGTACCATGCAAGCCGCTCAAGTGCCAAATAAGATATCTACCCGAAATATTGATAATTGCTTAGCTGTTTAGGTAGGTACGTAATATTTGATCGACAGACAGGATTGTACCACATGCATTAACGCATCATCTTGCGAAGTGATCAAGGTGGGTACCTACTTAGTATCCCGCAGAGCCTACTAGGTAGGATATTACGCACATAGGTAAAGATAGAAAATGAGGTACCTATGTAGTTACATGTAAAAACCTAATTAGCTGAATTATCATTTATGGCGGGTAGGTAGGTACCTAAGTATAACCGGTAGATGAATAGTAGCAAATATTTTTGAGGACGAAAAGGTTAATGTTTGCTGGAATATTACGTTAAATTACACTATCTGCATCATTGCTACAGTTACCGTGAGTGTTATTTTCAATGGGCATCTTGCATAAAAGCGCCGGCTATAAAAGCTGCTAGTAACCGCGAGGGGCGAGAAGAGCGCTAAAAGGCGACAGGAAGGTTGACGGGACGAGGGGTAACTCCTTTGATGACAACATGTTAAAAGAATACTTGAATTTATATAGGGGACTATACTATAAATTACCTACTAGGTAGGTAAGTAGGTATTTATAAGATTAATTATCATTTATTAAGTACTTATAATTAAGTGGATGTTTATTTGGTTTGACGTCCCTCCCTGTATTTGATGTTTAAGGCTTGAAATATGGTTATGAATAAGGATGCTTAGAGTAAAAACAACGCCTTATCAGAAATAACTGGCAACCCAGTGCCTGAATCCCCGTCGATGATCGCTCATAATTATTAACATATTTCATGAGTTTACTAGGTGCTTAAAGTAAAACGGCAACATGTACACCATTTATTGTTGGAATATTAGGTGGCTGGGAGTCTACGCCTTGTACTCAAGGGGCATATATGTACTATCTACGAACCACTACCTGGAACTCGCAACTTAAACCAACTAATCAACCAATATAATACTCATAACCTGTATCTATTTCAATATCTATCACAATGGAAACATAACATAAAAAGCAATGACATTATTTCGAGACACTTGGAGCTCTTTTTACCCAAAGGCTGCGCTTATTTGGTGACTTTATCTCTAACCCCATTACTAGTCAATAATTGCTAGAAGTATGGTGGGGAGGAAGACTTCCTAACCTTAGTGGCCAGGGGTCTATGGGATCGGGACTCAGTCCGTGGAGGTCCGTTGAGTCCTTTTTGAGTCCTGTTGGCCGCTAATGTTGGGAACATGACATACAAAGATTCTCATCTGTATATATACTATGTTCCCTTACTTTAGAGCTCCTCGCGTAGCGGTATCGTTTTTTCCTCGTTCTTTGGTTCCGCCTTGTGACAATAACCAAGTAGGTAATTTTTCTGATAGGGTTAAACTTTTAACTTAATTTCACAGGAATCTTATTAAATACCTACTTACCTAGGTGTTTAGTAGGTGACAATTTATTATTTTTTAGGTTCTAATAACTTAGCCGAAATGTTAAATCAAATATAATACTGCTACTTATAAGCATATAACTTTGAAAAAGAAATTCGTGTCTTTGGAATGTTGATTGAAGTTTAAAATACGGGAACAACGTACCTGAATTGATATTCATCAAATATAGATTAACCTAAGTTCAGGTCCCAAGTTTTAACGCAAAGCTTGTTACCAAAACACCGTGTATTTTCTGCAGATCTTTAACTGATATAGACACGACAACTAAGTTACCTACCTATGAAGTACTAGGTATGTATGATCAATGGGATTTCCGAACGATCTTATCATCTCAAGCACCCACAAAGCAAGTAATCTTTCTTCACAATAATGATTAAAATATGATGTGGGTAGGTACCTAGTAGTAGGTATGTTGATGTGACCACGTTAAGACCTGCGTCCATATAAGGGGCTACTTGGCAACTTATGGGTGGATACACATCCATGGATGTCTAAAACACCAACGTCTTCTTGTTACACTACCCGGGTGTGCTCGGTAAACCACATCAAGATGCTATGTCCTATGTACTCTGTACCTAACCGAGTAGTCTTCCTATCGATGTCCATCTACTAGGTCCGGGTAAATGCTAACTTCCATACCAAGGAACCTTTTATCTTTAATGTAACAACACCAAGACTACGTGTGCATCTGACCCTTCCAATATTTTCAGGGGTAGGTAGCCAATAACATGAAATTTCGGGTAATTTCTCTATACCTATGGAAATACTTTCGGCTTTTTATATGGCCAATGGAAGGGGGAGACCCAATCTGAGGGTTTGGTAGATACTTATATCTTGCCAGGCTTCTTCCGTTCCTTTGAATTTCGATGATCTGGTTTTGGACCCTTTCTCAGAATTTTATAGATGTATATTAGGAAAAAGGAAAGTTACCTAGGTATGTCTTTCTCATATATCTCAACCATCGATTGCCCCCCCACCTCTCTCTCTCTCTCCCTTTTTTCGTTTCAACCTATATTTGACCAATTTTTGCTATTCCTTCACTCTATTAAGCATCTTCTAAGAGAAGGAAAATGGAAGAAACAAGAACAAAACGATAGTTGCCATCGCACAAAACTTTGACATATACTTCGAAAAATGCCTCGCCTTGCTAGAGCCCACCACAGTTATACCCTGTTACGTTAAGCACCTGGCTATCTAAGTATAACACGGATTCCTGTCTAAGAGCGCATTAGTTTGATGGATACGTTGACGTTTGCTTGAGCTTCAAAAGAGAGCGGTACCTATTGGTAGCGACAGCGGGTTTCACACCGTCTATGGCACGTAACCCCATGGCATGGTTTTGGACCTGGATCATCACACTTTCTTGCGCATGTGCATACTTCGAGCACAGTATACTACATGGCGCAGGTAAAATGATAATGGTTCGACATGGTTCGACCAGATTACCTGGCAACATTTGGGTTCCATCTGCGTCCTTTAGCAAAGTGTCTGGAAAGTATGACAAACTAATGGACGTGGTTAAGGTATCCTACCTACCCATAGCGGAAGACTGGTCCGGTAGCAATGAAGAAGGTATCCAGGATTGACCTTTGTCAACCTCAGAGGACCGCTCGATTCCAATAACTACCTGGGGTTGGCGCTGGGATCCGTTGGTGGGATCTGGAATCACCTCAAAAGTGGAGGAAAATATTGACTCTACTTTTTCTATTCGCCAGGATAATGTGTATTTGGTTCCCACTGTCGCATCAGGGCGCAAGAATTTCATCGCCGACACTTGGATAGTGCTGTGGTTCTCTAGGGAATTCTTTGCCCAGAATGCATTTGTCCAAGCGTTTGGGTTGGAGGAATTGGGAGTGTAGAAGGTGAAGCCGTTGGGCTGCAGATCATTAGCGGTGCGTCACAATTTGGAGGGAGGGAATACTAACGCTCTGGTTTCCTTCGCTAACTCCCAAATCTTCGTAGCCAGACCCACGAAGTTCCTCATCGCTGTTCGACATTGGATCATCGCTCTCTGGGGTCAAATCGGCTATGTGCGTCTCTTCAAGAATAGGGGCAACGGGACTTCTCCGTTTTCTGGTCCTCCCTAGCCGTACCAACGCGACTCGGATATACTGGATTAGTTCGGTAATGGACATTTTCAATCGCGAAAATACTGTTGGTAGATTTTGAGACGGACAGGAAATGTTGATGAGGTATCCTGAATAGTATCTGCCTAGGTACCTAGAGGTAGGTAATTTATAGACCTTCGCGCTTTGCGGTTGTCTAGGTACCTACCTACCTACATTAACTTTGCCCGAAGCGACCCAAAAGAACCCAAACCCTTTTCTTTTCCCAATCAATAACCTCATTCGCAGATATGAATCAGACGCATCTGCCAACAAAGCGTTCACGAGAATCGACGATAAATAATTCCGACGCACGACCAGGTACGTACGAGGGATGATGCACAGCTGCTATGCGTTCAGTTGAGGCATTGGGGCCTGATCGGAAATTAAACTATTACATAGGAACTAACGTGTTGAACTAAGGAAACAGTGCATTGAAATTGACACGAATAATCTGCCAGTTCACCACCTGGCATTCATCGCCACCCTCGGAGCTGTTCGGGCATCGATCTCATTTTATCGAAAGTTGACGTGTCGACGAGAATGTTGAACGGTATTATCTCTTTCGCAACGCAGAACTCCTCGAGAATAGTTGGCATCTCCTCACCAACCTTGCATGTGATTTTAACGAACTGATCCGATTGGAATACCTTTCCATCCAGCACCATAGATTCTGCGCCTTTAGTTTCAGGTTGCAAATGGGAACCCTGGAGAGCATCGGGCGAGATCCAACATTTCGAAATCCGAGGATTATGCATCACTTCGACCTCTTTCCAACGGGGTTCGAGATCGTACCCTTGGAGGATTTTTGCCGTGATTACATATCTGGCCTTCTTCCCCTGTGAGATGTTCTCATTGAAGATCCAGTCTTGTCTACAGCAAAGACCGCAGTAATCATACTTTTCGAAGATTTCCTCCCTCACTGCTCTCGCAGTAGGCCGGTCTTTCTTGGACCATTGTAGCATCTTCTTAATCCAAGCTACCGGTTCGTTTCCATGTTGAGGGTCGCCGGCTTCTAAGTCCGCGATGATTATTCTGGTTGTTTCTGGTTTCGCACAAAACTTTTCTGTACTACACCGAGCCAATAAAGTGTCCACATAGGCTATATCTTTGTTTTTCAATACCGCGAACATTTCTAAGAAAACACACCCAAGCGACCAGATGTCTGACATGGAATTTCTCGGTTCGAATTGATCAACTTCTGGGGCACAGTACTATTCGGGGGATAATGAGCAATTGTGGGCATACGCCAGCTATCACTGAATAGGTACTCACCTTTGGGGATTTCATCTTCTCTGTAATCGTTGTGGTACAACCGGTCGCGCCCCAGTCCAGCGAGATCCCAAAATCGGCAAGCAAGACAGTCTTGCCTCTAACGAGGATATTTTTTGGCTTGATATCTTTGTGCCGGATTTGTTCGACGTAATGCAAGTGCGCCAGGGCCGTAATAAGGCATCCGAAGAAGCCTCGCAGGTCAATCATGTTTGGAGGAGTTTGATTTGTGTGAACAAAGTCCAGGTATTCTGCAAGGTTGTAGTCGGCTGACGGGCTCAGAAGCATACCCACATACCCCTCGGTGGTGTAACTGGCTATGAGTTTTACGAAGTGGCGGAAGTTGTTATGGTGGATCTTTCTCATTATGCTCAACTCTCCCTTGATGTAGTTCATTTGTTCAACTATGGCCTGAGTCGTACCGTGGCTTACGCGCTGAATTCGTTTGAGTGCATATACATCATCGCCATACTTTACACGTATAACGTCTGTGTTGTTTGAGCGGCCGATAGTCGTTCCGTCGTCACCGAAAACTTTTGGCACGTTTGTATATTCGCCGATAGCATCCTCTCGAAGGTTGAAATGAACGGGGGGTTCTTTTCTAGAGCCTACTTTGAATGTGTCTTCTAAAAGTTGAGGTTGGATTTCCCAATATGAGTGAAAGGCACTCGGCGACAAATCGTTAGGGATAGAGTTTGTGGGCATAGGGATACAGAAATCCGAAAATCCACGTTCCAACGTTTTGGCAATTGTAGCCTCTGAGACCTTTACAGCCCTAAAGGCATTCGTAATCTTTGAAGTATAATTCTCGCCTGGATTTCTATTTTGGCTAGTCGAGCCTGTTCCTTCTTCTCTGTGGGCCATCCTGTTATGAGATGTGAGGTAAAGATAGTTGTGTTGTAACGACTAATAGGCCATATATGTTTCATTTTGTGTATATTACGGACGATCCATATATATTGGTTACCATCCAGCCTGCCTACGTACCTACTCACTCACCGAGGTAGCTAGTTGGACCTCAGGGTAAGTGTCTGACATGGGATATCTAGCATGGCGCATCCGGACCATCGATTAGTTTGTTCCTCAAAGCCACGGGCAAGGATTATAAAGTATCGGGAAGTGACGTCCACCACTTAGAGTGCAAATATCGAACTAATCACGGAGTTTAGTCGATTGCCGGCTCCGGCTTTAGATGGTACACGAGGCTAACTGGCATAGCCCCAACTTCCCTCCTTCTCAATACCAGGTAATTAAGTTGTATAAAAGTGCAACTTTGTAACCACCCACCTGCACCCGCCACCATAATCAATGTCTCAAATTATATCGCTCAGGAGGATATAGCGGAGAGATATAGCACGCCGATTCGTCTTGCATATATTTTCAGCGGCAGGTGCAATTTCTTTAGTGTCGGGTACGGGCTACGATGGCGTTAAAGAGTGCCTTGCTTATTCGGCTACACGAGCAGCATAATGATCTCACTTTGAGCCTGGATTGGAAATCAATTTCTCTTAGCCATGCCAGATCTATGATCTAGCCCATAATCCGTCCCAAAGTCTTGATAATTGCCGTAAGATTCTAAATAAAGGGGTGTCCAGCAAGCCATTAAATGCAAACATCACTATAACCCATCCCACAAAGAATATACTCAGTATGTTTGTGTAGATTGCGCAACGATGGCCGATCCTATTTCGACGATAGGTCTAGGTATTGGTATTGTATCCATTATCCTACAGATAACAGATGAGTGTATTAAGAGTTCGTTACAACTGAAAAGATTATAGAGGCGTTTTCGCTAAATTTAAATAGGATATAAATACTTTATAGAAGCTACTCACATGCCCGAGTTGTATAAGCATTTGAGAATCCAAGTTCAAATTGAGCAACAGCGATTTCTCGGCTTCGCACACGAAGCTGGCCTTTTACATGAGAAAGGAAAAATATGCGCAGTCCTTGGCGTTAATCACTTAATACTGAAAGACGTTCTCATCGCAATCAATACTCTCTTCCAAGAATATGAACAGAAAAATATGAAATATGAGAGTATTGTAGGCCGAAGAGATATTCCTTGGGACGACTCAAGCGAACCTCAATCAAACCTAGTACCATTGCTACGCTTCGACTCCATATACGCCACGGAGAACAACAATCCCGAGGAACAGAACCATGCTTTCTCTATATCTAGAGGTTTTCGAAAGGCGGGATATCGAACAGCAACAGTTGCGCGCAAGCTTCGAACAATTTTTGCGGAACCCAAACGCCTTGTCTGGGTAAGCGTCGACAAAGAGGAATTCGAGAGCCTTGTAGAAAGGCTTCGGGTCTTCAACTCCTTTCTAATAGGTCTTCTCGACACATCGCACATAAAGAGGTTAGAAAATTATGCTGAGATGAATTATCTGGAGCTTTTACACCTTCAGGGCGACGTCCAGAGTCTGAGAATCCTAATTGAGGCTCTAGATCGAGATGCTATTAACTTTAAAAAAAAGGTTGATCCGATTCTATCTAGCCTTATTCAAAAACTGTCTCTAGAGCCAGCTATGATAGAGAGCATAGTAGATGACCATGAAAGCAGACAATATATTCGAAGATTAGCCAAACTTAAACTTCGTCACGTCGAGATTGATCAACCACAAGTTCTTGACACACCAATCTTTTACGATTCTACTACTATGTTGTTGGACATATCTATATTCAACTTCTGCCCTGGAGATTCCCTCAGATGCGACAAGAAGAGACGGTCGGTAGCATCCTGGGGAGATCGCAAGGTGTGGGTTGAATGGATTGAGCAGCCACCACATCGTCTAGAGGAATATGCGGCAGTTTCATTATCCGAGAGAAGGGTAACGATGCTCACAAGGTTGCTCAGCGAGGAGATACCACCAAATTTCAGGGCCCCCAGATGTTTAGGCTACACTAAATCCCCAATATGCAACGGAGAATTCGATTTTGGCATAGTGTTTGAAAATCCATCTGACATGTATCCAAACTCGATGTGGGCAACCCTCCACCATCTGTTAACTGATCACCCGAAACCCTCAATAACTACGAGGATATCTCTTTCTAGTGCCTTGGCCGATTGCCTTTTTAGTTTTCATTCCGTTGATTGGCTACACAAAAGCCTTGGAAGTGAGAATATCTTGTTCTTTTACGAAGATAAGGAACAAGTAAACATCGATATGCCATATATCGCAGGCTACGATTTTTCTCGGCCGACAAGCATACTTGAAATGACGAGAAAACCTCCATTTGATCCATGGTCTGATATCTACCGACATCCTTTCGCTCAATTTGGGGAAGCGAAAAGTCATTACCGAAAAGCGTACGATATGTACAGCCTAGGTGTTTTGCTCATAGAGATAGCTCTATGGAAGCCTATTGAGAAAATACTGGATATTAAGGACTTGAGGGAAATAACATGTCAGGACTTGCGAGGCATAGCCGGGAAGCTGCGAGGACTGCCAGACGCCGCCGGCGAAACTACCAGCAACATTCGAACACCCATAGAGGATATTGCGAATGAATGTGGCAATTCATATCGTGACATCGTGGAGATGTGTCTCAAAGCAAATGAGGCAGAGAACCCGGCATATATAGGAGAGTCATCTGCCTCCATCAAGACTAGGTTACGGATGATGTTCAGGGAGCAAATCACAGACAAGCTTAGGACGCTGAAGGAAGTTCTAAGCAGTTCAAAATAAGAGATTCGGTTCATCAGAGGCTTGAGATCATACTGCTCAAGACCTAGCACGAAGAAAGAGGATGGCAGAGGACACGAAGGGTCGGGAAATTTGGTACGGACCAAGCTAGTAGGGAAGATTGAAGTTTTAGAACCCTGTCTTTATTGTTTACATAGTGAATCGTAGTATAGTGTTTTGTTCTCTTAGCATGGACCTTACGTCATCATGCTGACTGATCACTCATCGATGGACTTCTTATAGAAGTTCGTCAAGGTCTCTCACCTTGGACCTCACCACCTTCTTTAGCACCTACACTACTATATACACTCTTTACACCTATGTTTTACTCATGATCAGTGACCTATCATGATGATGTCTTACCTTCAAAGTCTACGGAAGCGTATTTGAGGATCTCACGATCTGTGGCTTATACCTCTGTAGTGCAGAGCTACCACGCTCTGGTTCAATAGGAATTTGCGATGAGTTAGAACTGGTTTCTAGGTAGTCAAAATAAGTAAGATGTCCAAGTGGACATACGGAGGAAGTATCTGGAGTAGGATAATTTCATACCCCTTGCTTTAACATATCCGCAAACGATGTCTAGTAGATGGATAATAGTCGAATTTTCATGAGGAATATCGTATCGTACCTAAGTATAAATTGTAGCTGCAAGATAGGTATATGGTCCTGCTACTGGAAAAAGTGAATTGATTGACTTCTGCCAGCTGTAAGGGAAAAGGGGGGATGGGGATGGGGGACCCACTAATTTATCTTACCTAATGTACGATTACATAATGAATGTATATTACATAATAATGAAATGGGGTTAAGAAGTGCATATTTACTACAAACGTTCGGACGAAAGCTTGACCATGCGGTGAGGATTCAAAAGCGTGTAAATCGGGATATTATCGCATCGCATACTTATTTTCTTTAGTGACAAGCTCTTTCAATAAGTTGAAGCCATGGCAGTCATCTTTTCGAAGTTAGTCGATACTTAGTAGATGTCTGGACTTGCAGTACGCAGACGCTGCTTAGGTAGGTATATAATCAAATGCCAGGCAAGGGATGTGTTCTCATAACCCAAATTTCGGACCCGAACCCTTAGAAACTTGAGTATTCCCGGAATGAAAGCATAGTTAATAATAAGAAGCTAGTACCAGATGTTCTCTTAGAAATTTACAGCTCATTTAGAGCTAGTTACTATCATGCTTCGTCCTTCATCTTTTTGACCGATACAGGTACATCAAGATTTGTGCTTTTGAGACATCTTTTTTCCCTAAAAGAATTAACTTCTAGGTAATATATCACATAGCGTAGGGATTAAGTAGTTACTAGGTACACATATCTTAAGAATCAAATGGGGAATGCTCAATTGACGAAATGTGAAAGGTTCGAAAAAACCTCATTTATGTAGCTTGTTTGTTGATAGTGACCACTGAAAATTTCAATGTTGGCACGGAACTAATTCAATCGCATTACCACTACGCCACGCGACCGCCGTTTTACGTACTGCGAGATCGAAGGCGACGCCCCCTACTTAGCTGTCGCCTCTGGGCCCTGCATACCCTCTACGGTCTTAATAAAGCAGCCATCTCCGGGCACGCCTGTATATCCTCACAGAAGCGTCCGCCTAGATCCTTAATAACCTGGCACCTCTCATCCATCGTAAGCGCATTTCGCAGGCCCAAACTCTGCGGGTACATTCCTTCCCAGCCCTGACTCGTATCCAGCATCCACACACCACCGCTCGTCGGGAAGCCCACCTCAAGGCTCACCTTCTTCGTCGGCTTCACACACTCATCCATGGCGTCGCACCAGTGGACATGCTCGGGCCACTGCGGCGGCAGCTGCCAGAAACTTGCGCCGTGCATGCGCAGGCGCGCGCAGAATGCGTCCTCGTCCGCCTGTTCGAGCGCGCGGGCCGTGTCCCGGAAGCGATCGATGCCCAGAGAGGACATCTCTACGGGCGTGAGCTCTTTGATCCATACCCCGCCGTCCTGCCAGCAGGCGACCTTGCCGTAGTCGAGGCTGTAGCGCTTGAGAGGCTCGAATGGCTCAACAGGGGCAGGAAGTTCAGGGCCTGGGATCTTGGGAGTGGGCCATTCGGATTCGTCGTTCCAGGATGGAGATAATGTGGAGGTTTGGTAGAAGGGGATACCGTTTTGGTAGAAGTAGAAGGCAGCACCGGCGAGGGATAGGAGAGTGAGGATTGCGATAAAGAGTTTGGAGGTGCGCATCCGGCTAGATTTGCTAGACTTGGCGTCCATGGTAAGATGTGCATGCATTTCGGTCTGGGTGGATTTCTCATCAGGCGGGGAACCCATGATTGTTTATTGAAACGAGAATGATTGTTGATTGTCAAATGAAAATAGATGTTGATATTTAAATGAGAATGGTTGTTGGTTGTTAAATGAGAATGTTTGTTGATTCAAGTGCTGATGGCTGGACGGCGTGTGAACTAGAATATTCTCCCACTGTGTGGTGTTTTTATTTAGTAGCTAAGCTCCTTAAATAGGGTTGGGTTATACCGATCAATCACTGGAATTTAGTGAGTAGATCACTATTCAGGTAGCAGTTTCAGCCTAAACCTCATACTGTATGAAATAGTTGCTTATCTAATCGCGCGCTGGACGAGCGACGTGGCTTGATGGTCCAAATTTTTATTTAGGATCTTGATCTAAAAAAAGGTTATTATCACTTTTTAATCTAATAGAACAAGATTAATTACTCGAATGATTTCTTATAGTAGTAGGAAATTAAGAGGGATTACGGCGTTCGCTGTATTGTAGCCGTAGCCAGGCAACATCAAGACCTTTTTCCAAGCCGCTGTAGCCCAAGGCGTCCAAGACAAAGACTCCGGCTCTGTTAGCCGCAACTACAACCCCCGTGTAAGTCCATTCTCCCATGCTCGCGTGACACAAGCCAGTACTAAGCAGCCTAGACTCTGGACGAGGTGGATATCTCCGTGGATTGGCCTTCAGGAGTCAAGATCCCGTTCGACGAAGCCGAGGGCAACAAGCAGCTCAAAGCAACGTCGGACAACTGCCACCGCAACGACCCTGCCAATCCTATGAACTTGAAGGGCGGCGGCACCACTACTATCAGGGCCACCACCCCGGACCTAAAGGTACTGTATCACATCACGCCCAAGAGTGCGCGCCAACCACAGCCTAACAAGCCCGGTGGCTCTTGCAACATCGCGTACGAGTTCATTTATGATGAGTTCTGGATCTGGGGAAATGGGTATGCAACCTCTGACTTCGGGCAACTGAGAAACGGCTCGATGCAGCAACTGAAGAGTTGTGACGGCCTCAGGGACTGGAATTTCAACTATGGCTTGGGTGATGATGATAACATCCTAAATTCCGATTAGTAGTCATCGCTCAATGTTCTATATCGCATGCTATCAATTAATTGCTTTGCAGTCCATCTGTGTGCTATAGGAGCCCTCCGTCTTTCTTTTACAAGGTTTCCAATAATTACCCCTTTTCCAAACCTACCCCTATTTTGGTGGGGCCACTACATCACCCAGTATGTATCTATATTGCCATTCAACAAAATAACAATTCTTGGAATTAATCTTAAGCTAATCTATTAGATTTACTTTTAAATACCTTCGTACATTTGCTGTCGTTAATTCAATTACCCTGGTTAGTTGTGATCAATACGTTGTTTCATTTGAAAGAGCCCCTGAGTGTATAGGCCTGAGTGTTCGCGTGCTTCCTAGGTAGCCTGCCCCCTACTAGTAGTTCGATATCCTCTGTTGTTAAGTTACCGATTCAATCTAGTTTGTGAATCACTCAGTTAACGGCCAATGCACGTATAAATCACAGAAACACCAAAACACTACTAGTTAACTCAAAAGCAACTCAGCCATGGCACACGAGCCCAGAGGCTTGAAACTAGCAAAGTTTAGCTTTAGGAAAAAACTACTAAAGAAGGCTTTTCCTCGATGGCCTAAACGAAATATTTCAATCTGTATCTCTACTAGACTCGAGATTTCAATTCCTGTTGTATACATACCTAGTATAAAGCGTGCGAAACACGACGACTAAATGCCATCTCAAACCACAACTTCAGGGGCACGGACTACAAAGTCCCAGTTCGTCAAACAAAGCAACACCGGCCGACACACAAGCTCATTCACCAATGCCGGATTGTCGTCTCTATATCCAACCGATAGCAATAAGCGTCCAAATACCATGACAGGAAAGGTAGGTATACAACATTTATATATATACTATGGGATCTCAATTTAATAATAACATTGTACTGTAGGCTCCAGGCAAACGTTGCCCAACTTGCGAAGCACAGGGATATGAAGTATGGGTTTTCTCAGGAAAGGACTGTGGATATTGCGGGACATATATCAACTAAGTATGGTCATTTTGGGGTTTAAATGGAGATTTCAGCATATAATGGCTATATGCCAGTCTACCATCATGGCATCATGACAGAAAAGTCTTGTTAACTTCTTAGTATACCTACCTACGACGTTTCTTTCTGAGTCTTCCTTGAGTCGGGCCCTGTGTGTGAATTGCCAATCGTTCGACTCACGACTAATTGAGACGATCTGGCATATTCTAACTGAAGATCTAGTACATCAACTTGCAGATATGGGGACCTAAGCAGACTTGACTCTCATCCCGCTCCTAGCAAGAAACACGTATCCTCTACACCTTCTCATTTACGCCTACAATATCCATTCTTCCCTACTTTGCTGGAGGCAATCAACCAAAACCTCTTTGAACCGAGTTACAGCAAGTCATATCTGAATCGATCATCAACTCCCATCACAGATAAACTCACCGCCACCATGTCCTCCAACGCGAACGCGAACGCGAACGCCGCCACCAGCAGCACCAACCCCCCTCCCGCACCCCCCACAACCCCCAACACCGCCAACACCACCGTCCGCCGCGCAGCAGACCCCTACTTCCACGTGTCCCAACTTCAATCCCCACCCCAATGGGCCGGCGTCGGGGTCTCCACCGTCTCGCAGCAGAACCTATTCTTCATCCGCAGTCGTCAATGCGGAAACATCCAGTCTCGCGCGCATCCTCGCCTGCAGTTTTTAGAATACATGGCTGTAGCGCACGACCCCGACGACGAGATGGGCGAGCGCCGATTGCGAACGCCGTTGTGTCGCGAGTGTGCGTTTGCGATCTGGCCGGACTTTGTGCGCGCTGTTGAGGAGGCGGTTAGGATGGGGAGGGAGGAGGAGGAGAGGGTGAAGGGGGGTGAGGGGGGTGTTGAGGGAGCTGCTTTGTAGACGTACTGAGTGGTTTGGTTGAGTGTGTTCGTGGTGGTGGTGAGTTACCCCTTTATGGTGGATTTCAGTGGTTGGGGAGATCGTATACTAATTCTAGGGACTAGGTTTCGCCATTGATAACACTGCGGGCTAAAAATGGGAGGAATTGCAAGTGTTTTCATGTTTCCAAGAATACTTCCGAAGCTGGCTTCGGGTCAAGTCGAGGGAAGGGGATAAAAAGGGGGTGATGGCATATTCAGTTCACCACCGATCTGTGTACCAAAACCGACACTCCCAAGAATGCAATGATGTATCTTCCTTCGTCTGAGAGGTAGTCTTCTCTCTAAATGATTGACGACATGCCAATACTTTCTTGACGCCATACTGACATTTACAATAGATAGTTACCCCGTGCGTGATTAGACAAGCAATAGCTGCGCACTGTATGAGGCTGGGTTAAGACTCAAATCTAATAATGATCTATCCGCCTATAGCTCCACTGAGATATAGTGGCCAGGGACTAAGTTCTAGGGACTAAGCCTCTAGAGAATTACGCCACACGGTGCGAGGGTATTTCAGATAACACGGTCTTAGCCCTTGAGTAAATGTGCGAAATTATTGACCTAGAGCTTCATACATCAAAACTTTGAAAGTCCATGAAGAGAGAAGGATAAGTAAAAATAATACCTATGTATACTCGTTTTTACAAGGCTAATACTGTATGTATATCACTATCAATAACGGTATGGTTCTTTTCGGTGATTGTTAGAGCGAGAAGCGGGAACCTCCATCGAGGGAAGATCCTGCACCAACCAATACGGGATATAGGTGAAACGGTGACCGGAGATGAAATAATTTCACGAACCCTCTCCCTCAAAATTATGGGGTAGGGTTCTTATCAAGCCCCTGAGCGTGCCGAACCTTCTCCTGCTTCGCCTGTTCCGCTTCTATAGCGGCAAAGTCCGAGTCCTTATTCTGACTACCCTTGAATAAACTATCAGGGAGGGCATTCAGAGACTCTTCTTCGCTGTCCAGCTTCGAAAAATTGAACCAAAAACCGATTCCACCAAGGGCCGAGATGATGGCTATCGTCACGTATAACCACACTAGGTAAGGATCGGTTGCTAGGGGTACGAAAGCCTGGCCAATAGCGGAGGAGAAGGCTTGCGCAAACCAGAAGACACCTGTGATAAAGCCTCTCATATTCTTTGGCGCCTTAGTAAAAGCGTACTCGAGGCCGGTGATTGAAGCGCAGATCTCGGCAAAAGCGATCAGAATATAGGCTGGTGTTTGTATCCAGACGGTTAGAGGTGATTTGTACTGGAGCTCGGCCGCATCTGCTGGAAGATTTAGGGCTTCTTTGCAGTCGGTCACATATCCGTATCCGGAAACTAGTCTACACGGCGATTCCATGTAGATGTAATGTTGGGTGATAGCAGCAACCACCATCGACAAAGCGCCAATAGCAAACCCGCCAGTGATTTTCTTAATAGGGGTTAGGTTGATACCAGCACGCCTTAAAGCAGGGTAAAAAAACTTGTCGGCGATAGGAATGAATATAAGTAAGGCGATAGGATCGAGATTATTCACTACATCGTTAGGGACGCCGTTGAGGATCATGGTAGCGGCTTGGGAAACGAGGTTGTTGCTCAATTGGTTGTAGGAAAGCCAATAGATCGGGTACCAAACAAAGACACTACATGCTTTGAAACCGCGGCGCACCTCGTCAACCCAATGGTCATCGAAAGTCATCCAATCAGGACGCTCGGATTCAGGGATCTTGCTCGGTTTGACTCTCTCAAAAAAGCCAGGCTCGCGCAAATGATTAATAGTTGTGATAGGATTTAGAGACCAGCGGCCCTTCATCGATAGACCAACCAAAGCTATGGCCTTGCCTAGAACCGAACCGGTTGGCGGCCGTCGGACGTATTTGTTCTTGAAGACGAGCAAGACAATGGGACAGAATAGGAACATGATCGTGGGTAAAGTGAACGAGAGCCAGAAGCCAACGTATTTCTCGGCGTATACCATAGCGATAGATCCAACCAAGGATCCAACGTTGATGAAGAAGTAGTAACGCATATAAATAACGGATATGGTTACGATAGGATCGACGACAACTCGTTCACCGCTCTTTAAGACATTGATGACAGCTCTCGGCTGTTGGCTTTCGTACTGCTCGGCAATCATAGGCGAGATGTTGGCTTTGAATAATCCTACACCAATACCGAAGAAAATCAGACCGAGAGAGAAGCAACCAAGGGAGCCCTTCGGGTTGGCAATAACCGGAGGTAAGGTCGAGACGATTAGGATGATATGACCAAACATAGCTACTGCGACAGCAACGTGAATAGTCTTGTATTTGCCCCAATATGCATCAGCCACCCAACCACCTAAGACGAGGTAAAGCAGCATCAGTTAGATCAGGCATTAACATTCTGGACAGGTTGCTTACCGGCTAAAGGCATCAGGTATGACCAGAAGCTGTTGAACAATACCAAACCAGTTGAAGCTTGCTGTCCTTGGCCAAGGGCGCCAGCTTGTAAGTCTGTACCACCAGCGCCGGTGGTAGAGCCAGCGGGAAGAGGCTGGGAAATGAAGTTGACGACTAAGCAAAATCAGTCAATGTATTTTCCGATCAGTAGTCACATCTCAAACATACAAACAGCAGTAGTTCCATAGTAAGCAAATCGCTCGCAGAGCTCGATGAATGCGATTGTGTAGATAATCCAAGTAATGGGGCCTTTCACGCGACGTAGCGTCTTGAGTTCTTCCTCAGTGGGATATTCCTCGCCGTTGGGTCCTCTGAGGGATTCTTCTATATCTGAGCCCGAACCGGAATTCATAGCAGCAAGATTGTGTTCCTTCGGCACCTTTTCCTCCACAGTTGCGGGGGAGGTGGTTTCGGAAGTGGCTTCGATGCCCTCGCGATTCGCATTAGTCGACATGGTGAAGGCGGGAAAATAAAAAATACTACGAAAATGATGATTTCGTGACTCTCTCTGAGGGAGAAAGAACTATTCTAGACACGCATTGGTGACGATACTATAGCTATAGCTTGATTGCTAAGAATGTCGTTATCAGCTATTGGTGATTGATGTATTGCCGTCGGGGATGGCCTTATGTCCGCCCGCGGCGATGATGTCGAATGGAGCGATCAGCGAAAATGTTATTTGCCAGCAACAATTAAGAGAAATAGAATTGGATGTAAAAAAATGGAACTGAGAAACTGGGAGGAGACATTGATAATATTCTAGAAGAAGACTAGATGAACCTTATTATGTATTGTACGCATCCTTACCCAGGTAACCTAGGACCTTCCGCAACAATACCTAACGTTTGTCATGGTTGCCCCTCAACTGGTGCTTCCTATCTGTCAGGTCGTAGTGCTACCTACCTTGTAAGCTCCAAGGTAAAGGTATCCATTCCCGTTTCCCAGTCCAATCAATACAAAAGCAAAGATACGACGCCAGATCCGATCATCCTGACGTCTGACGATCATGTCCTGATTGGTAGCTCGCTTGGCAGTAACGAGCAGTAACACTGGCTGCCAAGCATAGGCAATCTGGTCACGCCACAAGGTTGCGCTGAGAGATAAGGCGTATTATTGGATGATTAAATTATTATGTGCTGACATAGCTAAAAAGGGACGCTGGACATCGAAGATGGCGTATGGAGTAGGAAGCTGTGACAATTCGCGGAGTAAGGTTTTGGGTAGGTCGCTTTTAAACATTCCGTATCCCCAGAAATTTAGTCAACGGGAGTTAACTTCCTTAACCTTAAATTAGCTCAAGAACACATGTACCAAGGTACATAGGTATACTATGCGTGATTGGCGTCCGTGATGGTCGTTTTTTAATTCATGCCGGAAATAAAACAAAACATTGACCGTTCGTCTCAATAGCGTGCTAGTTTTCGGCATGGTAAACGACTGGGATTCAGTAAGATCCAAACTGGGAACAACCCATGATCACCCTTCTCCATATTGCCCGTTTTTCTGTAAGATATCATTGTAACCTAGCTGCCTACGGTAGCTGCTAAGGATTTCTCTTTCCCATGCGGAACCGGGAACATAGAAAATCCTCGCTTTGCAGGCGCCTCTTAATAGCAGTTGGCTATTGACTACAGCTTCTAGTAGCGTTCTAGAAGCCTTCCGAGCCTACCCGGACATGGTCGCAAGCAGGTAAATCACACACTACTGCCTAGGCAGTGAACCCCGGCATCGCAGCCAATCAAACGCCAGTCGCAACCGTGATAACTCTTAGCTCGCATGGTTCGATCGGTCCGTCCCAGCTGCTTACGCGAACATTCGCATCCATCGACGCGATATGATAAATCATACAGATCGTGTACTTGAATCGAGCTTTGCGCGAGATACGAAGGATATATAACCGTTTTGCATCGTATAGACTTATCTACTAACTAGACAAAGAAGTATCCAAAGTTCTTTACTTTCGATATTTTGATATGTACCTACCTATGTAGGTAGGCGAGAAAGCATTTGGAATCTGTTGGAGGTTGTCCGCCAAGCGGCTCGCGTACCAACGTTCTATACTTTGTACCGGGGCCGTGGACTTGGCGTAGGATTTAAAAAGTCCTACAGATGTGCAGCTGATAGAGCCTGGGATATCTGCTTAACCGGGATTTTTTGTTTCGAAATTGTTACCACCTCAGGTTTGTTATCCATCATCGATATCAAATCGCCGCTTCACTGCGCTTCTCCACTCAATTTTCAGGTGGTGTTTTGTCTAGATATCAATGTTCGATGTTCATATGAGGAACGACACGTACATTTTTATATATTGATAATAGACAGAATTTAGGCGTTATCCATACGCTTCATATAATGATCGCTCATGATTCAGTGAAATTGATTCAACAGTCTGTTAGGTTAGATTCTAAAATTCGAACTGTGAAGAGGGGAAGATGGCCTAATCTTCATGATTACATAACAAATACATATACATATTAGTCAGCTCAACTTTCAGATCCGTTACGTAATCATCGAGATTAGGTCATCTACCCCTCCCCCTCCTTTCAATTCAAACTTCAAATCCTCACAGTGCCAACATTTCTGTTGACGTGCATTCGCAGTACGGCCTTTCGAAATCTACATTTCTTCACTCTAGGCGCGCTATTCGAGAATTCGTCAGGGGAGCTTTACCGGGAAACCGTTCACCACGTACATGAAAAAAAGAGGCCAAATGATGGATAATCTTATTTTGATCTACCAGACTACAAGCCCTCGGAAAGCTACTTTCCGCGATTCTCCAACGTAACCCCGTAGTCTATATGACCCCATCTTCCAATAGAGACCCAACGAACCTACAGTTTTCTGCGTTCTTGATTACGCTATATGAGTGTTCTTCCCTCTTGAAGTCCACTTCTAGGCTTTCTTATCTTCCTCCCTATGGAGGAATCGGGATTTGCTGGACGAGGGGTCTGACTATAGAGAAGGGTAGCATGGACTTCTCAGTCATGCGGATCCTCATCATGACATCTGCTGCCCAAGGGAGAGAAAACCACATGGACCACGTTACCCACGCGTAGCCGATAAGCCTACTAACTTTGGGATTTAATTCCCTACCGCCCGAAACCTGGCGCCACAGCCACATTGCAAAGTCTTCAGTGGTGATGGCGACGGCCTGCCACAAGAAAAAGACGAGGACACCCGTGAAGCGCTCGTCTGCGGTAAGGTTAGGCGGGTGTGGGAGGAGAAGCATAGACTGGACATGCATAAATCCAGAAAAGGCAAACGCAACCCAGATCTGCGTGTAAGACGAGAGGTTCGTCCCGCGAGGGATCGAGAGAGTGTTTATGACAAAGTCGTTCAGCTTTGTTAGGGACTAGAGAAGAACCAGGTTAGCTTATCGTGATAACGTGTAAGGCAGAAGACCTACCCGACGGAGCGTTTGGTGCCAGAAAGAACCCCAAAAGTTGCGCACCGTAGTGGCCTGGCTTACGTCTCCAAAGTAAGGTGGCCAATCCTGTTTTCGCAGTCAGAATACCACTGGTATCTTTTCATTGAGTGGGACATTCATACCTCCGGTTTACATATCCCCAAAGCTACGGTGAAGATGGTAGCAGTTACATACTGAAAGCTAACAAAGAAGTATGGCCCACAAGCCCAGACAAGCACCCTGATGAAGCTCCAGCGCCAGTCGGGATGAGTAACTGTCAGATACTTCGAGTCCACGGGTCGTGGAGTCCAGAGCAGACGCTCTGAGAGCTGGAAAAGGAGATCGGACATCAGTGTCATTTTAACGAGCTGCACTATCTGTCCTAGCAGAAATCTCCCTCTTGTCGCCTTAGGCTTAGGCGGGATCTTGGCGACCTCATAATTCCACCCGACACCGCGCGTGTTCAGAATAATGGCACCTGCCCATTTGAGCTTCCTGGGACCCCAGGGCATCATCTCACGTGCCTCGCGTGCTGGGTGGTCGATGCGCCAGTAACTATCTTCTGGCCCGACACCCGAAGCGCATAGAAATTCATTCATGGTGCCTAGGTAGATAGGCCACAAGAGAGCAAAAGGTTGCGCGTCGCCAGGTACATCAGTGGCAAAGTTCGTAAAGTGTGGCGCGATAGCAAGGATGACGAGGACAAGAAAGACGACTGTGCGCCGACCTGGGAAAGGCGGGGAGGCAAGCGCCAGCAGTTGGAAGACTAGCTGGGCAACATGAATGGTTATGGCAGGGTCCGACATTGCGTAGATCTTTGGTCGTTGTCCTATGGGTGGTATGACTTGTGGCATATCGCGATGATAAATACGATGGTGCTGATGTGCGAAGGGGTCAAATTCGGAGCCCGAAGCCTCGTGGCAGCGGAGGCCGAAACTGTCCCCACCACATGCCGGCCACCCCAATCTCACCCGGGCCGCGTCTTGTGTTGAACGGACGCCGCAATCCGGAAAGTTCCCGAATTATAAAACCCACACGGCGCAACCCGGAGAGCGGTCTTTTTATTTGGATAGGGCATAAACCAACTATGGCGACCTTCAGCCCTATTCGAGAGGTAGTCAAGGGTGATGTTGACTACGATGGCCGCGTTATTATCTACATAATCAAAGGTATTTTGCGTACCGCCAATGAATGGGTGAATAATTTGCTTACTAACTTCGTTTGTGAAGCTGACCAAACCAATTGGATCAACTTTATCAAGCCGCTTATCCTAGCCGAGGAACTTGACATTCCGTACCTTCTCTCAATCATTGATACCAAAAATGAGGAATATCGTAGAGTCCATCCGGAGCGTTACGTACCGGCTCTGAAAGATCAGGATCCCGAAGACCACAAGGAGATCACGGTATTTGAGAGCACGGCGTGTTTGCAGTATCTGAGCGATCGGTTTGACCAAGACGGGGCCTGGGCTGGCCGGAGCGCATGGGAGAAGGCCCAGGTCGTGAGCTGGACCGCCTATCAGACAGCCGGGCTAGGGTAAGCGAGAATCCTCCCAATTACCTGGTAGATAGGTATTTCTTACTACCTAGGTACCTGGAGTAATGCTAACAGTGACTAAGGGCGACGGCTAAGTATTGGCTATACTTCATGAAGGGCTATCCAAACCGTCAAAACCCCGAATCCTTGCCGAAGGTAACAGCGAAGTAAGTGTCTTTGCCTCTTGCCTGACTCTATTGCGGTTCCATTGACTTTGAATCTCGATATAGGCTCCACCAGAACACGCTGATACAATGGGATATTTTGGACAAGAGACTTTCTTTGCCGAGACAGAGCTACATTGCTCTTCCAGATAGACCCACCATAGCTGATATCTCATACTTCCCGTATGCCATGCCGTGGATGTTCAAATTCTTCAACGTGGATATCAAGGATTGGCCAAATGTACAAGCCTGGAGTGAGCGCATGTTGGCGCGCCCAGCAGTGCAAAGAATTGTAGAAAGAGGACCTAAATATGGCCATGATTTGGAATAAGCTGGGAATTAGAGAAATTCAGTGAGAATTGTAAATCAACTCGGAAATATTGTGCCGCCGTAGAGGTTCCCTACCCCTGTAACCAGATCCTTTTATTAGTACTCCCCGTATTACCTCAGATCATAGCATCGAGCCTCTGATACCTATACCTTAGTCTTCAAATCTTCAATCCTTAGGATTTGTTTGAATATCTCCCAATCTTGGCCTTTTTATTCCTATCCAAAACTACTGCATGATGGGTAACATACTTCTATCCTCGCTTCCGCTTCTATTACTTAGCGCAGCAGTTGCATTTCCTGCTGTGTACAAGTTTGTCTTCCAAAAAGCCAATGCTTATTTTTCGTATATTATTCACGTAAGTCTTCATCTCTATGAACTATGAACTTAAAGTCTAACATGCCTTTAGCACTACCTAATATGGAGATACCCAATATGTGCAGTAGTAGATGGGCAACCGATGCCTGCGTGTCCTTATAAATGGCCAAATGGCCAAGGTGATGTTGGAAAGTTCCTCGAAGGAGAGAAGAACAGCAAGATATGGGGATCAAAGAATGGTCGCATATATAGGATTTGGAACGGTATGTCCACGGAAGTGTAAGTTGCTGTCACGAAGAACATGGAAAATCTAAATCTTACAGTTACCTAGAGTTGTCAAGGATCCTGAAGATATCCAGATAATATTCAAGGATTCTGACAAGCATACTAAAGCTGTCAATAACGACGCAGGTTGGCTGATGGGCGAACTTCTTGGCAAATGCCTTGGTTTGATTAGCGGAGCTGCGTATCAGAGGGTGAAGACGGCAATCTCTCCGCCATTTACGCACAAGAGTTCTTTGAAATATATAAAAGACATTTCCGAAGTTACAGCCAAGCATATAAATAAACTGTCGACCGAAGGAAAGTTACGGAATGGCTTCATCAACCCTGTGACCTGCCTGGCGCCTATCCCTTTCTGGGCTGTAGCAAATATCATCTACGGAGCAGAACTTTCTTCCGACCTGAAATTAGAATTGGAAAGTCTAATTCGTCTTCGCGAGTCGCTCTGGGGACACATGATACAAGGAGGAGCGACACGTTTTGGATGGAGTCGATATCTTCCGACCAAAACTACACGGGACCTACGAGACTTCAAGAAACGGTGGGCCGCATTCAATGATCAAGCACACAGGGTAGCCTGTCAAACAGAGTCTCAGGCCCCTATACGCCATCTATATGCAGAGGTCAGGAACGGCAACATAGAAAAAGAGCAGCTACTCCAGACGATCGACGAGATGCTCTTTGCTAATCTAGATGTTACTATGGGTGGGATATCATGGTGCTTGCTTTTCCTAGCCGCCCATGAAGATGTCCAGGAAAAGATTCGCCAAGAGATATCGGAGGCCAGACTCAGCGTAGAAACCACGGCGCGGGGCTGGGACGACTATATACAAAGCTCTTCCACCATGCTCGCAGCGTCGATCCTAGAATCCAGCCGCCTCAAGCCTCTTGCCGCATTCTCCGTCCCACAGTCTGCCCCAACGGACCGTATCGTAGGCGGGTTTCTCATCCCAGCCGGAACCAACATCATCGTGGACACTCACGCGCTCAACATCAATAACCCATACTGGGATCCCGACGGAGAAACCTACCGACCCGCGCGGTTCCTCGAGAACCGCAAGCCCTCTGAGATGCGCTACCACTTCTGGCGGTTTGGGTTCGGCCCGCGCCAGTGTCTGGGGAAATTCACCGTCGACCTCCTCATCCGTGTGGTTGTGGCGCAACTTGTCGAGGGGTATCATCTTAGACTTGCGGAGACTACGCGTTGGGATAAGAACCCTGATACGTGGATCCTACACCCGGATACGGAAATTCGCTGTGATGGTATTGGGGCGACGAAGTAGCACTGTCACAGAGTTATATCTTGAGTTAGGGGCACTTTTACTACCTGCTCCACTAAACTTCATTTCGGTCGCTGAAGTGTATCGCGTTTGAAGCGCAGATATTCAGGGAAATGCTTTTAAATGGGAGATACTTATTATAGGATTGATGTATCTCAATAACACGATTCATAGTAAATTTATTGCTTATTGAAGCTACAGGAAATCTTCTAGGGATCCATGGATGCGTCGTTGGTTGGGCTAGGTGCCTAATTACAGCGCAGTACTGCTAAAAGTATAGCGGTGAGCTTAGCGTATATATTACCTAAAAAGCATGGAGAAAACGACGTTGTTGGACGAGGAGCTCTCCAGGGCTAACCTACCTACCTACTACCCACGCTAAAGATGGAGCGCTAAGTCGCCTTGGTAATAGGATCTCCTATGGCTTTCGTAGGCCTGCAACAACGACACTAGGGCTATTGGGTACTTCATTGAAACCTCCAGTAGACCTAAAAATTAGTGGATTTTGAGGAATAATTGTAGTGCAGTTATAGTGGATAATTGCTGTAATCCAGGGGAAGTTATGGGGGGCTTACAAGGACTGTACCCCCAGAAGACAAGAATTTAATCAGCCAAAAACTCTCCGGGGCTGCCCATCTGCAACCGTAACCTTGGAAGTCTTAAAAACTGACACTAATTACCACTTCGGTACAGGCACCTACTAGCTGCTAACAGTAATACCCTCTCTGATACTAGGCGATGATTTAGAAACAACCCCATTAGCTGTTATGTTGAAAATTCCATGCGCTAACAACTCCCTTTGCTCATACTCTCGTGCAGGAATGAGACAAAGGCCGTGTTCGGCATAAACCCAAACTAATGTAACCTTCATGACAAATATCTTAAAGCCAATTAGAATCTTTCCATCCACATCTCTAATCTCGGACACTTTTTTGACAAAGGAGAAGAACATGATTAATTGGGAAATATCGGGGGCCGAAAAGTCTCCTGTCACGTCGTACAACACCATAACAATATTGACACGGCCACCGATGACTGGTCATTTCCCTCACCCACGCCTACACCCCCCCTACACCCCCTAGTACACTGTTTGCCCGCCTGCATCCTTCCCGTTATTGCACTGCCGTTAGTGGCCCATATCCCGCGAATCCCAACACCAACACCAGGCTCTACATTTTTTAACGGAAACTAAACTTGCATATTCTCACCTCTTCGATGTCCACATCATAACCTTGGCAGGCCATCCATCTCGAGGTCCTCGCACAACTCTAGGTATCTCCAGCATATCGTCTTCGAAGATGTCTTCCCCAGCAGCAGCAGCGGAGCGCATCAGCGACGATGCCACGAACAACACCATCCCAGCCTCGGACGAGCCCAGGGACAAGGAAGCAGACACCCCCCCGGCCGCGAAGAAGTCCTGGAAGTTCTGGTCCGTCTTCTTCTCCCTGTGTCTGCTCAGTCTATCGACCTCGATCGAATCGACGATCGTGACGACCGCGCTGCCGAAGATCGTCGACGACATCGATATGGGCAGCAAGTACGTCTGGGTCGGCAACGCCTTCCTGCTCGCCTCCGCCGTCGTCCAGCCGTTTATCGGACAGCTGGCGAACGTGTTTGGGCGGCGGTGGCCGCTGCTAATCGTCACAGCGTGCTTCACGCTTGGCAGCGGTATCGCGGGCGGTGCTACGAACGCTGGCATGATGATCGGTGGACGCACTGTTCAGGGCCTAGGGTCTGGTGGTATCTACGTCTTAATCGATATCGTCGTCTCCGATTTAGTCCCGCTGCAAGAGCGCGCACAGTACGTCGGCCTCGTCCTCGTCACCGGCGCCGTCGGAGCCACCATCGGCCCCGTCCTCGGCGGCGCCATTGCCGACGCCAACTGGCGCTGGGTGTTCTACCTCATGCTCGTCACCGGCGGGCTTTCCCTCATCTACCTATTCTTCTTCGCGCACTTCAAGCACGAGGAGAAGCGGTGGAAACAGGCCCTCGCCGAGGTCGACTATTTCGGGGCCGTTGTATTCATCGGCTCCGTCACGTCTCTTCTTCTGGGCTTGGTTATGGGCGGAGTGGTGTTCCCCTGGAACTCGGCGAATGTAATCGTGCCGATTGTTATTGGCGCCGTCGGCTGGGCTGCTTTCCATGTGTACGAGGCGACTAGTTTCTGTAAGAACCCGATGGTCCCGCCGCACCTGTTCATGAACCGCACGGCGGCCGCGGGATTCGTTCTGGCTTTCGATGCTGCACTGCTTCTCTACTATGTTGTGTGGTTTCTTCCGATTTATTTCCAGGGGGTTCGTGGGGACACGCCCCTGCAGTCTGGTGTTCACCAGCTTCCTTTTAACATAGTCCTCATCCCAGCGGCTATGATCGGTGGTGGCATGGTCACTAAGTTGGGGAAATACCTGCCGTTTCAATATATCGCGTTTGGCATGATGGCGATCGGGGCGGGGTTATTTACGTTGCTGAAAGCGAGCTCGTCGACTGTTGCTTGGGCGTGGTTTGAGATTATCGCTTCGATCGGGATGGGCATGGCTACAACGACTATCTTACCCGCTATCCAGGCGTCCCTTACAGACGCTGATGTTGCTTCGATGACGTCCATGTATGCGTTTTTGCGCAGTTTTGGCGGTATTTGGGGTGTTACTATCCCCTCTGTTATCTTCAACAGCCAAGTCAACAACTTCCTAGATCGAATCAGCGACCCCAACGTCCGGAATCAGCTTGCAGACGGAAATGCCTACGGATACGCTTCCACGGGGGCCACGGCAAGTCTTCCGGAAGACGTCAGGAACGAGGTTCTGGGTGTTTATACCGACGCCCTGAAAACTGTCTGGCAGATTGCCGTTGCCTTCTCCTTGGCTGGTTTCGTGGTTGTCTTTGCGGTTAAGCAGTTGGATATGTCTAGGCAGAACGACACCAAGTTCGGTTTGGAGGAAGACAGGCCGAAAAAAGTCACTGAGATGGAAAAGGGTGAGAAGAGTGAGGGGAGCGCAACGATTATACCGTCGAGCGAAGTCGAGGAGTCATAACATGACAGTAAAGGTGAACTGTGATTAAAAGAAGTTGATGGACCCCGGGGTACCTACATATCGGGAATGGCCACTGTATGGGCTATAGGAGTTTATCATTTATGGGCTGAGATTCATGTATACCTAGCTAGTATAGACTATGTCTTTGGATATCCAATTTAGTAAATTGTTAATTATATTGTTTTTAATGTATATCACACTCTTGGGAGGTTTTGAATCCACTACAAGATCATAGTTCAATGTTCTAATACCATATTCTACGATAGATATATATCTGCTAGTTACCTAAGGATAATTCCACTGAAGATTTTCTCTCTTTGACCGACGTAGATAAAACATCACTTTTAAGGCTATTTCGAAGGTAATCGCCGTTGAACATCACGAGAAGATACCTACCTGTATACCTGTTGGTACCTAAAAGTTCTATCACAAACCTGTAGGTTGGGGGCCACATCGGATTCTGATATGAATGATTTATTAATAGATACCTACCTAACTAGTAGGTACCTACCTAGGCAATATCAACCTTAGTGGTTTCCAACGATGTCGCTTTATTCTGCTATGATTTTGTAGGTACGGTATAGAGTACGTAGACCAATGAATGTCTCCGAAAAGTTTCCGGTACTGTACGACCGTTACGATCGGCCACCGGGAAGCCACATGTAACACAACCTTTCGAGTGGCGCTTAGGCTCCTATCCCTTGCTTTTCTCTCTAGACATCTACATGTCTCTGTATTTTTGCTTATGACATACATAGGGCTCTACTCTGACGTTTCATAATTCTTTCCCCTTTATCACTCACTACCTAGTTCTATTGATTCCAGTGGTTTTAGGGACCTAGAAGCAATAAGCATCTTCCAGTCTTACACCCTTTTACAGCATACTTAGTATTTTTCCATTAACCATGGCACTTGAATATGACATCATCATTGTTGGCGGCGGTCCTGCCGGCCTAAGTGCAGCATCATCTATCGAGCGACAAGGTCACAAGACAGTATTATTTGATTCGGGCAAGTATAGGAACGCCCTAGCCAAACACATGCACACGGTGGCAGGATGGGACCACCAAGATCCGGCGGCATTTCGCGCGAAGGCGAGAGCGGACTTTGAGCGGTATGGTTCTGTGACGGTGGAAAATGTTGAGGTGGAGACTATCAAACAGCGAGAGGATGGACTCTTTGAGGCTACAGCTAGCGGCAGGACTTGGACGGGCAAAAAGGTCATCTTGGCGACAGGTGTGGAAGATGTCTTCCCCGCCATTCCTGGCTACAGCGAATGTTGGGTTTCTGGCATGTGAGTGTACTCACTTGGAAACTTCGAGAGTTTAGTGAGGAATCGCTGACTAAGTGCTGTAGATTCCATTGCCTATTTTGTCACGGCTGGGAGGAGAGAGGACAACCATCAGGAGGCGTGCTAGCTGAAGGTGGCATGAATGTCCCTATGGCTCTCCATTTTGGCCGGCAAGTTCTGCGTCTAGCAGACCAGGTGAGATTTATGAATTTCTTAAATTTAAGCTTATTTCAACGTGCTGACGCTTAGCTGGAATAGGCGACGATTTATACTCATGGAAACACTCAGCTTGCTAAGGAACTGGAAGAGGCGCTGGCGGCTGGACCAGCACCAATGACAGTGGAACCACGTAAGATCGTGAAGTTAGTCAAAGAGCCGGAAGGCAGCAAAGTCACGTTGCACTTTGAGGACGGCAATAGCAGGACTGAGGCTTTCATAGCTCACAAGCCAAAGCCGGCCCTACGCGGCAACTTGCATAAGCAGTTAGGGCTGGAAATATCACCTGCGGGAACGATCGTGGTGAACCCTCCATTCAACCAAACGGGGACCAAGGGTGTATTTGCTGCCGGTGATTGCGCGTCGCCTATGCACACCGTCACTCAGGCCCTGCACAGCGGGACATGCGTTGGAGGTAGCGCCCCACTGCAGGTCCAGGCTGAGACATGGCACCAGAAGTCGCTCGTGTAGAAGTTCTTGAGTACGTACCTAGTACCCAGTAGTTATCTAGCTAGGAAATGATGAAGCCTTAATGGAAATCACATATGATGTGATTGATTTATGTCACGTCCTTTCACAGTGGATAGAAATGATGTTGTGTTAAAGGAAACGATTTAAGATTAGATCTCGTAGACCTTGTAAATCTAATGCAACTACCCGTACAGTGCGGAGCACATGCACTTTCCTACCCCTGTCCCTGTGCTAGTTCCCTAACACCCCACCATCGTTCTTTTCTCCACATATCCCCCAACTCTAAACTTACCCTAACACCATACTGCCGACGTGGTGGGATTTAAGGCTGACGGTAGGTAGTGGAGGGATTCGGCCCCCACCTCGGGCGTCGGTCTCCGAACAGCATATGCAGAGGGGTTAGGGGGGTTCTACGAGATTTTCGAAATTTCATCGTGTTTAACGGACGTGACTCACTTCATAATTATAGATAATTAACTGCACCTAACCAAATTATTATTGGGGAAACAGCCACTCGGGGACCTCGGTTAGGCGCACGCGCAGTCCGAGATCAGGCTCCGGGGCGAATGGGTGTCATATGCCGGTTGAATCATGGATGCGCCTTCCCAAGCTGTAAACTGCTGTGCTACCTCAATATACGCTCCCTAGCTCAGTTGAAACGCAAACATCCAATTCATTTCAGTAGGTGAGTCTAGGCTTGTATATGTACCTGGTACTAGGGAGGTACTCATGCTCTTTGTGAACTTACTACCTAATTCTTAGGTAGCCTCATCCCTTACATGTATTCAGCATGTGCCTACATAGTAGAAAATGTCTCCGAAAGGATGACAGGGCGTGGGAAATGTCTCCAATTGGCTAGAATGCCTAGGTACCTAGTATTCCGTACCCAACATACCTAAACGCCTTATCTGGGTGTTTTAACAAACCTCTTCTTCTTCTACTTATCTTCTTGACCCTAGCCTTACTCCAACCAAGCAATCCTACGGCTGAGTAAATCTTCCACATTGAATCTCGCATAGCCAAATACCCTAGACACTCGTAACCATGGCAGAGAAACAGAAGTATCTGCTCCCGGAGCCGGAGAAGGAGATCGGGCGTCTAACGGAGCAAGACTCCGTCATCACGCACATGATGAAAGGCGTGCGCATCCTAGCACCCATCGACTTCAAGCAGCCGGGGTTCCAGATCCTCGACTCGGGGACAGCAGACGGGCTGTTCCTGCGGAGCATCCAACCGCAGCTGACAGAGCCGTACAAGCTTCTCGGCTTCGACGTCATGGAGAGCTTCTTCCCGCCCGTCGCCCCGCCACACACCACCTTCGGCATCCACGATATCTCGGAGCCGTGGCCGGCCGAGCTGCACAACGCGAATGACTTAGTGCATCAGCGCTTCACGATCCCCGGCGGCGCGAAGAAGGCGACACCGCGCGAAATCGTCCATTACCTGTGCCAGCTCGTTAAGCCCGGCGGCTATATCCAGCTCGTTGAGATGGACATCACTGGCACTGCTCTCGGCCCCGCCATGCGCGATGCGTGGACCGTTACTGGTGCTTTCCTCACTGCTGCGGGTGCCGGCAGCGACTATGCGAAGAGTATGCCTGGTTGGCTCGTGGAGGAGGGCTTTGAAAATGTCGTGGATCGCCGCGTGGATCTGGATTACGGCGTTCGGTACAAGGAGGGTGATTGGGGTGTTCGTGGCGCTAAGGTGATTGTTGAGTCTTTTAGAGGCGTTGTTGGCGCGTGTAAGAGTGAGTTTTCAATCCCTCCTTTTTTATGGTGTATGGTAATGATTCGTGACTAATCTGTTGTTGCAGTGATGAATATCGAGGTTCCGGGGATAGACCTGGACACGGTGCCGGAGCGGGCGGAGAAGGAGCTGATGACGGAAGGCGGAGTTTACCCCCTTGTGTTCGCGTATGGTCAGAAGCCGCTTGCTTGAATTAGTGCACTTGATGCTCCGGGGGTAGAGTAAAAGTTTTGGGAATGCAATATCGGTATTTGGGGGAATGGGTAGTGGTCACCATTCCTTTATGACCCATAGTCTAGGTAAACTACAGGACCAGCTTTCGGATTGATGCTAGGTACATCGTGTAAAGCACAAGTGGCTAGGCAACTAGGTCTACAAACCAAATAAAACTTAAATAGGTTCCGCAATCACTTGCTTAATACTGTATAAGTACCTACCTACCTACCTACACCACCCCCTTCACCTCACTCTTCGGCAACTCCCTACTCATCCCACACCCAGCATACGCGCCCGTAACAACCGCATTCGGAATAATCTTCATCAAGCTCGCACAATCCCCCGCCGCATACACCCCCTCCACACTCGTCCTGCAAAACGGCAACGGCGCCAAAATATCCCCCGTCTCGGAAAGCGCCAAGCCCAACTGCTCCACGAACCGTCCCGCCACGCGCGTCAGCGGTCGATGGTGTACGAAATCCTCCGTCTTCCACGTCCCGTCCGTGAACGTGATCAGAATGCTCAACGCCCCCGCGCCCCGGCTTAACCGCGCGATCGGCCGGTCGTCGACGAACACGCCGGATCCGAGTTGCGATGCGGAGAGCTCCGCGGCTAGGGTGCCGTTGCCGTTCGTGTAGATGGTGACTTCGTCAGCGGATTTGGCGGCGTCGCGCGCTAGCATTGTTGCGAACATGGGCTGTGCTAGCCCGTCGACGGCGAGGAGGCCTGCGGATGAGGAACCGCGGAGCTCGTAGCCGAATTGGAACATGCAGGGGTATCTAGAGGGAAAAGTCGGTTAGTTTTCTCGTGGGTAAGGAGGTGGTGAGATAGAAGACGCACATGCCGCGTGTGTACAGATCCTGGTACCCGTCTATGTCGGGAAACACGTCCGTTGAGCCCGTGGCCAGGAGAAGCTTCCTGCCGCGCCATTTGGCACCCGTGTCGTCTGTGGCTTCGAAGATGCCGTCGTCGGTCTTAACCAGCGTTTCGACGCTGCGGTCGACGAAGGTCGTTAAGCCTGTGCTCAGGAGCTCTTTACGAGAGGCCTCGCGCATCTCGTCGGGGGTTTTGCCTTCCCATGTTGAAGTGTGTCTCACCGCTGTGCCGTAGTGGTTGCGGGGTTTGTTGTCGTCGAAGATTACCGTCGTGTGAAGTGCGCGATATAGCGTTAGCGCGGCTGATAGGCCGGCGTGGCTACCGCCGACGATGAGGGCGTCTACGAGGGGTGTCTTGTCTTTGGTCATGGTGGATTGCCGGATGTGTGGGAATGCAAGGCCGTATCACTATACCGGGCCATTGTGAACTGTTCCTATGAGAATTGTTTGGTTAAGTACCTCACTAATGAGGTAGAACATCAAAATACAGTCAGACTGTACCGTAAGTCAAATCCGGGGCTGATTGCTTAGGTTTTCTAAGAAAGGTATCACTCGGTGACCGACGGGGAAGCGGCCCACGTGGCATTGCAAGGATCCGGAACTACTGCCCGGGTCTTGTTCCCCGCATCGTCTCTATCACGTAAGATTCAAATCGAGAGCAGCTTCGATGCTTCTCTTTACCAGTTCTCTATTTCTAACAAAATTTTACATTTTCCGGGGAGGTATAACTGGCTTGTGAGGGCCAGGACTAAGAAAATGACAGTCGCTCCTAGGAATCGTAGATAACAATACATCTAACCTCCACACTTTCTCTCGGCTCAACATCCAGCGGTGTATCCGGATGAGTAAAAGCCGTATGTGCACAACCTATTGAATGTGATTAGCCCTAATATTCCATTATTAGTCAACAGCATAATGGAGTTGGTACATACATCTGCTGACTCCGTCCGTTTTATTATCCCAGATCTTTATGAGTGTAACTTCATCAGTACGGTGTCTATTCAAATAGTACCATTTCTGCTTATCGGAATGCGTGAATGTCGCCGTGTGACCGCGCACTTCATCCTTGCCGGCCAAAAGATCGCATTGGTGCATGGCAGACGGCCCGATAGTTCGGTAGTCCATACATGCCAAGGGGGTATCCAGAACAGGTCCATTTAGGGGGCGCCAAATACTAGTGGATAACAATTAGTAGATATCCCACTGGAAGAATTATTGTTCGATATCTTACTTGATTAACTGAACACGGTGCTTCTGTAATAAATCGTCGAGATCCTCCCCTTCCGAAAGGTTATTCTCGACGCGCCGTAGAGCCCCCTTTTCAGACTGATCCACATGAACCTAGAATAATAAGTATTAGCACCCAACAACAAGTAACGACATGACTCAAAATTCCAATTCGTGTAAAAAGAAAAAGGGAAATGGGTATGATAATTACCATCATAGCCGGCTGCTCCTTCTTATCATCATTCCGCATCTTATCAAGCGCAGGCCTCCTCTTACGTAGCGTATGGTCAAAGATGACAACCCTAGGCGCTCCCGTAATCCTCTTGACGAATTCCTCGATGTGTGGGTAATACAATGCTCTCACGACCCCTTTGTCGTCACCGCGAAGGGCGCCAACAAGAACATCGGGGATCTCGTCGTCAATGTAGGCGAAACCATGTGTGTCAAGGGAAAACTCCCCTTTATTCGGCCGTGAATCTTGAATAATGACAGGGTGATCCTCCCAATTGAAATTCTGGCGGTCGAACCCTGGCGCGGGAGTGACTCGGATATACGGATTTCCTTTCGCGCCATCCCATGGTTCGAGGAAGCGCATTTGAGCGACGACCTTTTCGAGTCCGAGCTGCGGAACAAGAGCAGGCCAGGTGGGAACGAACTCGATGGCGGAGGGCCAAGCATTACGAAGCGGGTAGATCTTTCTCAACGACCACCCCGTCTGCTCCGCCAACCTCCTCCACTCATCCTCTCCCCTCTCCTTGCCGCCTACAGCCACCATCATGTTCAAATCGGCGTATCTCGACATCCGCCCCATGTGGCCGTCTCTCAGCACAGACTCAAGAATAACGAGCCGACTCACAGCGCTTTCCTTCAACGACGCGCGGATATTCTTTAGGATGACTCGCGCCTTATCATCGTCCCAATCGTGTAGACACCATTTCATCACGTAAACGTCGCTTTCCGGCACTCTATCGAAGAAATCCCCCGCAACCAGATTCTCAGCCGGGATCTGCGTCGCCACATCCGAATACTGACCCTCGGGGCCGTGGAAATTGGCGTGCGCTTGCTCGATCACCTGGGGCGCTTCTAAGATAGCTCCATTCAAACCCTTGTTCCCGCGCAGCAGCAGCGCGATCAGTCCCCCGCCGCCCCCGCCGATATCCATGACCGTGGTCCCGGCCAGCTCTTCCCAGGGGTAATCGGCCAGGATGCCGGGGGCTTGGGCGGTCGCGCCACCGCTTAGGGTCTTGTGGAATTTGGGGACCCAGCCGCGGTCGGTGAAGTACTTGAACATGGAATCGTCGGTATCGAAGTTTATCTGGGCGGGAGAGCGCACGGCGTCGCGCTTGCAGGAGGCCGGGATCCCGCGCGCCATGTCGTAGAACTCGTTGCCGTATAAGTCGACCCAGTTTCGCCATTGGGTCCAGTGGTCGCTTAGGAGCAGCGCCGAGGTCGTGTTGTTTCGGTACGTTTCTGTTTCCGCGTCGAAGCTGAAGATACCGTTGTTGCGCAGAGTCCGCATCACTTGTCCCAGACGGTCAGCGCGCGCGCCGCATGCGATGGCTAGTTCCGGTAATGTCTTCGGACTACTTCGTAGGATGTCAGGAATATTGAGTTCGACGGCTGCGCAGAGCGCTTTCGTGTTCATGTATCCTATGTTTTGTTGAGCTCCGGTTTCACGATAGTGATGAACTAATGAGTCTCCTACCCATAAAGTGATCGGCGAGGATTAGCTGGCGGGGTTCTAGCAAGAGACGTACTTCCGCAAGCAAGTCCAATGCTTCTGATACCAGCCGCGATAGTTTCGGGTCAGGGAGCTTCTCCGTGTCGTGTAGCTCGGCTAGTAGCTCAGCTCCATCGGGACCGGCGAGGTGCGCCGACGCCGCCCTAAGCGGATCTATGAGATTTTGTATAGTTGTCTCCATTGGCTAACCGTTGGAAGAAGAAGAACTGAATTGAAGAATCCCATATTATCTATCGTAAGGTATGCTTGAATATGCGGATATAAGTTAGAACAGATCATAGTTGAGCTGAAATCTCATTGGTTGCTTACTAGGTAGGTAGCGGATGAGTTTCGGTGGTTACCGACGCTGTGCCAGACCGAGCCCTCGGCCACCGAAGCCACGGGATATTTGCTTAGGTCAATTTTACATACCACGGCTTGAGCGCCGTCAAGCTCCAAAATCAATGAACCATGGAGCATGATCACGATCCGGTTCTGTGTGAAGATGAGTCCGCTGCACTTTTGGGGAATAGTCATGCCGGCATTTCCAGTCCGACATCATCCCTACACTCATTTCCAACACCGGCTGAGACTAGAACCGGGTCCGGAAATGTGAAGGGGGATATTGTACCTGAACGCGTTTTACCGATCGCTCTTCTCGCATCCCTCGCTATGGCGTCGACGGCAGCAACTGCGTTATTTGCTTATGCGACTCTTCTCTGCAAAGATCCACAGCATTGTAGAGACGATGAGACGAGACGCTATTCGAGCTTCGCAGCGGGTGCGATTTCTATATCGAATATCGTCGGTATGCTCGCTCTCGGGTATCTGCAAAAGGCCGCGGCAAAGGGGAAGCTAGGCCTGATGCTTTGGATGGTCGCCCGCTCTATGAGCGTAGTTATGCTGCTTGTCGGTGGTAAGTTCCTATCCCAGTTTTTCCTACCTAATATCTGTGTTCCAGATAGCTAGCTATTATGTATCGTATCTAACTTGGCATTTTATGCAGTCTTCACTAAAAGAATTTACGTTGCCCTTTCTGGGCGCGTCTTCGAAGGTCTCGCCTCAGATAATCTGCTGCACTTCATGCTCAACGCCGCGTACTCGCGATCGAGCTCTGAAGCGAAAACCTCCTCACTGATCAACAACTCTCTTGGCCTCTACATGTTAGGTATATCCATAAGCCCATTTATCGCAGGGCTGTTTAAGAATTTCACCGTTAGTTTCTTCATCGCTATCGGGTTCTTTGCCGTGTCAATCATGTACGTTTTGCTTTGCGTGCCGAGCCAGCCTTATCTCAGAAACCACCCGAAGGGTTTGCTCACCTCGGAAAGCGACACTCGGGTCGTAAGCCACGGGGTTAGGAGGCGTTCGATCGGTTCACTTGGATCCACGTTCCTAACCCCATTGATGCCTTTCAGGAAGCAACCTACTCACCTCCTCATCGGCTTTAACATCCTCACTTACAACATCACTCAGTCGTACACCTTTAGCGCCTTAATGGTTTATACTTCCGTACGCTTCGGGTTTACCGGGAAGGAAAACGGGATCCTCATATCAATGGTGCATACGGTAGCCGCCTTCTATATCTTCGCCAACATATACTTCATCCCATGGGCCCTGCGGCGTCGGCTACGACAAAACCGTAATGAGCGGACTTCTCCACAGATGTCCGTCTCCCAGTCTAATCACAGAGTCAGAGACATGACACTCGCCCTCATCTCTCTCACAATTCAATGTGTAGCGTTCGTCGGCCTCGGCCTCACTACCAGGGGAAGCCAGGTGTACTTTGTTACGGTGCTCTTGGCACTTGGGCTTCCCGCGCCCTCGTTCACCAAGGCCTATTTCGCAAGCCTCTTCGAAGGCGAGGAGAAACCGGTCGCGCTTGCTGCTTTGGCTATGATGGAAACTGTAGGGAGCCTACTAGGACCCCTGATCCTTGGTAGCTTACAGGCGTATTTTGGCGCTGGTAGCGGGGTATTCTATGTTGCCGCGGGGCTTGATGGCGTTTCTGTTTTATTGCTTGGTCTTGGGCTGGTAGTGATTGGCACTGTATCGAAGTATTGAGATCTTCTGGCCTGGTCCGATTTTGAACAGGAGATCATGTCCATTGACCAAATCCTAGATTTTGCAAAATTTCCAATCCCTTTTTTTTTTTTTTTTTTACACGCAGAGCTTTGAGAAAAACCGTAGAGCCAGCCGCGAGCGTGTTGAAGTAGATACTGGATTAAAGGTACCTAGAAATCAGCTTGGAGTGATTTAGGTATTGAACCTAGAACCACGGCTAGAAGGCGGGAAGCCCGTACACTCGGGTTACCCAGCATTATGCGTGCTTGCGAGGAAGGTGTAAACACCTAGCCTTTTCTGACAGGTCTCATTTTCGTGACTTCCAATGTTTCGGAGATTGATCATATTAGGAAATTTCTAAAATCCGGAAGAGTTTTTTGTTGGATTTAATGGACACGAGGCTCGGAGCTCGGGCGATTCTTGCTTATGAAGCGAGACTTACCTATTATAATTTCAGCCACCAATCGTAAGCCCTGATCCGTGCCTTATTGGTCAGCACTTTACCACCTTGATCTCACTGATTTTCGGCACTTGGCCTATCAGCCGTCTAGGAATCGGATGATTACTAGGTAGGTACCTGGTACTAGATACCTACCTACATATAGGTATCATGACGAGTTCTTAATATTTCAGCCGTAGCTGCTGAGTCTGCATATGTCGATTGCATATTTTTAAAGCGAGAGCGAGCGATCCACTTATATATCCTCTCGTGTAACTTCGCATTGCTTCATTGTTACCCACCGGCGCTAATTCATGTAAAACATAACAGGGAGCGGGGAGGTAGGAAGGGTGGTTGAAATATTATGTCAGACTCGTGTCACTTGCCAGGGTGAGTAAGGTGCGACTTCATGGATCGTTCTCGGCTCACACGTAGTGTTACCTGGTAGGCACTAACATCTTTAGGGCTGAACACATAAGTACAGGGGTAGGTTTTTACCCCTACCAAGCATTGGCTTGGCACTCATTTATCAATTGCAAATGACATTGAATAAGTAGCTGATAGTGAAGGTTAATTCGTTTTGTAATAAACAGAGTAGGTAATAGTATTTAACAACTGTTATATAATCTTAGGTTCAATGGTATTAAGTGGCTGGGCTTCGCATTCGCGCCCTAAGCAAAATCGTTTAGAAGGGGTCTTGTGTATACATAAGGCGATCTTACATAGAATATACAGATACATTCCATTTATAAACACAGGACGGTATCAACACCCATTCTATCTTCCGTACAGTCGTACCAGTCCATTCTCGCCTGTATGCCTGTGTAGATGATTATTTACATCATTTCGACTCCAGTTTCCTTCTCCCTCTCGGCGAATTGGTTAAACCTCTGCCTTAGTCGGGCTAGTGCCCTTATCCGCTCTTCTGCCATGGCCGGAGTGCTTGCAACGCCCCTGGGCCCAAGTCTGGCTAACTCTATCACGGATGACACGATCTCGGTAACGTTGTGATACTCCTTGCGTATGATACGGGATTGCCATCCCCTCTGCTCGTCCGCCGTGAGGGAGAAGGCGCTAAAGCCAAGATTCGACTGCATGCTAGATAGAAAACCGCCGTTCGGAATGCCGGCCTCACTGTCTGGAGGCGTCCTTATCCCGGCTTCCAGGAGTTCGATCATCTGTGATAAGATGACGGTGAAGAGGGAGATGCACCTTTCGCATCGTGACTGTTGCTGCAGATGGACCAGGTTCTTGAGCTCGGTAGCGGCTTTTCGAGTGGGCTCAAGTATGAGATAGAATGTTTTTGGCTCGCATAGAAGATAGTTCTCCAGGACGGCGATTATGTGAGTGCAGACCATCACGCACTCGCTATCCACTTTGGCAAAGTTCCTTCCCCGCTCCGCTAGTACCGGTTCAAATTCTGTCTTACGCCCTGTATCGGATCCCGCTTGGGGTGTTCGCGTAGGGCGCGACGACGGCCGGGGAGTTGGGTAGCCCCTTGCAATGTCTGTCGCAATATTAGTCGGCTTAGGAGGTAATGCACCAACACCAGGGCTTGTTCTGGAGTGACTCGAGTGGGGCCATCCGGAGGAACTAGTACTAGGGGTGGGCATTCTCTGTGGTGAATTGCCAATGGATGCCTGATCATATTCAGCAGGATCGACATCGACATCAACATCGAAATCTTGATTATCCCCCGCGCCTCTTGGTTGGAGGCCTGTCTCCCCTATGGTGTTGTCAAAGTTTAGAAGAACATTGTCAAGCATTGGCACATCTAGCCACGCTGTAGAAGACGGCCAATTTTCAGACCACGTGCCCATTGGCTGTTGAGAAGATTCAGTCGCACGCCTCTTCGACGGGTGTGCTAAAGGGTTTTGGCTTGCAACGATCACATCTGCGGTATCACCGTCAACATACTGCTCACTAGCTGCTCCCCTTTCCCCTCCTCTCCCATCATCTTCATCTTCCTCTTCCTCTTCTCGTTGCTGCCGTCGCCGTTGCTGCTCTATCTTCTTATTTTTTGCCCTTATACCGGGTACCTTTCCTACTCGCGATTCGGCATAAATGCATTCAGCCCGGAGTGTTTTGCAGCGTGTGCATCCTTCTCGCTCGCCAGTACATTTCACTGTATCAAGCTAGCTTGTTAGCAATCTGGTAGTAAAATATAATGATTATAAACTACCTAGTAGATATTCAGGTAGTTGGCAGAATGGCACTTATTTTATCTTGGTTGTAGTTTTCTGGTATGAAAGAAAAAGGATAATTAAAAAAGGTAGGACAACCTTTTGCCACATAACACTGATTGCAAGCGGCGCGTAGCCTGGGCGCTTTCTGTGGGCTGCAACTGCCGTTAGCGCCCGTAGTGGATCAAATGCACGGTACTTAGGTACAGGGGGGTCGGGCAGCTTACTGTCCCGATGGCGCTTGGCCCGTAGCCGTCGATTGCTTTTGTGACATTATTGATGCCTCACCACCAAAGTACTTTTCAACGTTTCAGTAGAAGTCTTGGAATGGTCAATGGTCGGCGGTAAATAATTTATGAGGGTTGGAATGAAGGCTGGAAATTCCCGTGGAGTAGATGGGGTACCTGCTTAAGGCTGTAGAGGTAGGCAACCAGCAAGTATTTATGTCTCACAAACACCGCCAAAGCCTCGTCGTTTTGGACCCCATTTCCCGTTGAATCCTTCAACGGTTCTTGTGACACAAACATGCAAGCCTCGCCAGCTCTAATCCATTCGGGGTACTTCACTAATATGCTGTGTACCTACCTGGTGGATTCATGTCAATGTGTTTCTCATTGTTGTTGTATTTTTATGTTCTAAATACTAAATACTATGTGCGCAATAGGAGTGTTCAGCTATGTATGATGAAAGGGGTGGAAGGGGTGAAATGGGTGAAAAGGCGGGAAGGCGGGTGGGCCAAAGCCCGATACGATGGATGCGATGGGTGTTAGATGTCACCCTAAAATGCTTAACGTAAAAAAAGGCGACGCTGCATGTATCTTTTTATCAACAGCTGCACCGAAACCAGGTTTATATAGTAGCAGTGGGCATATCTGCAGTATCAGCCACTTTACGGCGCGGACGTCCACTGGAAGTACCTACCTACTGTTCTCCTCATGCAAATTTCCACATAAATGAATGTACTTATCGCCCGGTGGGTACATTTGCTTGATTATACCAACACATAACCCGAAATCCAGACTATTAAAAATCGTAACACAGGTTATTGAGGTATGTATTCAATCAGTCAGCCTAACGTATTTTTTCGGGGTGTATCCGAAGGAGCGCCGTCAGGACTTGGCGATCGCTAGAATGCGCCCTCATCTAATCTTATCACGTTGTACAATATGTAAATCACAAACCTTATCCGCGCGCAATCTGTTGTTAAAGGGGTTGGATTACGTACCTACCCATGTACGACGGATATATGAGGAAAGAGTGTTGTATTAGTAAGGATTTACTATGATTAGAACAGTTGGAAGGTTTCAATCAAGCCATATGATGCAGGATATAGTTACGTAATCGAAGAATTTAAATGAAAAATTACTCGTTTCGGATTAAACTTAGAAACTTAAAAAATACAATATCTTTTACTCCCTTTCCCTTAACTCCCTCAGCCTGCCTGCTATCACATGATAACCCTCCTCCGCCACCAATCCTCTTAGAGCCCCCAATACAAGCCCTTTCAACGCATCCATATCTTTTCCCGTGAAACACTCTGCACTGTACTCTAGCCGGAGCATGAGCTTTGTATCGCTCCGCGCCGTGAACTCAGCCATGAGCTTAAACTTAGCTCCTTCCGCATAAGTAGGCACAAAATTTGTTCCGGGGAGGGGAAAGCGCAATTCCTGATCAGCCTCGTGGAAGCTAACCATGGCATCAAAGAATGGATTATCCAAGACGTTCTCCCCGATATAGCCGGCCTGTGCAAGCAGCTGATGCCACGGTATAGCATGTGATAGCGCTGCCGTGCTAGATCTCTTCACGGCGTCTAGGAACGAATCATGGCCTGGTAAAGTCGACCGTAGCAATGCCAGCGACTCCGGGACATCGAGTAGTGGGTATCGGATCCTGATTGGCAGGGGTTCTACGAAGAGACCTACTACGTCCAGGTCATCTCCCGAATTGCGATTCATGTAAGGCACGCCGAGGGTAATGTCGCATTTTATATCACTATCTTGTAGCGCCAACGCCACCGCAGCGAGAGCAAGCTGATGCATAGTCATCTTTTTTTGTGCGGTGAAATTTAGCATCACCTCATACATCTCTTCTGGGAGTTGATAGACCTGCGATGTTCCCGCCCATGTTTTTAGTGGTGTTCTACTACTCCCTAGTGAAAAGGGGCAGCGCGCGGCCTTGGCGAGGTAGTCTGTCCAAAATGAAAGATAGCGCGGCGGCGCTGATTGAGACCATATTGTTTGGGCGTACGTTTTATCGATGGGCGGTAATTCTTTATCCTGATAGGTTTGCGCTACTTCATTCAACAACATTTGCAGAGTTGTTAGGTCGCAGACTATGTGGCTGATAACGACCAGCATGTGAGTCGGGGAAACAAGAACACGGACGATGTCGTCATCGCTGTCAAGGTCGAATGGAATACTCGTATCGTGAGGTATGTCTATATCATTGACTACGGCCACAGTTGGCGGGTGTTTGGCGTACTCCCTAACTAAGCCGTTGGCGTCAGAGGATCGATACCTAGAACGGAAGATGTAGTGTCTCTCCAGCGTCCTATTCCAGGCTGCGACTAGTTTTGCCGTATCTAGAGACACGTGAAGCCTACAAGCATAGGTAACATTTAAGGAGGAATTTTCGCCCCCTCGTTGGTACCTGTGCCACCATTCTTTCTCAATCGGCGAAACACCGTACTTTCCCAATGTTTTACCGTTGGGAGGTTCATCTGACACTGACCATTTTCCCAATACGCACGATAAGTCCCGTATAGTTTTCGAGTTCAGAATCACTCCAACCGGGATCCGCTGCCGAAACGATTCAGAAAGCCGATGGGCTAGAGAAAGCGCCGTAATGGAGTTTACGCCCAGATTACTTAAGATGGCATCACCATCGATGTTATGATCGGTGGACAATTTGAGGATTTTCCGCACAGTTTCTCCGACTATTCGTTCAGAGGTGGTGCGCAACGGATTCTTGGCTGTGATCTTTGATCCCGTGAAGCTAATCGCCGAGATAGCATTATAGTCCAGCTTTCCGATCTTATTCGTGGGAAAACTTTCCACGGCTAAAATATGTCTAGGGTGTGCGTGGATGGCTATATGTGCACGCACCTGCGTCGTGAACTTCTCTAAGTCCAGATCACCCGGTTGAACTAGGGCAACGAGATGGTCTTTCTGACGAGCTACCGCTACCTCAGTACACCGTTCGTCGGCTAGCTTGAGCTGTGTTTCCAAGTCGTCTAAGTTGACACGGAATCCTCGCAGCTTGATTTCCCTATCTCGCCGACCAAGGAAAACAAGTTCCCCACTGTCGTCCCAGTGAGCTCGATCTCCAGTCCTATACATAAAGTCGCCGCTAAACTGAGGGTTAATTATGTCGGGCAGGAAACGTTTTGCTGTCTCATCTGGCAGCCCGGCATATCCCGCAGAAACTTGAACCCCGGCAAGATAAATTTCACCCACGACACCCCAAGGAACGAGGTGTTGTCGGCTGTCCAGTATATACAGCCGCGTTGATGGGTTAGGTCGCCCGAGTGTCACCGGTTCCCGCGCCGTTAACCGCTTTATTGTGGCGCCACATGTAGCCTCAGTCGGCCCGTACATATTAAAGAGACGAACTTCGTTAGCCCAGGTATCACAGACAACCCGAGGTACTACTTCCCCAACAAGGTATACGGCTTTTAAACCAGGGAAGTCTTTAGGACGGAGTACCTTGGCCACAGAAGGTGTGAGGATGGCTGCGTCACTTGTCTTTAAATTCTCGAACGGTTGTGTGCTATTTTTGAGCACTAGAGTCGCGCCATAACTAAGAGCGGAGAAGATCTCGTGTATACTTCCATCGAAAGCCGGCGACATGAATTGTGCAATGCGCCAGCCGGGACGTGCACAGAGACGCACCTCCAAAGGCGTTTGAAATGCCACTAAACTCCTATGGCGACACTGGACTGCCTTAGGCATGCCTGTTGATCCTGATGTGAGACATATATAAGCAATGGAATCTGACTGCGGTGTTCGAAATGCCTTGAGTTTCTCGGAGTTACTTTTCTTCAGTAACAACTCTTCCACCGAGAGGCACAACTCGCATGAAGCCGGCGCGGTTGCCTTGGCTGCGATAGTTCCAGTTAAAAACATCTTTGCACCAGCCGACGCTAAGTTTCGGGCCCGGACTGCGCTTGGTTGGGTCGGGTCGAGAGGGCAGTATGTCGCGCCAGCCTTCAGGACAGCATAAATGGCAATTATCCAATCCGGTGTCCCATCAGCATGTACGCAGATCACGTCCCCAGGATCGACATATATTGCTAGTTGTTGCGCTACGCAAGTCGACTGCTCATGCAACTTACCATACGTTAGAACGCGAGAGCAGTGTTCCACCGCGATAGTTTCAGATCCTGTTGTGGCAACACGGTCAAATAGAGAGACGAGACTATCCTCGTAAAATGTGTGCCTGGTAGATTCAGCCGTCCAATTTCCCATATCTGCTAGGACTTTCAGCTGCGACACACTGACAATAGAGGCGAGGCATGACATGACCGTAGCACCCGGCTCCTGGATCGCGTTTAGGGTGTCGCCCAAGGCTTCACTTAAACGATGCATATTTGCTTCCGAATAGGCTTGAGTATCGTAGCTAATGCCGATGCGACCGTGGCCCTGAATATCGATCTGAATGGGGAAGTCGGAGACGACGCAGCTGGGAGCTGGCATTTCCGATATCACGTTAACGGCCGAGGAGAATTTGCGACAGAACCCATGATCCGGTGTGCTCCACTGGAATGAGGTCAAGTCTAGCAGCGAGCTACAAACTCTACGGGCGAGAGTGCCGACCGATTCGTGAAGTTCGAGAGAAACAGAGAGCGGAAGTGTGTTTATTATCGGCCCCACGACTGATTGGACCCCTTTGATTGGAAGACTTCGACCAGAAATAACGGTTCCTAGACATACATGGTCGGAATTGGTGTATTTCGCCATCACTAATACCCAAGCAGTATGGTATAGAGAAGCAGTAGTGACCCCCATCTGCTTGGCCACCTCCATAAGCCTATCAGGAGAAAAGTCCGACCAAATTCGGCCAGAACCCGGCGCGTGAGCCTCATGAGTTCTGTGAGCCTCGTGAGCATTGATGGGAGGTGGAATAAGTAGTTCTGTAGCTGGAGACGGATGTTCCTTGGCCTGGCGAGCCCAAAAGGCGCTAGCTGATTTGGAGTCCCGTTCCTGCAGCGCTTGGAGTTGTAAGGAAAACTTGGGGAACGAATAACCTGCCTCGACCCTCTCGCCAGCAAGCACTTTTTGAACTTTCGACAGTATCAATCCAGCTGATATATTATCTACCAAAGCGTGGTGGAGTCGCCATACTACAGTGGTTTCATCTTCAGCCTCGCACCCGGCCTGGATTGCATGTCGGCGGATCAAGACTTTGAAACTTGTGCTAAAAGCGACTTCTCTAAGCGGGGGACGGGAAAGCTCTTTGCGATATGAGATCTCGTCCGTAACGTCTATCTCTTCCCAGATAAACGGAATCTCCCCTTCCTTCTCATACATCCAACCTTCAAGGTCGCCCACGTCGAAAGAGACATTAAAGATAGGTTCCAATTTCAAAACGTGTTTCCACGCTTCTTTTAACGCAGGTATTTGCCCCAACGGACATTTTTTGAGACATGATATAATATTGCGACCTGGGTTCTCTTGACTAGAGCGGATTAAACACAGCTGCATCTCGGTCATGGGATACCTCTCATGCATGAGATGCTTCCCCGCGCTCAATGTACGGTGGCGTTTGGGGTAATGATCGCGCACATCGGGACCCGGACTTGCAGCAGCCCGCTTGCTCCCAGGCAATATCTGATCGTGAAATGACGAGTCATTATTCCTTGTGGAGAGTAAAGTTTCGGATCCGGGACACTCTATGACTCGGGGACATTCGGCAAGAAGAAGCAAGCTGCTAGCTGAAAAGATTGCATATATCGAGAGCTGTATGTTATGGTCAAGAAGGCTAGCCTGTAATCGAATCGATGACATAGAATCGCCGCCATTACTGATGAAACTAGTCTCTAGAACTAATGCCGACTGAGGCTTGTCAAGAGCCGTCGAAATAGCAGAAAGAACGAAGTCCCTTGGGACGCAAAGGCTGTTGTTACCAACAGCAGACATTGCGATACACTAGGAAATCTGTAATAAACGTGCCAGTAATAATTGCAGATTCACATCGAATCTAGGTACAGACTGACGCAATTCATCTTATCTAAAGCGCGATGGTTTTACAATATTCCATCTACGTTGCACTACACACATTCTAATTTCGCTAGCGATCTGGACGTCCTTAGGATGCCTAGGTACCCAGTAGGTAAATGGAAAACGGACCGGCGGGCGGACGCCGGAGTTCGGAAGGATCTATCAGCTCGATGCCTACGGGATATAAATAAAGGGGCTCATCTGGAACTCTTAGATTTGACCCGTAATTTTATCATAACAGTCAGTTCCGGTGCTATTGCACAGCCGGTATCGCCGGTGTTTGAGTTATCGAAATCGCCACGTTTTCCGGTCGCAGCTCCGGACTGCAGCGATGACGGACACGCATTCGAGGCAACCCGAGCTGGTGTGGTATTTAGCGTATGGATCTAACATGAGCTCCGCGAAATTTACCGGTGGCCGAGGCATCGTACCACTTGATACCGTTCGAGTTCGGATACCGGGATGGATCCTGGCCATGGAGATCCCTGGTCTGCCGTACTCCGAACCGTCCTTTAGTTCTATTGTGCCGCGCACCTGCATCGAAGCCGTAGTCGAAAAATGCGCTACGCCCGATCTTGTCGGACTCGCGTACTTAATCACCCAGGATCAGTACCGCCATGTTCTGGCTTCCGAGGGTGGCGGTACTGCTTATCGGGACATATCCGTTCGTGGTGAAGCTTTGGAGGCCGAGGATAGCCAAAGGATTGGCCATCCAATCTTACTCCGGACTTTAGCGACCGCCATGAGAAGACAACCTTGGCCCGCACCGAGCAGACGGTACAAGGTAAGACGGGAATGAGGGTACTATCTCTAAAACAATACCTGCCTAGTAAGCTAATTATTTCCTCGCATTAGGATCTCCTTGTCCAAGGTGGGGAGGAAGCCCGTCTTCCACCAAAATATCAACAGTACCTATCGGAGATGGCGTGTTATAATCCCCCTGATGCACAATGGACTAAGATCGGGGCCTTCATCTTTACTACGATGTGGGGGCCGGTAATGGCTTTTTTAGAATGGATAACAGGAATAAGCATCCAGGAAGATGGGAATGCTCTCCCATGCGTGATATTACTTGTTAGATGGACCATGTTTATCATCTGGGCTAGCCACGATTACCTATTTGCCCCCGTATTTGGCCGAGGAGACGGGTTATAGATTAAATCTGAGCTTCCTCACTGTCGATATTGGTTCGACCTTGTATAATTCGCATTGCAAATTCCTTGCCACAAATTACTACCGTATCAACCTGGAAATCAAATCAACAGCTAAGAACTAGAAAGGATCGGGGTCCGGGGGGATTGGAATATCTCAAATATATACTGTAGACACATATTGAGGCATACACTAGTCGAATCTTTCTAAAACGGGACCACTTCAGGACTACAACAGACCTAAACTGAGACGGTACTAGGTACAGTTTCTCTCTAGACATGTTAGCACCTTCGCATTATGGCCTTTCTAAGCGAGGATGGGATAATGTCGAGGCTGTCATGCCTAAGATCAAGGCAGCAGTAGCACAGAGGAAGATCCAAAACAATACCAACATCGATCTTTCTACGGCCGAGAACTGGCTTATGAGACCAGAATTAATCGAGATTTGCAAGACGGCTATTCTAGAACAACTAGATGCTCGAGTATGTTGGGTAACCCTAGATCATAGATAGGATTTCTAAAAGACATGGCTAAAATACATTTCCAGCATTTTTCCTACCCGCGAGGGTTCGCAGGCGATCCCGATCTATTAGACGCGTTCGCGGGATTCTTCAACACCTACTTTTCTCCAGCCGTCCCCGTCCTTCCCTCCCACCTAGCAACCGCGCCTGGCGCCGCATCATGCATCGACGCACTCCTCTACAACATCTGCGAGCCCGGAGACGGCATCCTGATGCCGGGGATGTACTGGAACGGGTTCGACTTCACCATGCGCGTGCGCCCGCAAGTAACTCCAATATCCGTCGTCCTCCCATCCCTCACCTCGACCTTCTCCTCCACCGAACTCATCCCCGCCCTAGAAACCGCCTACCGCTCATCCCAACACCCCATCCGCGCCCTCATGATCACAAACCCACACAACCCCCTCGCAATCTGCTACCCCAAGGACGTGCTAGCAGACTGTCTCCGCTTCTGCGCAAAGCACAACCTGCACTTCATCTCCGACGAAGTGTACGCACTCACCACATTCCACACCCCCGACCTCCCCTCCCCAACCCCTTTCACTTCCGTCCTGTCCCTCGACCTCGACGCCATCGGCGCAGCGAAAAACCGCGTCCATGTCGTCTGGAGCACGAGCAAGGACTTCGGGCAAAGCGGCCTGCGTCTCGGGTGCACGATCTCCCAGGCTAATGAGGAGATGGTCGTCGCGCTGGCGCTGGCTGCTAATACCATGGTTTCGGCGCTCAGCGCTGTTTTCGTTACGAGGTTGCTTACCGCGCCTGAGTTACCTTCTCTTATCAAAATGAATTCGAATAGGTTGGGTCGCGCGTATGGGGTCCTGACGGGGTTCTTTAGGGAGTTTGGGGTGGCTTATGTGCCGTGTAATGCGGGCCTATACCTGTTCGCTCGTCTGGCGGGGGAGGTAAAGACGTGGGAGGAGGAGGAAAGTGTGGTGGAGAGGTTGAAGGGCGCGGGGGTGTTGGTGAGTGCTGGGAAGGCGTATCATGGACCGGAAGGTGAGAAGGGGTGGATGAGGGTCGGGTTTGCGGTGCCGGAGGAGGAGTTGAGGGAGGCGATGCGGAGGATGGCGGGGGTGCTTGGGGATGGGAGGGGGGTTAGGGGGGATGGTGGTTGTGTTGGGGTGGAGGAGGTGCGTTCGTATTTGCCGCCGAAGGTGAGGGCGGGTGGTGAGGTTCGTGCTTTCAGACGTACGGCTCTGAGGAATTGATTGGGGGTCGTTTGAGGGTTCTTGGATCGTGTATACTATTGAAGATACGAATCGACTCGTTTTGGGCTACATTCGATGGCGGGCTCTTTGACTACAAACTGTAATTAGTGCTGCACACGCACTATATATTACCACTAAACTCACTGTAATTTCGTACAGTTAGGGGCTTCTAAGTTAACAACCGCTTAGTGATAGCTAGGTGGGTACCTACCTAGGTACCTAGTTCGATATTAACATGGTTTCTTTTATTCAATTTTTCGTTCAAAGAGTCTTAGATCCATATACTTCGTACCATATACTCTACATTATAGATATAATTAAAAAGCTTCATTTTAAGGAGCCGTTGAATTATTGTTGAATTGTTGCTGAACCAAGAGGGCGCTAGTTAGGCAAAATAACCCACTATAATTGCTCACTACAACCGCCTACAGTTCTAGCGCTAAACAGCCCTCGAGCACTGAGTTGCTAATTTTTACAGGGCATTTAGCGATTGGATTTGTAAAATTAGTTTTTTTAGCGGTCGTATTCCATTATTCACTCTCAAGATCTACATATAATAGAACGGCTATAAATAGTTATATCTGGTTCCGACGCTATTGACCCGTCCAATATCATATAATAACATTTCTCGATTTTACAAGTACACATCCATTATTCCCAATCTTATTATTGTTTGTCGTCATTATCCGTCTCGCCGAAAGGGATTGCCCGAAGAAAACTTATGAGCGTTTCCACTCCTCTAGACGATACCTAGTTTAAGCAATCTTTCCGTATTCAAACTGGCGATTCGGATCGAGTGTCTGCCCATGACCGCACTGCATATGTCTTTCTTTCGTCTGTATGCACTTGCTCAAGCGGAATTGGGACAGCAGATTTGGACGAGCTTGGATGATGATGACCAGACAGGTTGTAGTAGCTCTCCGAGTGGCTGGTCACGGAGCCTCGACTCTTGACGAGTCGAGTCATAGAACCGAAAGTTCTGCTAATCCAGGTGGTGACAATAGTTTCTCGGAGGAGACCCGGGAAGATGGGTACACATCCGATGATGATAGCTATGTCGAGCTCGACCACCTGAACAGTAATCCGCTTCGTGAAGGTGTAGGTGTCGTCCGTGGTGTTGTTGGTTTCAGATGGGGATATGCGATAGTAAGCAGAAAGTGCAGCCATGGCAATACCCCTTTTTTGCAGATCGGTTAGTTTAGGACGAATTGGAAAAGACAAGAGACAGGACTTACAGAAATCCAGCACCAAATATAGCAGCAACACCAATCTTCCTCCTTCGGGGCAGATTTAGAGACATAATAGCTGCGATAGGCAAAACTGCGAGATAGACATCTGTAACCAAGCCCACGGCACCGATAGTCTCGCTCACCCTGAAAAGAACCGTTGGCCCATCTTCGAGAGGAACGCAGAGCGACGCAATGGCCAATGTTGCGTAACCGACGAAGACAATTATACCGCAGACAATGATTGCCCATTTGTAGAAAGTTTTCGGGGAGAAGATACGGTAAAAGAGAAAAACGATAGACAACTTCGCAACCATGAACGCGAATGCTTGAATCGCCCCGTTAACGTCCTGGAACCTGAGGACTTTGAGAAACTTGGTCCATGACATATCCCACATGTGTCTAACGGCGCCGTGCTTCATTTCGTCTATAACCCAGCCGACCTGCACGCATTGCAACGCCAGGGCGATGAGAGTAAGCCCATCATCGATACCGAATTTCTTGTGCACAAAGGCGCGGATATAGATCTTGAGAAATGAAGCAACGACGGCCAGCACCAGGCTAATTGGGCCGACTATATAGAACAGTTTTGCGCTATTAACGGGACTGTTGAAATCTCCTGGAGTCCCGTCCGGGTTGTGCGAAGCCGGATAGGTGTCGGGGTCGGTGCCGGGAGGGAGATCGAATAGACCCATCGTGGCTGGCGTGTCCTATACAGGATGAAAATTGAGATCGTCGTTTGATACAAACAACGAAATCTGACGGTAAAAAGAAGAGAAAGCTAACTATAGTCTAGGGCGGGATACTGGCCTTATGTCATCCATCTCACACGCATCAACACCACTAGAACGATGTCTAGGATCTCACCGTAGCTGAGGTTCGTTGGCGTTGGCTAGCGTGATGAGATGTGGGATTGCAGAATATTACTAAACAAATCATTATACTTTTTGGGAGAGGATAGGGTCTAGAAGTACTCGGTTGCCGACCAGCCACCCCGGAGGCCGAAGTGATACCCGCGTCTATTGGCTGTAATCATGCGGGTTATTAGCCCTATCCAGCAGTGTGGCAGCAAAAACGGTGTGGAAGCAGATACCTCCCAAAAATCCCTTCTGTGTTACCGACCAACAGGTTATCATGAGATTTGCTCCAGAACAAGTAAGGGAATCCTCCTTCCAGCTCCTTGCTCCAACGTGATTACCCACCTACCTACTGAAATTAAGGGATACGCAGATACCTAGAAAGAAGCATCTACTAGGTACCTATACTCATCGAATCATCAATCTATTCTAGACCGACGTCCATACGTTCCCCATAGATAGATATCATGCAAGTCGTGCAGAAGCTTCATTTCCCTGACCACGCAGGGAAGAATCTCATAGTCCAGTCAGAGGTAGGGGAATTCCAAAATAAACTACCATGTAAGCCGCTCGCATTTACGCCACCCACCTAGGTTATCGTTCTATACTAGGTAGTAGTCCTCTTCCTCAGGAATATCTTCTGCGACTGATTCGGCGCGAACTGCCCATTCACCGACAAACTCGGCGGCCTCGTCTTCACACCCTCCCATTTCAAATCGTACTCCAAAATGAGCTTGCTGAAAATAAGCTTCGCTTTCCGCACGGCGTAAAAACGACCCGGACACGCGTGTTTGCCGTATCCGAAACTATTTCATCGTTAGCCGGGGGCAAATAGTGGACCAACTAGGTAGGTACTTACGCTAGATTCGTCTCCGAGGCCGTCGCCGCGCCCCAATTATGTTCACCCTCGTCTCCGACATTATCACTAGCGGCCTCGCGGAGACGCGCAAACCGGAACGCATCGACAGTAAGTGGATCATCGAAGTTTTCTGGATCCGTCTGAATAGCAAGCGCCGGCACCGCGATCTTAGTGCCTTGTCGCAGATGGAGTCCGTCATGGAACCGGAAACCACCGGGATTCATGACGGTACGTGCACATGTAACCGCTCCCGTAGGATAGACCCTGTTGAGTTCCCGTATGAACGAGTCCATTAACGGCATGTTATCCAAAGCCTTGTCGGTGTAGCCGTGAGGCCTGAGAGCTGCCTCTGCCTCTGCGCGCAGGGGCTCGAGATATTGTGGCTCCGTCAGGACTTGGAAGACCATTTGTGTTACGAGTCCTCCGGGCGCTGAGCTGCCGGCCCAGATGTTGTGGAGGAGTGAAAGCGCGATCCAGCGCGGGTTGTGCTCTCTTGCGTTCCCCTTTGAGAACTCGAGACTCCATTCTATGGCGTCCAGAGGCTTAGTGTGGTCTTTTTCGCTCGATGATTCCCGTGCCTGGAATTCGTCAAAGCGTGCTTGCACTACGGGGAGTATGACTTCCATCGCTTTCCGAAGGTTTCTGAGGTGGAAGCGAGTGAAGAGGAAGTCGTATGAGCTGCGGAAAATAGACCTAAATGGTAGCATGGACATAACGAGGCCGTGGATAAAGATTGAATCCGCAAGTTTCTGCGAAGTCTTCAGGTAAGACTCGTTACGGCAAAGTTCCGTTCCAATGAGTATCCTACTTGTACTGCGATGCATGATCCTGCCGGAGAGGTCGGCCGCTATGAAGGGTTTCCAGTCTGTTGCGGTACCGACTTCCATGGAAAATGCATGATTGCTTTCTTCATCCAAAAGAGGTATAATTTGGCCTAATATGCCAGGTTAACCTCAGTTGATCGCACAAGTTATCTGAAATGGAAACATGGGGACTAACGAAGGTTTGTGTTGATACCCCTTTTCACGATATCGATCATCAGTTCGGATGAGTAGAGGTCATCAACAGATGCATACAAACTAAAAGCCTGATACCCTCAGAGATTCTAGCTGTTATGTGATGATATAGCTCATAGAATAGTTCTACTTACCTTACTAATGTTTTCGAAAAAGCTTAGTTCGTGCGTATCCGCTCTTTTCAAGTCATGAAGGTATTTCGGTGGTAGGAAAACGTAATCCATTGCCCACCATTTCATCACAAACGGCTTGCCAGACCTCTTTATGACCTAGGGGGTCTTGTGAGCCTCACAGTAGATATGAGCTTTACTTGTCTTATTCACTAACCTTCGTGTACCCTTCCGCAATGTGTTTCTCCATTGTAAATGTCATGGCGTTCCAGCCGGAGAGGAATGAAAGTAGCCATATCTTTCCTACACGTTCAAATGGCGACGGTGGCCAATTGACGAGAAAGAAGATACCGAAGAGAGCAGTAACGAGACCGGCAGCGGTCGGAGTTGGCGTGAGACCGTTCAATTCAGATGATATCACGAGCTTGTCCACATATTGTGGAGGGATAAATGGAACGGAGAGGAACATTGCTTTTAGCTGGAAGGAACCTTGGAAACCAATGGCTTCAGACCTCAAAGTTGATTAGAACGACGAAATAATAGAAAGAGGCCTGACTCCAATATAGAGGGGTTATATAAGAACTTAGATGTTGGTGTTGTAGAAAAACTGACGTAATCTATCGAAGCTCTTCCTATGAAGGCTGTGTCAAACCCATGCTAGCGATATCGTAGGCTATGGGTTTTCATTTTAGGCGATTTTCGTACATTTTCGGTGGCCGAATATAAAACAGCTAGGTACCATCAGTGCGCCCCCCATACCAGAAAGTCCCTACTAATCCACCGCAGCCAGTTTGTTAGTTAGGTAGTATTTAAATTCCAAGTTGCCCCCTTAAGATGTAATTCCTAGTTCAGATTCCCGTCCTCTTAAGACGGTCAAGGCATCGGCCCCCAGAGTTATTGCCGATGATCGTACAAGAATGATATCAACGTATTAAATAGATCTAAAAACAAAGATTGTCTCCTTTTTCCATCCTGCTCAGGTTGCATGCAATACTTATACTTGAAGTATCACATAGCCAAGGATAGTAATTAAATACAGTGCGAGATCTGTTGAAGAATTACTGTGTATAAGACAAGCTCCCCCCCTTTTACAAGTTCAGTTGGCATACCTTCATAATCAATCGGGTCATCATCCGGGCTCAATTATCACATACCTGGAATTAACGAAGATGAGTGGCGTTTCTGAATCTCGGCTCATAACTCTGGTCTTTGTGGCAGCCACAGAGAGGCCATGGGTGGTCCTAAACTCAATCATTCTAGCCACGCTTCTTGCAGTCTATCTCGTCCATAGATCAGAGAACGCCCGCAGGCTGAATGCTCCTGGAATTCCACTTGTGAGGGGTCCACGATTCGGGGATTTTCGTCAGGTTATGAAGGAAGCCAACTTAAAGGCACGTACTGCCATATATGCCCCTTTTTCATAAACACATGCTCAATTGGTGTAACTCTAGTATTCTGGACAGCCATATATGACGGCATTCTTCGACCCCACCGTTGTTATTCCCTTTCATTGCGTGGAGGAGCTCAAAAACAGCCCGGACGCGCAGATTTCCGCTACTGGTAATATGGAAACTCGGTTTTCCACCAAACTCGTCGGTAGTGGAGACTTGAGTAAAGAATTAGCTGCCAGTGTGAAGTACGATCTTCCCAGAGGGGTTGGTGACTTCTTCTCGGCCCTCCAGGAAGAAACCAAACTTTCTGGAGATCAAGTACTTCCCCATTCGGATACGTGGACACGCATCGAAGTGCAACAGGATCTCGTACAGATTGTAGGCCGGGTGATTGGGAGGTTCATTGTCGGTGCACCCCTGAATCGCGACAAGACTTGGCTCAAGGCCTCTATCGATCACGCTATCGCTGTCATCATGTTTTCATTTTGGCTTCGGCAGTTTCCGAAATTCCTTCGCCCCTATATCGCACCCTTCATGCCTTATAAAAGGATGTTGGACGACTCGAAAAGGGTCATCGAAGCTTCTGTCCGACCTCTAATCCAACAAAAACTAACAGGGAGCGCTGAGACATCAGAACCGCTAGAGTCGGGCAGACTTGTCCAGTGGCTACTCCAAAGACACAACTATGCCGAGAACCCCGAATATGTAACATCACAAATCGTCAAAGACCACAACACATTGTGCTTCGCAGCTATACACGGACCAAACGTGCTCCTCGTACACGCGCTTATCGACCTCGCATCATACCCACAATATGTAATCCCGTTACGAGAAGAAATCGACCGGGAGCTCGCGCAGGCTCCGTTCGAAGAGTGGACGCAGGAGACAGTTGAGCGGCTAGAATTTATGGACGCCTTCTGCAAGGAAAGCTCGCGCATGAACCCCCAAAGTGTCAGTAAGTAAACCAATACTTCCCAAGCTACCTACCTTCACATCCACCTATAATACTCCAGGAACTAATACGTAACAAGTCGCCTGGTTCCGCAAAACGCACCAACCAATCACGCTCTCAACAGGCCACATAATCCCCGCGGAAACACTAGTCGCATCGATGAACCCGCTCTTCACGCCCTCCGCATTCCCTGAGATCGAAGACGCGGGGAAGTTCTACCCGGAGCGGTGGATGAAGGACCGCAGCAACCCGCACCCGGACGCGAGTTTCCGGTTCGGGTCAGCGACGCTGGATTCCATGACTTTCGGGTTCGGGAAGCATTCGTGTCCCGGACGCGCTCTAGGGACTACGATGGTGAAGGATGTGTTGGCGTATATTGTGAGTAAGTGGGATGTTAGGCTGGGAGGGGGACGCGTGGGCCGTCCGGAGAATGTTTATATGGATTTTCAGACTATGCCGCCGGTTTTGCCGCTTGGGGATGTTTATTTGGAGGTTAAGGCGAGGGGTTCGTAGATAGAAGTGTTGAATGCTCAAGAATGCAGGGCTAATGTCAAGTACCTACTACAAGGTAGGTACATCATATGCAGTCCGTAGGCTTGGATGTGTATCTACTACTTGCTTTTGTACTGTAGCTAGTGTATGTACATCTCGTCGGTATGCTGCAAGTAAGCAGCCACTATCTCGTCGGTGGGAGCATGCATAAGCTGGTGGATTTCCCATCATAATATTTCACAATTCCTTGACATAACCATCGTGTCTATTTTCCAGTTCCTCGGAAGCACGTACCCGTCCTGCTTCTTCACCAATTACGCGCATCAACCTCGCGGCATTTCTTCCCATGCGACATCCCATCTCCAGCGAACTGTGCAGCTTCTCCCCACCCCCAAGGTATAACAAGCCAGGCGCCAGCTCGATGTTTTTCCAGGACTCATCGCCATGGTTTTCGTAGATCGGGAAAGCATGTGGCCACGCAGCGCGTCGCACATCTGTGATGTCCTTTTCCTCGAGCGTCTCCCCCGCTTCGAGCGACAAGCCCGCAAGTCGCGCAATATTGGTGTCGCTTAACGCGCTTCGGGAAACGATGCGGTGGACGCGGCGATAGACGAACTCATCACATTCGAATTCGATTTCGCAATCCTCATCGTTCCCTGCTGCATAAATGGAGTAGGCATGGAGGAGTTCTGGCATGTTTGAGTTGAAGTTGTTGGTGAAGTATATTGCACTGATACCTTGGGGTACCGCGACGTCTTGTTCTGGAGACTCGGATCGTGGTAAATGGAGAGGTTGTTCGGTGGTGAAAAGGGTGACGTGTGTTTCCGTGTAGTGCGATGGAGCCGGGATCTGGTGCGGTGGAAGAACATCGGATAAGATGGAGGAGAGATCTTGGTTCGGACCGCCAGCTAGGAGGACTATGTCAAACTCGCCGTTATTATCGTTACCATCTGTCTTGATGGAGTAGCGACGGTCCGCCGCAGTCTTAATTCGTGTAACTCTAGAATCTGTCTTGAGGATAGCACCCGATCGCTTGATCATGTCTTCGATCAGTCTTACATTGCCATACCAAAGTGATATGACACGCCCCGGATCATCTGAGATAACCGCTGAGAGTGCGCGTACATGATCCAGGTTTTGTGAGACGAGGGCGCGGGTGCAGGGTTCAACTGCCTCCCGGCTGAATCTTGAGCCCGCAAGACCTGCGTACTCCTCCGTGGATCCGAGTACATCGCCAGACAGCCCTGCGCTGTCTAACCCGGATTGAAAATTGTTGAAAGGCTCATTGTTTTCACTACCAAATTGCTTCCATCTCTCTAAGTCCGAGGCAGAAGCATGATGAAATTTCCAAGGAGCCAAGACTCCGTGTTTCCTAACTCTTGTGGCCCATAATACAAGATCCTCTTTGGCCTTATTGATGATGCCACGCACCTGAGGCGGAGGGAAATAGACACGACTTGCCCAGGTGATGAGATCTCGCAGCGTTCCAGATCCCGCTTCAACACCGACAGCACATCCCAAGCCCTGACTTCCATGGAGTAGCTCAGTGCCATTCCACAATCCTACTGGACGACTTGCTGGCTTTTTATTCAGGCCGAAAGAGTCGACTGCGCTCATGAGGCATTGATCTGATTCAGAGAAATGTAAGGCTCCAAGTTCGGCCACCAGGTTACCATAGTACTGGTTAGACTGAACACGTCCACCAAGCTGAGCATCCTTTTCGAATACTGTTATGGCGATTGATGTGTCTGCCCCGACCGAATTGAGATGGTATGCGACGGATGCACCTGTGATGCCAGCACCGACGATGGCAATGTGCAATTTGGTCTCATTCCTATGCGCTCTTGTCGCATTTATGATTGTTGAGAAAAGAAAAAGAAGTCTACAAATTAGTCTGTGGCTGAATATTAAAGCCATCTTAGATTAGGTTAAATGATTCCCGATGGAATAATAAGAAATAGGAAAGTGCAGCCGGAAGCCGCCCGGTATTTTTGTGGATTCTTTAACTCCGGAACTCCGGTGCACTTGTGACGACGTGGCGCCTGTTTTCAGCTCCGCCCATATCAACTTGACACGGTAACTCGTCCAAGATACGAATTTCTCTGTTGCCTGTTACCTGCTGCCTAGTAGTGATGACTAAGTTATAGTAACAGGCAACATGATTGTCAAAAATAAAACTATGAATACTTTCTAACACCATCAATACGAAATAGGGGCTGGGCTAAGTTCGGATATACAGAGGTAAGATTCTAAGCAATCCTTCAACGCGAGTTTCGCATTCGTAGCGCTACTTCTTGTGTCTACAGCGCTTTTCTTGTGCCGCATATGCCATAAGGATGAGATCATCTCGAAGGGCATTACACAACATAATCGTACCAAATATCCAATGATTGCGCCGATCAAGACTAACGCATGACATAGATAATAACCATATTATCAACGAAAGAATAATCGCCAAATCCTCTGTGAGGCGCGACACGATGTATCGTGCTTCTGCGGGCAGCATTGATACCCAGGGCAATATGCCTCTGGATATAAATCTTTGAGGGTTCGACCGGCTTGTCGCGTTGACTCTTTGATTAAAGCCCGATGTCTTATACCTAGTATCATTCTCAGATTAGTTTCCTCTTCAGTCAGTATCTTCCTCTCACACACTCGGTACGACAGCAATATGGTTCGAACAGATGCGTTATCAGCGTCAATTATCCTGTCTACTCTGTGGGGATTGACCATAGCATCACCATCTCCACATGAGTTCACCTTAACGTGGAAGAGAGAAAATGGAAAAGAAACTTTCAACGCCACGACAACTTTCTATATATACTACTGTGATGCCCAAAGGCAGATACCGGCTATTGAACAAGCACATAAAGATGCCCTGAAGCTCGCCAATGCGGCCTTCTACGATGATAGAGAGTTATCAGTAGGCGACCCGCATCAACTCATCGATTTCACCTCGCAAGCTGCTATTGATTACTTCGGCCCCGCCGACTTCAAGCCCAGCCAACACCAGCGGATCTATGATACCCTATATCGTGCTACAGAAACATATCCTGGATGGGGCCTCTCCGACTGGTGGAATAGCCGGTACATCGACGTCTTCTGCGACGACTTCGCCAACGATTGCGTCAATAAGGAGACCGGTACCAAGAGCGCGGCGTATCTTAGCCAGTGGGACCCTGCCACGAAGCGTCCGAGACAGTGGCCTTGGATAAACTACTGTCCGCCCTTTTTCGACATTCTGAAGTCTCACGAAGACAAGGTGAAGGAGATTGACAACGACAAGACCGGGAGGAAAAAGCTCAATACTAAGAATCTGCGGACTCGAGGTATGTCGACTGAGGACTCATATTCGCGTTATCGGTGTATACCTATAGATCAAACCTACTAACACGTGCGTGATATTTTGTATAGCAACAACCGCACTCCATGAGTGGATGCACATCAATAATGACCATAGCTCGATGATTTGTGAAGGAGGCTGTAAGTACCTACACCTATACAAGATACTACCAAGTACTCCCTACTAGATTAGTATTAACAGTTCATCTAGGCGAGGATACGAAACAAATAATCGGCGGCGAATGGACATCTACATATAAGTCCGGCGCAGCCAAGCTACTCGCACGGAAAAGCCCCGAGCTAGCCGCCAAAACCAACGATAACCTTGTATACTTCGCCACCGCGCGCTTCATGGAGAAAAGGTGGGGAGTGTATCCGGAATTTCCACTAGCCTGGGACAACAGAAAGACGCCGAAGCAGAACAAGGAAGCCGAGAAACTGCAGCCGGGTGAACCAGAAGCGACATCTACTTCCGACTTGGATGCGCTAGGAGACGGCGACCCGAACGTCGATGGCACTCCGGTGCCCTCGGTACCCGCTGATGCCCCGCTGTTAGATGCGAAGAATTATCCCCAGTGGTACCAGCCCGTCCTCTCCGCGACTGGGAGCAGCACGCTCCCACCAATATCGCAGCCGACACGCAAGCCGATCCCGCCCGCAGCACTACCGAAGTTCGACGCCGTGAGATGCAATTACATGGTCAACCGCAACATCCAAGACCCAACCTACGACGACTGCGTGCAGGCATTCGCGCCGACGTTCGATTACACGAACCGGACGCAGTGGATGGCGCATCCGCCGAAGCCGGGGAAGGGGACTACGGCGTATAGTGGCTGGACGAGCGGGACGTGTGCGCTGACGGTTCAGTATGGTGGGGATTGGTCGGGGTGCGAGGCTACGAATGGGGATATTTGGACGCATGCAAGGGTTGTGTTTGAGGGGTGTGTGGATTATAGCACGAGGACTGTGGGAGGGTCAGTGCCGTTAAATGTAAAGGGGTGTCCGGGGAATGTGTCGATTACGCATACGGTTGAGGCTATTGAGGCTATTGGGTGAGGGAGGGGGTGAGTTTGTGTGGGTGGTGTGTGATGTAGGTTTGTATATATGGTGGTTTGGGGGATGGGTTGTATATATTTGGTATGTTCCTTTTATTAAATCTCTGTAGAAAAATAGAAAGAAATATTCTGATACTATCAATCTAATCTAGAATCTCAGTCAGCCTCTACATAATAAAAATGCATCATAGGAGCCATACATATGCCTAAAATACATCGCATCAACTCCAACCCCTAATACTCAGACCTGTCTACTACCAAGTCTATCCGGCATAAAACCTCACAAACGACTCTTCTCCGGCTGCCACATCTCATTAATCAAACGACTCGCATTAACCAACTCCGGGCCCGCCTCGTCTAGAGACTTAATCCCCAAAAGCTGCATCCCATTAACCAGCTCCTCCGCCAAAATATCAAAACACCTCTCAACACCCCTCTCCCCATACGCCCCCAGCGCATAAAAAAACGGCCTCCCAACCCCCACCGCCGTCGCCCCCAAACAAATCGCCTTCAACACATCCGCGCCATCCCTCAACCCCCCATCCACAAAAACCTGAATCTTATCCAACACTTCCGGCGCATACCTCCTAATCTCCAAAAGCGTAGCCAACGCCTCCGGCGCCGAATGAGCCTGTCTCCCCCCATGATTACTCAACACCACGCCCTGGACCCCAACCTCAACCGCCATCCTCGCGTCCTCAAACGTCTGCACCCCCTTCAACACCACCGGCCCGCCGAACTCCGCCTTCACCCACGCGACATCGTCCCAGCTCAGCCCCGGCTCGAACATAGACTGATTAACATGACTCCGCTGCCCCAACGCCGCGCGCTCCGCCGCATCAGGAAGACCCGCCTCCAGTGCTTCGAGAGCCTGTGTCCTTCGGTCTAGCGTCCGTTTTCCGAGGACCGCCGTGTCGACCGTAAGCCACAGCGTCTTCGCGCCCGCGGCTTTCGCGCGCCGGATGTGGGACCGGGTTACGGCGCGGTCGGGGCGGACGTACAGCTGGAAATGCAGACACGACGGGGAAACCGCGTCCGCCGAGTTAGTCTGTGCGAGTTTCTTCTGCTCGTCAGCGAGAGCCGCGGCGATTTCCTCGATCGGTTGGGTTGTGACGGTGCTCAGGAGCACGTGTGCGCCGCGTCTGGCGGCGGCGCGGACGAGCGCGACTTCCCCGCCTGGATGCCCGCGGCCGAGATGCCCCATTGCGGAGATGTAGATGGGGAGGGGGGTGCGGTGGGTGAGGATTGAGGAGTGTGGGGTGGCGGATTGCACGGGCCGGAGGATGCGTGGGCGGAAGGTTATCCGGGACCAGGAGGCGAGGTTGTTGGCGAGTGAGAAGCCGGTGTTGGCGGAGCTGGAGATGTAGGAGTACGTGTTCCGCGAGAAGACGGATTTAGCCGCGGTTTCGAAGTCCGGGAGTGTGACTACGTGCGCTATGTGAAGTGGTTCCTTGGTGCGCGGTTCTTCGGGTGGGATTAGTAGGGGTACGGAGTCTGGCGGAGTTGCCGGTTCCGGTGCCGGTGCCGGTGTCGGCTTTTTTGTGGATGCCATGGTGAGGGTTGCTAGAGCTTTGGCGTCTGTTTCGCCGAGGAAGCTACCTTTCGGGAGATATTCTACTACCTCTGGCGGATGAACGGTGCGGAACTCGGATGTGGCGTCCTATTTATGACTAGTAAGTTACCCCTATAATTCCCCACGTTTTCTTATGATTCAAGATCGTCGTTTTAGTATGAATGTTAGTTAAGCCGAGCTGTACGTACTCGTCCGCCTTGTCTTGCTAGGATCGCTGCTCCGCCGGGGTGGTGTTCGAGATACGGTGTTACGTCGTACACCTTGCCACTTATCACGATCCAACACGAGGAGAGTGTATTGTGCTTTGCGACTTCGGCGGCGTCCAGCGGCATCGCTTAGATAAAGGTTTATGTAAATCTCAGTTCTCAACAATACCCTCAAGGTTCATGAAGTCTCCACATCTGATGCGCTTCTCCCGGGTCTATTACTAGGCCATAGAGATGAAGAAGGTAAGTTGTGGTAGGAACCGAGTCGTTCATTATCGTGGGCAGATACCTATTTATAAGGTACGAACTAGATAGGTAGGTGTTATGAGCTCGGTCTCGCTCGGATGGTCTCCCGAGGCAGGTCTACGGTAAAGGGGCGCCTATCAATGCCGTCGTATTTCTCAACCCCGCAGTATAATCCTCGCCTTATGTCGTCCTATGTCGCCATTTCGCTTACAATTGGCCTATCGACTAACATATCATTAGTTCGACCAAAACCTGATTGGCCGACTGATAATTAACTAGGGTCAAGTTGGAGACCTACCTAGGTATGGATGCAGTTATTATACTAAGTCCGACTTTACGGACCTTGCAAAGATCCGTCGTCTTCCAAGGTTAATGTTGTTGGTGATTAACAGCTTCGGCTAACATGGGTCCGTTGTTTCCAATTAGGTCACTAATCTTGGCAGACAAATAGGAAGGCTATCGATTTTGTTGCATGAGACCTTCAGTCTATTCCGAAACTCTTTCAGTATAGTTGCGAGGTTGAGAATATCCTCATGTGGACACTCATCCGCTAAGAGACTGATCGTGGAGTTATCGATCATCAACTTGAATGCTAAGAAGTCTAAGGAGAGCTTCTACAGATCATAGTTGACATAAGCCAAAAAGTGATATGTGAGTTAGCCTTGTCTCCGACTTCTTTGTTCTCTAGAGCTTAGGTGAGATAGCTTTTTCTGACATGAAAGAGACTGCTGCTGTCTCTAGGCTCCTTTACATCACTTCCCTAGCTATCATGTTTTCCTAATTGACCACCACACCACCCAATCTCATTCATATTTCCCTCGTAGGCGATGTCTTCAAAAGACGAATTCAAATATACCTGAAAATATTGGATTATGCCGGCATTTGGAAGTTTAGACCTCAGAATTCTACTAGTTCATGTAGTATAATATTGACCGTTGTGCGAAATCTCTATTTTGTCTGTATTAATAAATTTTCAGCGATGTCTATGATATATTTGCTTGTTAGCGAATGTTAATCACGATAATGAGAATAAGAAAAGCCTGATATGCTTACTTGAAGTTGGGTTGATGTACAATATGTGTATTGAAAAAGGACCCCATCAAAGGTAAGCCTTACAAACACCACTTCAATGAAAGGAATCGAAGAAATTCAACGTTAATTGATCATTTCGTATTTGTTCAGCAAGAAGCCAATGTCTATAAGCAATGTTTAGCCACCCACTGCAAAGTAGTCATGCCCCCGTCATTAGCCAACCACCAACCGCCAACCACCGATACATCCCGAACCCCTTCATAACTTCGTGTAGAATACCACCACCACCACATGTTCGTAAACCCGTAAGGAACTGCTCGAATTAGGCATGACTTGTAATTAAGTCAAGCTTAATGGGCCATGACCTCTTGAGGTTTGGCGGACTCGGCTGGCTTCTCGTCAACCTCCATGGCATCATCGCCACCCTCGACAGCTTCGCCCTCGCCTTCCTCCTCAAGATCATCCTCACTTTCGTTCTCGAGGTCGACGCTACCTTCGTCAGACAACTCGTCCTCCTCGGCAGGCTCTCCACTCTCCTCAACACCTGCCATCTCGGCATCCCCGTCAGCTGCGACGGCAGCGGCACTAGTTTCACCTGCGTTATCGGCTGCGGCTTCTGCTCCCTCCTCCTCTTCGGCATCCTCGTCGAGTTCTTCAGCTCCGTACTCGTCCTCGTCGGGCTGGAGATCTGCCTCAGGCTGCTCGGGAGGGAACTCAGGAGGTGCAGATGCCTCGGAATCCCTAGACGTAAGTGAGCATGCATATAATTATAATTGATAAATTGGTTTTCCACGTACCACTTGATGGCAAAGCGTGTGACTCTGGGCTTGTCGGCAAGAACGTTGCGGCGGATCTTCTCGACGATAGGCTTGGCAGGGGGATCCGCGTTTAGCTCGTCCGACTCGTACTCATTGTTGACATAGTATCCAACGCGAACGAACTCGCGACCGTCGTAAGAGCAGGTCAGAAGGACGACGGTGACACCGAGAATGTCGGCATCGGGAATACGGGTGGTCTTGGGAGCATCCGCCTCGAAGATAAATTTGTTGACGCCGACAGGAATTGGCCCGACGAGAAGGGAGTCAAGTTCTTGATCGTACTGGTCGCTGTTGCTCTAAATTAGCAGGGGAAAATATTTTAAAAAATATTATAATAAATCAAAAAATGGGTACTAACGAGGTCGCAGAGCCGACGTAGGTCAACTTCCACTCCAAGTCTAAATCATAGTCAATTAATTTTATATTCAGTTAAATTGTGGGTTGTTATTGTGGTGAAAAATACCCTTCTCAAGCTGCTCGAGACATTCGAACGTAATCTCGAACACGTAGTTGTCGGTGAACTTGGCTGGGTTGTTCAGAATGTTGACGCCGAGCAGAGAAACGACCGACATCTTGACGATTCTAGCGGTGTATGAACTTGTAAAATGTGGGTTGTATTTGAATAAGAAAATCGAGAAAAACTGAAGATCTAAAAAGAAGCAGCAGTAAATGTGCGATTCGAAATTGTTGTGATAGAAGAAGGGGTCGTCGGTGGGGAGAAATAGAGGTTGGCGGTGGGTGGGTGGTCTACTTGTTTATTTTGGATACTGGCAACTGGGTATTTAGCGATCAAGAGCAGCTGGAAAAGGTACAAAGTGACTTTTTACAATATTAGCAGGGGTCCTTTTTAAAAAGAACGAAACGCGCTTCCTGTAGGGAAAGCGCGTTCAGTGCTTGCATGTAGTGCATGTAGGTACATATACCTAAGTACCTATGTACCTTATATACGCTGGCTGCTGGGCAGGTAAAATCGACGAAAATACATCCATGAGTACCTATAAAATTGCAGGGAGGAGCCGTACCGCCAGAGGGTCCGTGCAGGATACTTTATCGCTCTATGTACACAATGTATGGGAATCGTATACGTCCGGTACTTCATATCCAAGCTCCACTAGATGCTGATACGTACCTTTTTGCCCACAACTAGTTCGAGCCGCGCTAATCCACTATAGGCTAGCGTTTAAATACAGATCTTTTGCTTGTCTTTACAGTGTGTCTTTAGTAGCGCCATTGTTTTCTTAGCAGAAGCTCCAAACTGTTGAAACCTTTCAACTTTTTCCATTGTCCCTCGACCTTATCCTCCCATTCGTGCATCACTTCGTCGCCCTTCATTTATGCCGATTGACCACAAGTTTCACCCGGACGAGCCAATGTGCTAAATTCCGCACGGCAAAACCCTACTCTCGTTCCACTCATCGAGTCTATTTACTCTACTGAATTCCGAATACCTTTGAAGCACCATTAAGGCGACAGCAGGACACAGATTCCATCTATTCTATAACCGAGTTTAACGACAGAGAGAACCTACTTATTTCGTTTGAGAGGGAAGATCCATATTTCCGCCAGCAAGATTCGCGCAAACTAGTGTGGAGCGTCGCAAGCAGGTCTACCCTACGTCTACGGGACCGAGCTCGCACGTTGAACATCCTATCCGTTATAAAATACATTGTCAGCTGTTCCGGTATCGATTTCAAAACTCATAATTGCTCCGTGGTTCCTTCTACCATGGCTTCTGAAGACACGGGAGACGTCCTTGCCCAGCAGGATGGTGCTCTTGCCTGGAGCGCGGATGGTTGGAATGGTGCCGATGACCAGACTTCGCCTGATGACGAAGATGGTGGAGAATACGACCCAGAGTCCGTTACAATTACGTCTGTTCCAGCACCTGCTGTAGAGCGACCTGCTTCTGAATCTCCTCGCCCAATCAAGAAGGCTAAGACAGCAGGAGGCTTTATTATTGAGAATTCCTCCGATGAAGAAGATGATACCCCAGCTCCCGCTCCAGTATACACACCGAATACCCTTAAACCTATTCCCTCGGAAGCGCAAGGTCAACCTTTCAGTAACTTACCTCTCCAACAAAATCTTACACCTCAAGACGCGACCAACGATTCCCCTCAGGCAAACAGTGAGCCTGTTCCTTCAACCACCACGCCTACGGCCGCGACTGCCAACGCGATACGCTCAAGACTCCCCGCCGATGTTGTCGGCATTCTCGAAGATCGTATCAAAGAAGATCCTCGTGGAGACATTGAGGCTTGGCTAGGCTTGATTGACGAGCAAAAGCGGCGTCACAAGATCGAAGATGCGCGGGCTGTGTATGAACGCTTCTTGAAAGTGTTTCCCCAAGCTGTAAGTTCCCAACCCTATCCATTACTGCTCACAATACTAACTATAACGTAGGCCGAAATCTGGGTAGCATATCTTGAGATGGAACTAAGTCTTGATAACACTGTCGAAGCCGAGTCGATTTTCACTCGAACACTTCGAGCGATCCCCGACGTCCAACTTTGGACTGGATATCTCAACTACATCCGCCGTAGAAACGACCTCAACGACACGACCGGCAGGGCGCGACAAACGGTCAGCCAGTCTTACGAATTCGTCCTCAACAACATCGGCCAAGATCGAGATGCGGGAAGCATATGGCAGGATTACATACATTTCATCAAGACGGGACCTGGTCAGATCGGTGGTGCGGGTTGGCAAGATCAGCAGAAGATGGATGTCCTCCGTAAAGCCTACCAGCGCGCTATATCCATCCCTATGGCAAATGTGAACACCCTGTGGAAGGAATACGACATGTTCGAGATGGGGTTGAACAAGATGACGGTAAGGAGCAGTGTACTCTAAGTAGTTGTGAAATATGGCTAATAAATTCCAGGGACGAAAGTTTCTTCAAGAAAGATCACCCTCATACATGACGGCAAGAAGCGCCAACACTCATCTCGAAAACATTACACGTGGATTAAAAAAAACGACTCTACCTCGCTTGCCCCCGGCTCCTGGTTTCGAAGGCAACCAGGAATATCTCGAGCAAGTTCGACTGTGGAAAATCTGGATCGCTTGGGAGAAGAACGACCCACTCGTCTTACAAACTGACGACTCCAGTACATACCGACAACGAGTTCTCCAGGTATACAAGCAAGCCCTGATGGCATTGCGCTTTTGGCCGGAATTGTGGGTTGATGCGGCTGAATGGTGTTTCGATAACAATGTCACTAGCGAGGATGGCCAAGATACAGGCCTCCAATTCCTAGTCGACGGTCTTGAGGCAAATCCCGAGAGCTTTCTATTAGCCCTTAAACATGCTGATCGTATCGAGTCTACCCAAGCCGCACGTGAAGATGATGTTAACAAAGCCGCTCTTGTGCAAACAATCAGAGAACCTTGTGATCGAGTTCTCGAAACCCTGTATGGAATGGCCAAGAAGTTAAAGGACCAAGAAACCTCGGCCATTGCCAAGATTGAGGAAGACGCCACCCTTGAATCAGTCGCCCCAGGAAATACAGATGTGGATGAGGAAGATGAAGGGGAGATCAAGGAGAAGCCTTCTCTAGAAGCCATTAAGAAAGCCAGGATCAAGACCATACAGGATGGCTTCGGCGTTCAGATCCAGATGCTATCGCAGCACATAACCTACGTCTGGATCTCCCTTGCCCGTATTTACAGAAGGCTTCAGGGACAAGGGCATGGTAGAAGCACCCCATCTGTCGGCTTAAGAGGAATCTTCATCGAAGCCCGACAGAGAGGTCGCCTGACCAGCGACATCTACGTTGAGGTATCTAACATGGAGTGGGACATATACCAAGATGCAGTCGGTACAAAAATTTACGAACGTGGCGCAAAACTCTTCCCGGAGCAGGAAGATTACTTCGTTGAGTATCTAAAGCACCTTCATGCCAAACGTGATTTCACGAGTAAGTACCCCCAGCTAATCTCTGCCTCGTAAATTAGACTTGACTAATTATATCATCTAGATGCGCGAGTTGTCTTCTCCCAAACCGTCAAGCGATTCAAGGAGAAGCCTGAACTCATTCCTAAATTGAAACCTATTTATGGGTATTTCCACGGCTACGAGGCTCGGTACGGCGAGTTAGCACAAGTCAAAGAGCTCGAGAAACAGATGGCCGAACTATTCCCAGAAGATCCGAGTCTTGCACACTTCGCAGCTAGGTTTGCAACGGATAGATTTGACCCCATTACCGCTCCAGTTATCATTTCAGCAGCCAAGCAGATGCGTTCCAGGGCTATTATGCAATCTGTCGAACAGCGCTCTGTTTCCCCCCGCAACAGTCCCCGGCCTATGGCGCAGATTGAGCGAAGCCCCCAGCCCCAATTCATGCAACCTATCAATTCGCCCAAACGGCCATTCCAACCTGATGAGCAGGACGAATATCCACCGCGCAAGTTAGCTCGTGGAGCTTCGCCTCTTAAAGGCGCGGCCGGTCGACGACTTGATCAGCAACGACGAGCACAGCAAGGTCAAGGTATCTCCTCGCATATCAGTGCACCGACTCCTATCCCGAGGGATCTCACTTTCCTGATTGGTTTACTTCCTCCGACCGAAAGTTACCACGGCCATCACTTTTCTGCTGATGGCATGGTACGCCTGGTTCAAAACACCTCGGTGCCGAGTTTTGGCGAATGGAAGGCTCAGAAAGAGAGCGCCTCGCGTAATAGCCAGTCCAACTCGACTGCACACATCGCACAAGCCTCATCTGAATACCAGCCCTACCAGTATTCCAACCGAGATTCGCCGGGTCCGTCTGGTCGACCAGCCAGTCCTTTCGGCGGAATGAACCGTGGAATGCCCCAAGCATCTGCACCGTACCGTAATTCGCCGCTTCGCCCTGGTTCAAGCGGATCCTACGAACCGCCGCCGGCTGTGTACCAAGCCCCAAGCACAGGCCAGTTCAACCCGTTGGCACAGAACCTCGTCCCTGGAAGCTCTGGTTTCCCAGGATGGCCAGGGTATGCACCCCCTACCCAGTATGGCATGGCTCCAACCCAACAACACACGCAGCAGTATGGTGGTGGATATTATCAGTAATTGGCTCGGCAAGTTATGATGGTCAGCTAGTGATTGGTTTAGTCCCGCCACTAGCCTAATGACCCTTTTTGTCGACTGGAACGAACGACTCCTACCTAGTTATGGTGTTGTAGGGGAAAACCTGCATATAATGTCTGATGGCTAGTTGCATTTTCTGGCGTTCCCGTTCTTCTCGGGATAGGTTGATAGTTTGGAGAGGACGGGTCCTAAAAATGGATTTCTGATCAGCTCCTTTGTAACCTTAGGTTAGATCTTCGGCTATACAGTTCGGTTCCTAGCATAGTAAGATAGGTCGAATGTCAATAATAGTCGACTCTATAGATGATACCGAGTCTTTCTAATACTACGTGCTGATGGCTGCTCTAGTTGCAGAAAAGTAATTCTTTGATGACTTAACTAGGTTTTATGAATGATATTAATACGTGTTGAGCACGTGATTTGTTACTAATAGCTAACTACTTTTACTCAATATATAAGAATTATACATGAAGCTCTAGTTATCATTTACGCAGATGTATCTACTGGCTAACTCCTTATTACTTGGGTACTAGGTAGGTAGTCAAGTAAGTATTGTAAGCTACGAACGTAAACCAAGCACCGTTCACCCCTTCTCATTGCTCATATATGCCATCTTTACTACGAGTACTCTCTTGAGTTTGATTGGCTCAAGCGACTTCAACGTATTCCATAAACAGTAAATGTTTAATTCAATCCAATCTTTGATTGGACCACTGTGTCGCTTCCGTCCCGCCTTTAGGTCCGGGGCACATTTGCGGATTATTTCCGGCTGTACGGGAGACTTGACGAGTTACACAAATTTACCATGTTACATAGGTACCTACCTAGTATGTACTATGTAGTATGTATGGAAGTACCTGGTACCTGGTATACCTTGCTGTTCTTACGCCCAACCATTCTACGTACATAAGTACCAAGCAGTTTAATTCTTTTTAATCCGTCCGAAGGACACTATATAAACTACTAGGTACCTACGTACTTATAAATCATGAATAACCTTGAATCCATTTGTGAAATTAGTTATTTCGTATCATGTGGACGTAGCTAATTATGCCTATAATTTTATATAAGTACTGTTTTTACTTCCCCCATTACACACCTTAGCATCCAAACCCAACATCTAATAACCATCCATTGATATAAGAAAGATGATTATTTTTTCTTTATGTCTATAATATAAGTAAGTAAATGCACTTTAAAAAAATACATTATATAAAAGTTAATCAATGATCAACATACTACACGTTAATTACATTTCCGAATAAGTTATGATAAGTCAACTTGAGTGACATTTAAACCTATTCTCGACTTTATATCATACCTACTAACCCCCAACTTATACCTATCTTATGAGCACGCAGATGTCTTTGGGTCGTTAGAGACGTGGAAAAATATGCTACCCACCTAAGAAGCTAAGAACACCACTTCTAAGGCATCGTAGAACGATATAGCTGGCACAAAGCAACACACATTTAAATTCATGTACCTTTGATGCTCTAAAGCCCCAGTACCATCCGCACTTTTCCTTAAATCTATAATTCACTATTTAACTAGGGTCAACAAGAAATTAAAGAGATACCGTTTAGCATGAATCGAGACCGATATAAGTAAGTAGGTAGGTACCTACGTAGATATCAAAGTATTAAGTAAAAATATATGACTTATGTATTGATTTAACATGGATGGTGAACTCATATAAATATGTAAACTCAAACTGTACTAGGTAGAAAATAAATATTTCAAAAATGGGGAAACAATTTTCTATACCATTGATAATGTACTTGTACCTTGGTAGCAAAATTAAGATACGAAAATGATGTTTCGTGGCCGAAATTGATCACCGACGAGTAGTACATACCTAGGTCGGTACCTACATAATTAATCATCGATTCTTCAGTACACGCTTAGTAGACAGTATCACGACAGTTGTTTGATCCGATATTCCACCAGTTTAGGCTATAATAAGAGTGTGTCATCATTAGAACCATTATCAAGATTCATCCCATCTACCTTCAAGTTTTTAGTACTAGGAGATACAGGAAAGATTAGGTACTTAGGTACGGAAGGAAACAGTGTGTAGATAATCTAATGGTACCTAGTAGCATTGTTCTTCCCTATGTATGTACCTAGTATTCCTTGGTGGATGTACTAGGTAGTCATTGATATTACTAGGTAGGTGCCCCAGAGCGGTGACCCCCTCCTTACCGGCAGGCAAGGCTGATTGTTCCATCGCATCTTTTTATTTAACACCAAATCTTTTCTCGCTCTCTTTCTTCCTTTTCTTCCAACTTCTTGCCAAAACAGCTTTGGAGATCTCTACTTTCGATTACACCCTTAGTCGATAGTTTACTACCACAACCTCTCCTGACAACACCACCACCGTGGTGATATCTTAAGGTAAGCAAATAACATTTATATTGTTTGATATCTACAAAGTTCGCTCACAAGGCCTCATTCATCGATCACTGATCATTCTATTCCTTCTATCATTGCCCTTTCCCAACATTCACACCAGTTCGCCTGACCTGGTACGGAACCCCCAACACATCTCCTCAATAAAACATTACAGTTCTTTTCCCTACTTGTACGTTTACTTTCACCATCTTCGTTCGTTAATAGTAGGTACTTTTTCCTTCTTTATTTGAATTTCTATCTATTTATTGCAACAACAATCTCCTTTCGTCACTGACCCTTTTCGTTCGTTCACAAACTACCAAGTCGGTAGGTACCTATCAATGAACCCTCACCTTCCCTTTTCCTACTACCACAAATAACGGTTACATCATACAAGGCACATTTTCAGCCATTTAGCTTTGTATCCAACCAAACGTCTCGTCTACACAATTTTCAGAACTAGAAAAAAAAATCCCGGCAAGCGCCCATACCTACCTTGGTATTAACAGTATCAACGGGTAAGTATTTATTGAGTCATTGATGAGTAAATCAAGATTTCCAACATATATTTGTCATAAATTACCTCGTCTAGCACCTTCCCCCCGATTTCACCTTTTCCTTGTTTTATCGGATGGAACTGCCTCCCAAGAAATCAGTTTTCCAGGTTATCTACACCGTCCCATGACGAGAAAAGAAGGCGCGTGCGAAAAGCAATAAATATACCATTGGGCAGGCACATATATCTCCGGGTGACTCCTTCCTAGTGGAAATAGATTGTCATGAGCGCAAACGAACCCTAAATTACATAAACGCCTCATTACAAGCACGCTGATTACTATCATATCCTATAACTTTCTTTCTAAGGAACACACCTATTTAATCTTCTCTAACACTCCTCGCCTTTCTTCCTTTCCTTTCCACCCCACCAAACCTTTTTCCCTTGGTTGGCTTCAACCACCCTTCACCTACTCTTAACTTCGTACTTTACTAACACCCCGAAGCTTTTTTTTATCAAGTACTCCAGCCAACTGTCTACCAGACAAAAGCTATTTGGTTTCGATACACGTAAGTTCCCTCGATCAATCCTATGATTTCCTTCAAAGACCCCAACCCGAATTTTGGGTACTATTAGTACTCATTCCTCCATTATTTGCTCTCATTACACTACTACATCTACTCGCCCCTTCCTCTTTGAAACATTTCCTTTCAAAATCATCAACGACAGGTCACTTAACACGCTCGTCGGTCACTACCCATGTACTTAGTACCGAGGTACCTAGGCAGGTAAAACACCAGTAGTGGCGACCCAGAGGGGCATTCTTCACTTCGTTCCTTCCAAACACATATATCCCCTACATATAAATACACTTACATTTCCCATACCCAACTTTCTACAAAACCTTTACACCTACAACATCAAACCCCCCAAGACCTACGAATTCCGATTCACCTTGAAAACGAAACCTTCGTATTTAATTAATACCGACTAACAATTTGTTTAGAAAAACCCCGAACCCACCCTGACCGACCGTTAATTAATTTCGGTATGTTATTTATTACACTTTTATTTTTTTTTACTTTCATTCAACTTGATTTCCCCTCCCCCTTCCCTCTACAACATCATTTCCAAGGTTAATATCAACCTAAAAAAAAATCACTTCTACCTGCTTCCCATCACTTGAGGCTTCGCGGATTTAACAATATCACATCCTTACATGCAATTAAGATTAGTGTCCGCACAGTCTTGCTTCTATGAAAGTTCCCGCATTTGTAACATTCACTTTCTTTCGTTAATCATTACCTCATATCGTAACTATTATCTAACTTTATTAGGTTTCTTACGATCGTCGCCATGAGCGATCGCCCTCCCGGATCCAGCCGGGGCACCCCAAGTGGTTCCCAGGCCGGCTCCAAATCTGGTTCTAGAGCCGGCTCGTCAGCTGCATCATCCAAGGGATCCCCAAAGCCCGGATCCCCCAAGCCCGGATCCCCAGGCAAAAGCTCCGGCAAGGCCGCCGGAACTGGACTAGACCCTGCGCTTGAGCGCAAACCACTGACCGATACCCAGCTTCTGGGTAAACGCTTTGACTTACCTCCCGATGCCTATATTGACGTAAGCCTTTCTATATTGTCGACGAGCAACTGACAGTTCAACTAACAATACCCTTCAGGGCAAGGGAAAAACTCACTGGGCGGCCCGTCCTGGTTTCTGCACGATGGGAAAGCCTATCAAGATGGGTCTGAACATATTCCCTGTCATTACCTTCGGAGACATGGACATCTACCAGTACGATGTAAGTTTGATATGATAAAACCACATCTAACTACATTTCTAACTCGGCGGAAGGTTATCGTGTCCCCAAACTTGAAGAATTCTCACTCTCTAGTGAAGAAGGTCTGGAACGCCCAAACGGTAACAGACGCTCTCCAGAAGCAAGGTGGCAGGTGGCTATATGACGGCAGCAAGCTAGCCTGGTAACCCTTTCCTTCCTAAGCTTCAATTAATTTTACTCATATTTCTATAGGTCTTCAGAGAGGATTGCAGGTGGCGAAACACGCATAATCGTGGACCTTGATGCTCTCAAGAAGAAGGCCGAGGCTGAACACGATATGGTCAAGAAGAAGGTGGAGAAGAACTCAGTCTACAAGCTTACCATTCGGCAAACCAAGGCAATTCGTCTATCCTATCTCAAGAACTACCTATCGGGCACGACCCCCTGGGACACGCACGTTCTTGAATGCATGAGTAAGTTCCAAACATCGTGTTAACATAGTCAGAATGATCAGTTTTAACGCAATATATAGACTTCTTCGACCATTGTCTACGTCAATGGCCATCTCAGCGATGGATGCTTATCAAGCGCAACTTTTTCGACCCGAACTCCGACTTTAGCATGCTTGCAAATGACGTGCTTGCCGCTCAGGGAATTTATTGCGCACCGCGCCTTAGCGAGGTATGTGAATGAAGCACGACATGGTGTCACGAGTTTCAGTAGCTTACAATGTGTTTTTAGTCATTCAATCGAGGTGGCTCGGGTCTTGCTGTCAATGTTGATAGATGCCAGACAGCATTCTGGCCAGCAGGTACACTGATTGAAACAGCTTGCAACATCGTCAGCAGCCAGAGAGACGACTGGAACGGACGTAAGTTCTACCAAGTCACAAGATATGATTATGGACCTAATCAGGTTTTTATAGGAAGCGAGCACCAGATTGAGGCCCTTCTGCGCCCAAGGAGCGAGAAGGATAAAAATGGAATCTGGCGCATTTTACCTTCGGAGGCCTTCATGTTCCTACGACGAATGATCAAGTTGAAGTTCACGGTCAATCACCGAGGCAAGTTTGGAGAGCCTCGTGAGTACACGATAAAGCGCGTCATGTTTGACCCGAAGTACGGAACTACTGGTGCGAACGCGAATCAAGTCACTTTCATGAAGAAGGGTGACGATGGCACGGAGAAAGAGATTACAATCGTAGATCACTACAAAGAACGATGGGGGTTCCGCCTAGAATGGCCGCGTTTTCCTATCATCGAGACTCCTCAAGGACACAAATTCCCAATGGAATTGTGCAACCTCGTGTTTCACCAGCGGTACAATTTCAAGCTAAACCCGACACAAGTTCGTTTACCTTTATCAGTTCCTATTTAGTCACATTTTTAGACTAACTACTTTACAGACTGCCGACATGATAAAGAGAGCGGCTACTCGACCGAACAAGCGGCGCGAGGACATCATGGAGGGTATCAAAGGAATCAGGTGGCCTGAGGATCAGAATCTGAAGGCCTTCGGACTCAAGATCGATCCCAATATGGTATCTACTGATGCTAGGCTTCTTCAGAACCCCGAAGTTAAATTTGCGAACAAGAAGATTAACCCGGGCACCACTGGACGGTGGGATCTCCGATCAAAGATGTTCTTAGAGCCTAATGCTCAGCCGTTGAAGTCGTGGAGTTTCATCTGCTGTGGAGATGATACTCACTCTCCACGAAAGAACGAGCTGGAGGCATTTGCCACCAGTTTCTCCCAGACCTACCGAAACCACGGTGGCAGGGTGGAGAAAGCCGCATTCTGCTCGACGATTCCGTGGGGTGATGGCAACATGGGAGCAATTTGCGAGAAAGCTTGGAACCAGACAGGTAATTATTTCAAAGCGACACCACAAATCATATTCTTCGTGCTGCCAACGAAGAATCAGCTGCAATATGAGCGCTTGAAGAAGAACATGGAATGTCGCTTTTGCATTGTGACGCAATGCCTTCAGGCAGGTCATGTCAAAAAGAACAATGCGCAGTACATGAGCAATGTCGCAATGAAGGTGAACAGCAAGCTCGGCGGAGTCACCTGCAAAGTTCCCGGACCTCAAGACAAGGTTCCTCCATTCTGGAATGTACCCACCATGATGGTGGGCGTCGATGTCTCACATGCTGCTGCAGGTAGTCAACAGCCGTCTATGGCTGCCTTGACTATGTCCATGGATAAACATGCAACTCGTTTTGCAGCGGCCTGTCAGACGAATGGCTGGCGTCAGGAAACGGTGCTGCCTGGAACAATGAATAATATGATGCCCAAGCTTTTGAATCACTGGGTATCTATCAACGGCCGGCGCCTAGATCACGTCTATTATCTCCGTGATGGAGTCTCCGAGGGCCAATTCCAAGATGTCATAGACAGTGAAGTAAAGGAGATGAAACGCATCATCAAAGATTTAGGATATGGCACTCCCAAGTTCACGGTCATTATCGCAACGAAGCGCCATCATGTTCGATTCTTCCCCAAGGCAGGGGACAATACAGCACAAGATCGCAACGGCAACCCGCTGCCGGGTACCTTAGTTGAGCGAGATGTAACACACCCCCAGCATTGGGATTGGTACCTCTGCTCGCACGTGGCAATCCAGGGCACTGCTCGTCCAGTCCACTACCAGGTCATTCTGGACGAGGCTGGTGTCAAGCCAAATGATCTAATGAAAATGATCTATCAACAGTGCTACCAGTACTGCCGCTCTACCACACCGGTGTCTTTGCATCCAGCGGTATACTATGCGCATCTGGCATCGAATCGTGGTCGTGCTCATGAGGCTTTAGTGTCCGAGAACCTAATCCTGGGCTACGGCAAGCCAGGGTTTCCTTATAGCCAGGACAACTCTGACATCTATAGGCCAAGCGCAGCACAAGGTCAATGTCCGCCGCTTCTTCCAATGGAAAACCACACTGCCAGTCGGGATATGGTTCGATTCCTGAATACCACCATGTGGTATGTCTAAACTCTCATCAATAATACCTCTCAAGGTTTACAGCAGCCCATCAATGGCAACATCGAGGTATCTGGATTTCTCACGGTTTCGGCTCTCTGGTAAACGGTACACGGTTTCGCGACCTTGCGGTCTCATAAATTTCTTTCCATTGCCCTTTTCTTTTCGGGTATCTGGACCGATTGAGCTTGGGATTGTTGCAGTGTCCGGCCCTTCGAGATACGACGCTCGAGCCATGCGACTACCCTTCTCATGATTTACTTATGATCCATTTGATTATGGACATGTTTCACTTCATTTGCTTTGCACTCGATGAATTCTCACTGAGAGTCGACGCTTTGGCAGCACACCCACTTCCACCCATCACCTCTAGTAACTACATCACAGTTAGCATCATGTGGTCATGTCACAAGAGGTGAGACAAAGACCTCGGAATCAGATCCGAGGTAGGATTGGTCCTGTAGCTAGGTAGATAGTCACTCAATATTACCTTGATAGGTAAAGGTTTCAAACGTTATAATTTAAGTGACTTGCTGATAGTCCAGTCTCCGACGGTATAAATTACCAAGAGAATATAACCTAACTGACTAAGTATCTACCATTAAACCCAGTTATGCTTTCCGTTTGTAGAGATATCCAATAGCAAAACTACTAACTAACGGTCAATATTTTCCTATCGCCTTTTATAAACGGAGAATATAGACCCCAGCGGCTGACATGTATTCTAGATACGATACAATTCAGTGGATATGATGATCAGCTGCCACGAAGCCCAAAATAGAGTATTTCTAGTACAAGACCTCAACCAGCGGCCTAATACGCTGTCGCCGAGAAAGAGTGGTAAGACTCGCTACTTGGTAATACCGTTGACATTAATAGGATATAAGTACCTAGGTAGGTGTGTATAGTATTAGGTATTACATGTATAAACTAGGTATGGGTTGGTTATAAATGAAGGGATCGGAGGCTCTTGTATTGCGTTCACGAGCCTACGTAGGTTGTATTCAACACGCAGAATTGTTAGCGTGGCTGCTGTGGACGGTTTGGTGGATTGGAGAGATGGTCGGTTGATTTTCTATTCTAGGGGGTGTATTGGAAAGGTATTAGGTTTGATTGCGATGTCTTGAAACGTTGACTGATTTTTTAATCGCTGTTTTCTCGGAGAACACGGTAATTGTTCAATGAATATCACTATGTTCTTGCCCCTTGTCGTGGCTACCTAATTTCTTCGGTGTAGCGACGATGGTAAGGGAGGGGGTTCTGCGGGTTTAAGCATGAGTCCGGGAGTTTCGAGACGATATGCTGGGTTCCGAGATTCCGAGATTCGAGCGGAATTATCCGGTGTCGGGCTATTGAGGTAGAGAATATTACGATGATGCTCTTGGATTTTTCAGTATCCATCTAATTACCTACCTACCCACCTAGTCAAGTTCAATATTCCGAGGTCTTTTGAGCGACTTTGACATACTTCGGGATAAGCTTGTGCTGTTATTGAGATTGCTAGTGTGGTAATTGGGAAAGACAATTATGAGTCAATGACATCTTGAATCTCAGGAGATAGTAATTTCATCACGGACTACCAAATATATAGGTAGACATCCGGCTTGTTGAAAATTCTGAGAAAGGAACAACTTGTATTTGTATCAAGTTTGTATCTGGTGTGTAGAGTTCCCCCTTTAGTGGATCCCGACACGTGTTGTTCTTTTGCCACTAAATATGAACTGATCCATGCTAAATTGAAGATGTAAGAGCTTTCAGTCTATTATAAAGAATTGGGATGGAAATAACAAGTTTTAAAATCTATAATACGGAAACTTCTTATGGATAAAGGGTCATAGAATAGGTGTAGACAGGGGTATCTACGTAAGTTCTCTAGCTCTGTCCCACTTCCCTAATTCGTAACCACGTCAGGGTGCTACACCAATCAAGGCTTAGAGGACTTCACCTGCATGCAAGTGGACTAATCCCCTGTAACGCAACCTACATCACTCTGCCTAACGCTATAAGATTTCAAAAGTCCTCTGTAGACGCTGTAATCTATAGGTAACTAGGCGCCATAAAATTTGAGTACAGCACTCACGTTAATGGACCGGTCCGAAACAATTCCAAATTTTTATCCTTAGCATATCATTTTCTATTAACGAAATATATGGCATATCGCTTTTAAGTTATTAAATTTTCTTTATAATAAATATTAATTTCTTAAAAAATATTAATAATAAATAAGGAAAACGTTTCTTTCGTTATAATATTAAGGGTTTTATTAAAATTTTTATTAATATATTAATCATTTATTTAAAGCGAAAATTATTATTTAAAACACGTTATATATTCGATATATAAATTATAAAAAAGTATTAAATTAATATATACGATTATAAGATTTAAAAAATTCGGAATTTCGTCCGTTTTTTTATAAATAAATTAAATACCGGAAGTTAAATAATTATAATAAAACGGAAAACGGTTGTTAATATTTTTATATTTACGTTTATTTAATAAATTAATTTATATAATTTATATAAATTTTATATATTACTCGTAAATTAAATTTTAATAATATATTTAACATTATATATCGTTTAATAATAATTATAACTTAATGTTAAATTATAAACGATATAAACGTATAATATTAAATTATTTAATAATATACGAAAATAACAAGTAAAAATATAATTTTTAATAAAGTTATTATATAAAACTTTTAAAAATATCGATAAAATTAATAATTAAACGAATTATATTATTAATAACTTAATTAAAAAAACGAAGAATGTAAAAAATAAAATAATATCGTTATAATAATAAAAATATTTTTATTTTATTATTACCGTAATAATGTAAATATTTAAATATTTTTTACGTTTTTTTAAAAAACTTTTTATAATAAGGGTTTTTTTTTAAATATTAATTAAACGTACGTAATTATTAATTATAAAAAAACTTCCTTTAATTATTAATTAAAAATTAAATTTCGTTTAAAACTTATAATTACGTAAATATATAATTATAAAAACGATACCCTTTTAATTTTTTAACCGTTTTTTTGTAAATGATTTTATAAATTTTAAATTACGATAATACCGGTTATACATGTTTTTTATAAAGTTTCCTTTTTAAAATTTTCGCTTATTTTTAATATATAAATAACTTTATTTTCCTTTTTATTTATATTATATTTTACGCCGTATTATTTAAATTAACTTAATAAAAATATTAATAACTTTTACGAATAATATATCCGATTTTTTAACGCGATTATCGAAATCGCGGTTTAAACGAATATTTATTAATAATATAAATAAATATTAACGGCGAAACGAAAAAACTTACGAAAAATATAAAAACTTATTTTTAAAAAATTATTATTTTATTTTTCGAAAAACCGAAACAAAACGGGAACGAGTTTAAAACGTTTAAACGGTATAAGTTTACGTTTTTTTACTTTTTTATAAATCTATATTTATTAATATTTACCGTATTATAAATATTTTTAAAATATTTAAAAAATTAATCTTAATAATATATAAATTAATTTTTACGAAAACGTTAATATTACGAAATATATTCGCGAGTTTTTTATTATATATATTAAAAATTTTATTTATTAACGATTTTATTTCGAACTTAAATAATATAAAATAATTCGAAACGTTAAATCGATTATTTTAATTAATAAAATGTAAAAAAGTTTACTTTTAAAAATTAATATTATTATTTTCGCGTAAAAATAAAAGGAAAATTTAAATAATAAAAATAAATGAAATGTAAAAATAAATAAACTTTCGTAAAATGCGAGTTATATTTACGTAATTTCGAAAATAAAACTTTAATTTAATAATTAATTTTATATAATTATACGCATTTTTAATTTACGTAATAAATCGAAAAAAACGTACTTAAAAAACATAACTTTATTTATTTATAAATTTTTAAGAAAAAAAAAATAACGTTAAAAAATGTTATAATATTATTTAAAATGTTATAAAAATAAATAAAATACGTTTTTTACATCGCGTATACACGTTTAACCTTTTATAACGCCGTTTTTATTATCGTTATTAAAAGTTTTCGTTTTAAAAAAATAATAAGTTTTATTTACGAGTAAGTCGCTTTTACTTTCGTGCGAAACCCTTCGAATTTTTCTCGAAAAAAATTAATTACGTTAATTACGATTTAATATAATAAATAAAAATAAAATATAATTTACCGAAATTAATATAAAATATAAATTTTATAACGTAAAGTTTAATTAATTTTATTTAATTAATTATTTATATAATATCGCTTTTTTTATTATAATAATTTTTTATAAATTTATTTATTTCGTTAATTTATTAATAACCCGTGTATTTACCGACCGTACGTTTATTATAAATTTTTATTCTTTTAATAATATATTTAATTAATTTAATTTTAACGGATTAAATTATTTTCTTTTACATTAAACGCTTAATATAAAAAATAAATTAATTTTACTTATTTATTACTTTATATATTTAAACGTATAAAATCGGGCGTTTTAAATTTCCGAGTTACGCGACGATAAATAACGATTTTATTCCCTTCGTATTAATATTAAAAATTAACTTTTTAATAAATATATTTCGTAAAATTAAATAACTTTAAATTAACGTTTAACGTTTTTAAGTAATTTCGGGAATTTAATACGTAATTACGTATTAAAAAATATTCGCGACGTATTTTTTAAAAACTATTAATTACGCTATATTTCTTAAAACTTAATTTAATTTACGTTTAATTAAAATTTATTTAAAAGTAATAATACTTTTTTTAATTCTTTACGAAATTTTTTTTTTTAACGGGATTTCAATACCCCATTTTACGTTAAAAAAATAAATATTCAAGTAATTAAAAAACGAAAAAACGTTCGTACTTTTCATGCTTAATATTAACAAGTTTTAAAAAATAAAATAGTAAATTATCCTAAAACGAAAAAAATAATAATTAAAATTTAATAAATTAAATAAACTTTATTTAAAAAATTATTTAAAATTAAAAAAATAAAATAATTTCGTAAATTAAATAAGTTTTAAACCGTTAAAGAAATTATATTTAAAATATTTAATTATAACGTTAATTTATTTAAAATTTTTAACTTACGAAATATATTA